CGTAGGTAATCTGTTAATTAGTATGTGTTTCCCCTATAAGGAATTGTAATATGTATTATTTAAATATTCCTGCGGAGGGAGCTGGTAGGAACGTTGGGTTGCTCGGTTAATGGCCAGGGACAACGGCGGCGTGGTGTATTCCGCAAATATGCCAACTTTGAGGGCGGGCACAAGCCGGTATGAGTAGGTTAAACGTTGAGTTTTATAAGAGCACCACGGGGTGACCAGCCCCTCCCCACCCAGCCCCACCCAGCCCCATCCTCCCCACCCAGCCCCTCCCCACCCTCCCCTCTCCACCCAGCCCCACCCCTCCCATTTTATCTGGGTGTCCGGATACACGTGGACACACATCCACAGACATACACAATTAATCCCCTGCCTCCTGTGAATTAATCCCGGTTGGGCTTCCAGTCCACTACGTTTCCTACCAGTAATGCCCACTAGGATCGCATTTGTTATATATCCGGGTGTTCGGATACACGTGGACAGACATCCACAGACATACACAATTAATCCCCTGCCTCCTGTGAATTAATCCCGGTTGGGCTTCCAGTCCACTACGTTTCCTACCAGTATAATACGCTTACAAGCCGCACTTTTGCTGATTGGCCGTGTCGGGTGGTGGAGGGTTACGACACATTTATAACTAACGCGATCTAACCCAAAAATATTTATTATGAATAATATTGGTCGCGAAAGCCTACGTGTTAAACTAATTAAATCCAGTTACCTTTGAAGTAAATAATGTAAATGCACTTTATATTTCGAGTGTTACTTTGATAATTTTCAAGTAAAAATTTACAGAATGATTTGTAATTTGAATAAACCCTGCCAAGAATGTGAAATTAGATTTTATTAAGGTCTCAAATTTTAATGAGTGAAATATGAATGGGTGCATTTCAATTGTTCGAAAATTTCACTGTAAAGTTTATGCTGAGCATTGTAACTTGGGTTAAAATGTTTTTGCATAACTGGTAATTGCATGAACAAACAACTATTATTTTGCCACACAGAGAAATATTTAGCAATGAACATCATACGTTTGCCTTTTTAACTGATAAACGACGGGAGCTCCCACAATGGTTCAACGGTTTTCGCGCTGTACTTCTCTTCCCAGTGTAGCAGTTGAAACGGTGCAAGTTTCTTAAATATCCCTGCCCTCTGCCCACCCATCACTGTAAATGGATACACCACGGTTTTCAGGTCAGCAGGTCCCAATATCGTGGGGTAAAGTGGTTGATAAGCTCACCTCTTCCAAGACATCTAGTCGGCATTTGTATTTTTAACTTCTTTCACACCGTACGTAACCAACCATGCGAATCGGAGATGCGGGGGAAGGACAACAAACTAAACACAAGCAGTTGCAAAGAAATTAGTTTTAAATTTAAATAAAAAAAGTTCTTGGCTCCAGTGGCTTCTTAATATTGGAATGAAGAGCATTCCAGATAGCTGCAGAAGCGCATCTAAAAGCGTGCGATGCAGTGACTGTCTTTGTTCGATTGTTAGGCCAGAATCCGCTGCGAGGATGACTGAGGTTTGCGTGATGGTTTATGCTCCTTGACGAGATCAGCAAGGTATTGTGGTTCACTTGTGGCAAGCACTTTGTGTGTAATGGCGTTGGAGAATAGACCAAATAAGCTCTAGCACTCCCTCTAGTGGACGCTCTTCCGCAAGCCATTACGGAGTTTCACCTTTCTTTTTTAACTGAGGATAGAGGGCAAAATGTATTACGTAGTTACTAAGGCCGCCGTGCCATTTATACGTTCGCATGTGTCAGAGTGAATTCATTACGAAATTTCCACTGAAAATGATTACTGGTTCCGGACTTAATCAACAACTAGCCGATTGTGAAAATGGTCACTGGTTTACTGGTTCTCACAAAACATTAGTTGTAACTATGGCTTGGCGATGGGCCTGTCACAGGTCACGCGGATGCAGGTGCAGCAGATGGAATTATCAGTGGTAATGAAGCTCATAATAGTGGTTTTTGGGTTATATCGCGTAAATATATAAATGTGTCGTTAAAACCCGCTACCACCCGACACAGCCAACTAGTAAGGGTTGTCACATAAACAGAACAGAGCCAAGGCTTAGCTCTCCAACACACCGGTGTGCTGTATTAGTGACGAATTGACATGTTCTGTTTACGTGACAACCCTTACTAGTTGGCTGTGTCGGGTGGTGATGGGTTTTAACGACACATTTATATATTTACGCGATCTAACCCAAAAACCTCTATTATGGATGATATTGGTTGCGAATGCCTACGTGTAGTACTGCAGCTCATTGGCTTGTGGCAAACACTCCAAACATCTGATATTAAAATAGTTTTTAAAATATATTTAAGCTTCTGGAACCTTAGATGCTTGACGGATACGAAATTGTACACTACAATCACCTTGGTCCGTTGATGCAGCTCATGGGTGGCTTCCCCCTGGTGATGAAGTATGACCAGGTGTTTATGCTGCATTTTGGATTTGCACCGAGTCATGGGCCTGACTGTTGAGCCGTCTGTAACTGAGCTTTAGTGCTGTTGACTATATATATTTTTAAATCCAGAATAGCCTAGTTAAGTTTCAGAATCTCTTGCAGGAAGGTCCTGCATTTGAATGTGTCCAAAACAAGTTCCAGTGTGTTTTAAGCTATGGAAGCAAATCTGAGAACCCAAATAACATTTTGTAGAACAGGGGGAGAACATACAAACTCCAAACAGAAAGGTTCCAAAGTTGGTGGTTGAACTCGGGTCCTTCTTTCTGAGGCACAAGTATTCCCCCTGCGCGACCCTGCTGACTACACACACGTCATGGATTGTATTCATTTTTACGATTATAGTGGATTAATAATACAAATAAGCCACGAAGACAGCAGCAATGTTGGTAATACAAAAATAATAAGTCATCATTACAATGCTGTAATATAATCCTGACAGCGGTAGCAACAACAATAGAATAAACAAGCTGGAATGTGCCGCCAGTGTGCGTCATAGAATGTGAAATGGCCAGTTGAGCGTGGTGTTTTCATTGAGCGAGCCTGAGTCCACGTGTGGGTGGGTGACAGAGGCTGTAGTGGGGGTGGGAGAGTGCACATCCCCCTGAACGGAGGCTGTCGGTATTGGTGCCACGGTAAGCGGCAATTTCTACCATTGTGTCGCCGTGGCGCTGTCATTGACAGTACCTAAGAGTGAACAAAAACTTAAAAGTAGATATTCTGATTTGTTAGAGGTGGGGATATATTGGTGCTTAAAATAAGACAGAACTAATTGATACTTGAGTTGAATCACAACCGTGGTATCATTAACATTTCTGAAGTAGCTGGATGGGGAGTAAATTATTGCACTTATGTCATAAGCAACGGGTGTTTAGCGTTTTGATGTTTTAACTGCAATCTTCATATAGTTTTCTTTGCCCACAGACAATACGCATACTTCCTATACCATAATACCTCTGTTAACGAAGTAGATGCCTTCCATGATGTTACTCCGTTATCAGAAACATCGTTACCAGAGGTAGATATAACGTGAGAGGCATTGGGATTCGTTCCAGGACTTCATAGAATGCGGTCATTAGGAACACATTGCTGCACAGCAGCCTTCACTCTGTCTGCTTGGTTTAAAATGGTTTTTAAGTTGCATTGCCCCAACCATAAAAAACGCGCTGTCGCATTTAATCTCTCCCGCCTCTACCCTGTTTATGATCTGCATTGTAATTTCCAAACCGCTTTATTTATGCTGCACTTCTTGCCCAGTAAGGATACTAGCACTAGATGGTCGTTTTGATGACAATAGGGGTAGTACAATCACTTTGACACTGCAAAAACACGATCACAACGAAGTGACTTATGTCGAATTTTATGGCAGCCAAATACTCTAAACGCATGTTTATAAATGTGGAGGGTAAAACTGGAGGACCTGGAGAAAAATCCACACAACCACGGGGAGAACATCTAAACTCTAAATATACAGGCGTCAGGGTTGAGATCGAACCCCACAAGCTACTGTATACATCTCGCCACCGTGGAGGATGGGCGAGGGAAGACTGGGGAAGCGTGCTGCTGGTTGTGCCAAATGAGGGAGACTCAGCTCTTGGCTGATTGACTGCTGATAATGTACAGTAACCAAACCCCCACTAGGTTGTGTTTACAAGACACTTACAGCGTTTACAACTTTGCTCTTTTGAATCGATTTTTATATTTTCTCAAGATATGTTTGAAATTTTTGGATTTTGGATAAATAGGGTGGCGAAGTGACCCTCCTCGGCTTGCTTCATGATATAGGGGCTTCATTCCCAGAGGACTCGTTAACCGAGGTATTACTGTATTTCAGTGGCTCATCAGCAGTCAGACTTTCTGAAAGCAATGCTCGTAAACTGCGTCATTTTATAGGTAAAGATTAGACGTTGGTCCTAGTTCAACACAAAATTTAACTCAATTTTTGTCTTACCAGGTAATGTATAATACATAACACAAATCATTGTCATAAAACCATGCAAGTAGCATATTATTTGTGTGTTTTTTTCTTTGTCTGGTTTGTTTCATCACAACACCGCAAATAAATGTATCATATTTAGTTGATTCCGCTGTAGTTGAGATTGGATGTATCACACGAAACACAGGTTTGCTGTGAAGTCCAAGGGCCTGAGTACATAGCAATTCAACATCAGTGAAGAATTTGACGAATTAAGTTCACCGGGCAAGGAGCCCTGAAAGTAGTGATATAGGAGTGATAAGGAGGCGACTGACCACTGGTGAGCTAGTGAATCGGTAAGTACTGGCTCATCAATTACCCTGACTGCTTTTACTCCAAATTCTATCAAGTGCATTGAAGCAGGAACTGGGTGCTCCACCCAAGATATGAACTGGTTTTGGCTTGCTTGAAGTTTCTCTGCTAAGGCCCCAGGAAGCCATGAGGCGGCGATGTGATCAAGTGGCTGACCGCTCCGCCTCTGCTGTTTGTCCCCCCCCACCCCTCACGTGCCTCCTTGTCCACCGCTTCTCGGCCTCAGGTCTGCCCCAGGAGCCCCGGGAGCTGCGGCGGGAGGACCCGCGGGGGGACAGCCCCCCAACCTCACGAGCAACAAGCGGCTGCAGCAGACTCAGGCTCAAGTGGACGAGGTGAGAAGGGGCGACTCGCTCTGCTCACTTTTGTAGATATAATAATTTTTTTCTGTGCTTTACCGGATTTTGTTGCTTGCAATCATTTGTCTCTTCCCACAAGTGTATGGAAAACACGGTATGTGAGTGAGAGATGTGATTGGTGAGATCCTTATTGTGCCCTTGACCCAGAAAAACTTACCTTGCCTTGCAGAATCACTGCGAATATTTTAATTGGTCAGAAAGGCTTAGTGTATTATCTAATCTGTGTTGTCATTTCTAACAACATTTAACGAATGCTTCCGTGGGTTAGGGTTTGTCACGATCTCATTGCTCCATTGTTTCACTCTAACCCTCTTGGGTTTCACAATTTGCCATTCAAATAAATCAGCTTCACTTTATATCCTTCCAGTAAGTGTGGAAGTCTCTTTGTGTTAAAGATCAAACGCAACTTTGAAAACAGTTTTTCCAACGCTAGGCCTGCTTCCTTCACAGCTTCACAGTAGGGTAAGTGTATATCTTGTCTGTACCCCTTTGTAATTGCATCGGATCAAGGAAATACAAAAAAAGTATGCCCTCCATATCAAAAAATAGCCTGGGCGCTGCACCATCTTTTTGATAATCCACACTGACCTTCTAGACAGTCTCTTCAGCTGTACATTTAATATTTAAAGCCTGATGCTTTCCCGTGGAGCGCATGGGTCAGTTACGCTCATCTCTATTATCCTCAAGATGATATTGGTGGGGTAAATGGGTGGTGCAGTGGTCACACTATTTCTGTGAAGTTTCTATGTTATCCCTCTGTTCTGCATGGGCTCCTCCAGATGCTCCTGTTTCTTCCAAGCTAAAAAAATAAAATGGAAATGGTATTGGCCAAACATCCCAATGCTGATAAATTATGTGCATATTACGGGCAGTCCTCAACTTACCAACGAGTTCCGTTCCTCAGACCCGTTCGTAACTTGAACAGTTTGTAAGTTGGAACACAATAATGTACGTAAAATGAAGTAACGTAAAAAATATATTTTCACTTAACTTAAGTTCTGATGCTAGCTTGTCAGAACGGGCGTAATGAGCCTTCACAATTGCACACACACAGCGGGGGCGACACGCACGGAACATAGACAGATCCCTTGGATAGCCGAAACAGACTTTTTTTTAACAAGTGCTCCTTAGCGAGCAGCACCTATGAAGGCCGGCACGGGACACGAGGGGGTGGGTAGTCAGCACCATGCCCGGCCACCTTTGACACCCCAGGGGTGATGTTTACACACTGCACCAGGTACTCATTTGAGGCTGAATCGACATAAGGAAGGCCTAGGACCAATTCAGATAATCGTCACTGTCGGTTGTGAGTGGGAATCGAACTCATGTCGTCAAGTTGGTAGCGCAGTGTGCTAACCATTGCACTACCACTCCCCACATACACAGGGGGGCACGCGCATGCACACACGTGCGCGCTCACACAAACACTCGCTCCCAGCCAGAGGCTGTAGCTCATTTAATCTCGCAGAAGATCGCTACACTGAACAAATAAGTTCCTCGGTTCAGTTTGCCAGTGCGAGTTTGCATTTGCAAGTCCGATGGGAGCTGGTTTGTACATGCGGATGTTTGTAATTCTGGTGTTCGTAAGTCAAGGACTGTCTGCACCTAATTCGCAGTACGCGAAGCAATATTTCCCTCACTGTGACAACTTGGCAGACCATCCTGAAAAAGTCTTGAGACTCATTGAGACTTTCCTGGGTAAACACGCTTAGTAATTATAATAATAATAAAATAATAATAAATGCCAGCACTTCCCACAACCACCTAAGGTGTTGACCCTTTGCTCACAGTGGTTTGAGGCCATGCATATTTAATGCACACAAAGTTGAAGGGGGGGTTTGAGTGGCAAGTGGGCCCACCCAGCAAAGTTTGTAATTTTTATTCATTTGAAATGTCCTTGTTTTGAATGAATTTCTTTAATAGTCAATTGTTTTCCACTAACCTTCATTCAATACATTTATTATGCTGTATTTTGATTTGAGATGCTCTTGAAGGGAAGGTATAATTCCGAGGAGCCTTGGAGTTTCTGCAAACATTTGTCTCTAGGTTTGCTTTATGTAATTCTATATACATAATTAATGTAGCTTTTCAATAGCCACATATGCTACTTTAATGCTTTTAAAAGAGACTGACTTTCTAGATTTTCCTGAAAATGCTTGATGTAGTTTCAAGCGAAGTTTGACGTCTTATGGCTATTGAGTTATCGGTGAGTTGAAACAATAATAATTGGTGCGTTAATTGCTTGTACACGCGATAATTTAATTTGTTTGGCTATGTAGAGTGGTAGAAGATTTCACAACATTAATTTGGTTAGCTCATTGTGGTCTAACTGAAAAATCTTATCTATTCCTAATGAAATAAATAAGCAATTAATGAAAATACGTAGAAATGGATTCTGTAATCGTGATTTATTTTGATTCGTAGCATACAAAACCGATAGCTGTCGGGGGGGGGGGGGGGGTAGCTGTCAGGGGAAAGTCTGCACACCCCCCCCACTGATGGTGGGGGGGAGGGACTCCATCCATCATGGACAGACAGAGCTAAAGCATAATCGCTCTCGACATTCATTGCAAGCACTTTCGCAAGCGCAGGCTGAGAGAACCTTATACATTTTATTTTAAGTAAGTTTTTTTCTAATGAGGGTAGATGCATTTGCTCACCTGCCAAGTGTCCACAATTGGAGGTGGGGGAGTGCTTTTGTTGTGGTGCTTTTGGGGATGAGTACCCAGCCTGTGCTCAGAGAACCTACTCTGGCTCCCCACTACTAAATCCTAGTAACTCCGTATGTCTTCAATCAATGTCTGTCAGGCATCAATCAAGAAGCACATCTACAATTACTCTCGCGACCCCACGTGTTTTGTCACAAATAGCAACATCGCCCCGTACTCTGAAACTACTGCACACTTTCTATGAAACAATCACCTTTAGAATAGCTGTGTAATTATAATAGTGTGCGCACCAAGTATACTAAATAATATTTATACATTCAACATACATACTTCCAAAATACACATGGCCCATGCACACACAAATTTTACCTGCACATCTATATTAAACATATGTTAGCATGTAAACATACACAATTGATGCACATACACAATACTGTGAAGTTGCACATGCACACAAATATAATATACACCCGTGACAATATACGATGCAAATACAGTTACACACATCCATACTGGATGTGAACAATATTCATGTCATTCACAGCAGCGGCCCTAACTTTTCAACTGTGGATGTTTAAAACAAGTGTTAAGCTTATTTTGTTTAACCAGATGATAACTCAAGAGACCAGGATAGTCTAATTTGCACCAATGACCTGGTTACAAAAATAAGCAACAACTTAAAAACAAAGTATGAGAAAGAAGAAAATTGAAATCGGAGCAATATTTTACTTGCAGGTAAAACTACGCACATTTAAAAATTGTACAGCACCCATAAACACCACCCATTTTGGCTTGGCCATGGTTGTGAGAATGTGTATGATCATTGCCACCGGTTTAATAACGTTTAATGGAAAAAGTCCCAAACACTTCCAAGTTGAATTAATTATTTTGTTCCTGGAGGACATTGCTAGCTATCATTTTGTATCCAAATTTTCAGAATGTGGGGCTTGTGTTTGTGGAGTTGAATATGGATACAAATGCTGTATTTATATCCCATGACCAGGAAATCATAGTTTTCTCCCTATGGGAGAAACAGACAATGAACTGTTTCGCCTCCTACCTTAGCGTTAGAAGTGATCGCAGTGACATTCGGGAGAGCAAATGGATAGTGGCGCAGCTTGGATAACAGTTGGCGCTAATGGAAATTACATGGCGACAGAGAGAGCCATCGAGGCCCAATTTCTGTGCTGTTTTTGCTGCTATTTTAAAGAACCAAAATTGCCTTCAGCTATTCCATTCATCAGCGCTCATTTAAATGTCATCACGTTTTTATTATTCACACGGAACTGGTGCTTTTATGCAATTTGATTGAAAACAAAATTGTCAGCGTTTAAAATTTCCACCACCATTTGCATGTCGCTGCCACTGACTGTGAGTGAGAAGTTGTGCGATTGTCCCGTGACCCATTTACCGACATACAACATGGATGGTGACTGCAGCTTAAGGATTTCACATGAAGCCAGTTATTGAATGCATGTGCTCGTATGTTCACTTGTAAAAAGCCTCTAACATTAATTGCAAACATTAAAAGAAAGTTGAATTCAAAGGGGCACGAGTCCAAAGACAGAAATGAGAATTTTAAGCACATGAGAAATATACAAATATGTAATTAAATTAAACAAAATTCATCTAGATAAAAATATTCCCCTTCAGCAGAAAACCCTGCAAGCAAACTTCTCCTACCATTGACCATGACTGTTCTCATATCCCTCTCATAGGTTTACCGTGCCGGCCTTGACAAGCGGTACTTGCAGACAGTACTTTCTCCAACAACCTGTGTAGGCTACATTGGAGATTCTTTGTTTTCCTTGTGGTGAACAGGTGGTGGACATCATGCGCGTGAACGTGGACAAGGTTCTGGAGCGAGATCAGAAGTTGTCGGAGCTGGACGATCGTGCTGATGCACTGCAGCAGGGAGCGTCGCAGTTTGAGACCAGCGCTGCCAAGCTCAAGCGGAAGTACTGGTGGAAGAACTGCAAGGTTCGCACTATCCCCCTGGCTCACGCTCACTTCATGGTGGTTTAAAGGAAGGTGCAACTGAAATAAAAAACCTATATGGCAGCTGTTTTAGTTAATTGGCAAAACAACGGATCAACGGCATTGTAGCAACTTGTATAATAATACCGGGGCGTCTCTGAGTGCTTTATACAGGATTAAGCAACTTATATTGCATCTCATCTCAAACATTTTAAAGGACATCCCCAGTAGCAGCTGTCCCTGTGTGGCACAAGTTCACTCGGGGTATAACTGAACAACGAAAAGACTATACACACTTTTGGTTTTGGTACACTTGATTTGGCTAAATCCCACCTGAGAATAAAAAATATTTGGTTATGTGACTCTCATGGCAGAGCACATTGGCTAATACGCCCCTCACTGCATAAAGGAAAAATTGACCACTTGAAGGATTTTTCAGGAGAAGTCCTGTGAAATCTCTTCCGTGGACCAATGCATGGGGTGTTGAGCTCTGTGAGTTTTCTGAATGGATTCTTTATCTCGCACCAATACATCCAAAGCGCATTTGGAATAATTTGGGAGAAAAAGGACAACAAACTAAGCTGGCGACACGGCAACAGCTGAGTATTGGCGAGCAAGCTAACACAGCTGTGTTTGTATTGTTGTTTATTTCGCGCTGGCAGATGATGATAATTATCGGCGTCATTTGTGCCCTGATCCTGCTGGTTATTATTCGTAAGTACCCGGGAGAACGGAGCACCACGCTGTCTGCTGTTCGGCCGGGGCTCCTTGCGCTCAGAGAATGAGCTCGCTACCATCGATCGATCCCACCCTCCTAAGTTACATTCTCAACCAGAGTGGTGGTCAAAAGCCATAACCACTATTTGACGAGTGGTCATAATTATTTGCTTGTGGATTCTATTTGATTTAGAATTTTGGCGAGGTTTCGCTTGAGCACTGGCCTGCTTAGTTTGAGACTGTTCTGTGCCACGGCAGCGTGGAGCTGCATTAGCGGCGCTCCTTCTAAGAAGGCGTTGCCATGGCTTGGTAGTGGCCGACACGCCACCTAAAACACTGACAAACAGCAGCGCTGGAGAGATTAGTGTGCACAGTGCCAGATTACTAAGATCTCTGTTGCCGGGGTGAGGTTCCAATTAAGGATTAAAGAGCAAATGCACGGCTCTTTCACAACCGGCCAGGTTGGCTGAATTTATGCTTTTGCAAAAATGTGACCGTCCACAATGGAGGCATCCAAATCTAAACTGTGCAAATCTCAGTTTGGAGTCGGGTGGAATTTAGATTGTCCATTGAATACTTGGGGTGCACCAAATTGCACTTGATGTTTTTTGATAAAATATCGATTACATAATATACTTTCCGATTAATTTGGTTTTTAATGTGCTATTTGAATAAACTAGCAAGTATCTGTTTCAGCAACATATCCCGAGTAAAAACTATGCAAAAAAGGGCACAAACATAAATCAATGTTCGATACATTTCCTATTATAAAAGTTGTAAAAAATAAACCTTCAGAGTAAATTAAATTTACAGAAACGTCAATGGATTTAGGGTGAGTATATTTCACTGGCATGTAAACAGAAAAGGGTCATACAACTGCAAGTAAAGTCGCAGACTTTAGTCGTGAATAATTGTGACCACTTTGTACAGCCTGTCTTGTGGTTATGATGGCATGTACGTTTTTACTGTCTGCGCAGTTTTAACCTACTCTGAGCACAAGGAGCCCAAGTTGCGGAGCAACAAGCAGCAATGGGCGTCTGAGGTTTTGCGTTGTTAAGTGTGCTTCAGAGCTGTTTTCCGTTTTGGTTTTGGTTGCAGATGTGGGCAATTCTGATAGCCATCATCGTTCTCATAATCATCATCATCATTAGTGAGTATACATCCCGTTTCCCATTGCTTTTGTTTCTTGTTTTTATATCTTTTTTGGCATTTGATGACACTTCGTTATGTTTTTACATGCACTTTAATGTTTAATTTAATTGATGTTTTTACGGCGTCAATGTACTTGTTTATTTCCATTTTTAAAAACACAAATGTGAATGATAACTGCTGAATGTTACTTTCTACATTTACGTTTTTGTCACTTGTTTTGTTTGTGATTGGGTTTGTAAATTTCTGCTTATGTTTTCTCATCTACTTTTCACCTGTAGTTGCGCATTTACTTCACTCGTCTCACGGTTCTGATGACCATTCACTTCACACTGCTTTAGGTTACAAGTCTTTTACTTGTGCTTCTGTGAGCGCTGTCCCTGTTTGCTGCCATCTATTTTAGAGCTAAATTGCCTTACTAATCATTTGTCATTTGACTCAGGTGAGTACCCCTTTCTCCTTTCGGATGTTCTTGGCATTGTCACGTGCGTGGCATTGTGCTGATTTTATTGACACTTTCATTCTAATCCCTTGAGATGGAACATCCCATTTGCAACGGTGTCCAGGTTATCGCTTGATATATGCATAGCGCACACATGTAATGACAGTTCCTCCGTACAATGTCCCTTTATCGTTTTGCCTCTCACGTCAAAGCCACCCAGAAACTCCTCTGATTGGTTCATAATAGATTTTTGGGTTCGGCCATATAATCTGGCCAAATTTTAGTTGTGTAACCATCCACCACCCGACATAGCGAAACAAATTATTTATGCACAAGCGTTTAACATGCCAATTATCGTTTCAGTGCTCCGGAAAGTTAAATAATAATTTTCACAACCAAATTTAGGAACCAGCTACGATGTTTCACTTTAAACCTGCAACAAGCATACGCAGGTCAGAAACCATAAAGTCTAAATAAAGTCACTTGACCCAGCTTCTTAAATCGGTGTCATTACATCACAGGAACAATCACTGGAGCAACAAATAAGGGTTAAGCAACGCCATGTACCTGCAGTCTTTGACAAATCCAGGTCTTCTGCATGTTTAATAACAATCCTACTCTTCACATGGATACAAGGGGTAAAGGAAGTGGCATTTGTAGTAACATTTGTTCCATAGTGCTGTATGCAGATCTCCCTCCTGCCACCCCATGAACAGCCGCAATGGTCGTTTTCAGTCTGTCACACTCTTGAAAGGGTGATGGTGAATGGTAAAAAAAATTATGTACTTGAAAAATGTGTTTTTGTCCCTGAAACGTTTACTTGCTTAAAACCCCACGCACTAGCCAGAACACAATGCTGAGAGATATTTACTCCAATTTAGAATGTTTGGATAATGTAGCCAAAATATTGAATGGCCACTTATGAAGAACAACTTGGTTGTAAAAATTAGCATTGCCCGTATTTGTGATGTAATGTGCATTTATCTTTTTACATTTTCTCAACTTTAATGTATGGAACACTGTTGCTAACATGTATTTTTGTTTTCCTTCTCTTTCCAATGTTAATTTCCTCCCCCTCGACTCTACATATCATTCTCCATTGTGATCATTGTCTCTGCAGTCTACTTCTCCATGTGATGTGTGGAGGCACCCAGGCCCCCTTCCCCCGCCCTTCAAAGTCTGGAGTGTCTCACACCGATTAACCCTTTCACCGATTGCTGCAAATCTCGGTCACTCCCCACTTCCTGAAAATACATTTTCCTTTTCCTAAAAAAGAAACACTCAAGAGTCAGATGTTGTGCACTTGAAATTGCATCTATTGTCCAATTAGTTTCCACAAGTGCCAACCAACTTCATTCTACAAGACATTGCCTACTGCTGAATATCAAAGCGTCCTTGCTGCTGAATCGTTTAAATCCGTCACACAGTGCTGTGATTTTCATGCAGCGATATTTTGGTGACGGTGCAAAGGAAGCAAAACTATGGCACTCATTTAGGTGACCGCGCTGCTGAGCCGCACGCCTTCCATGCACGCAGGGAGTGGCAGGTGAAATGGTTAAACCTCAGAGCGCTCCACTCACTAAGTCTCGTGTGTCACCCACTGTCTTGTCTTTGGCTTTAACTGTGTCCACACATGGCCGCCTTGTGCAGATACTCGCAGATACGTGGCTTATATTTCCAGTGCTGTTGAGAGCCCTTGTTCCCACTGTTGAATGCTGTCAATTTCTCGACCCCAAACATGTCTCTTCACTGCCCCCCTTGTTTTCTCTCCAACGCTCCACCCTCTCGCCCACCTATTGCGTTTTCTGTTTTGTTCACCATCCATGCATCTTGCCAGCTTGGGTTGTGAGTCCTCCAGTCTGCTTGCTGTACTGATCTGCTTGCTGCTGTTGGCTCCTGATTATTTTGCTGGCGAACGATTTCACCTTAATACCAGTGAAACTAAAAGTATGGTTGAAGTTGTGTGAAATTACCCATTGGGGATCAAGTTGAGCAAATGACTCACCCCCTCCTGTCCATACATTTTGTGACAGAAACGCACCTTACGTTTCCACACTCATGAGACACCTGTGCCTGGGAAAACTAGTTTAGGGGGGCCTGTATAGCAGGTGTGAGGCCATGAATGGGACTCATTGATGGTGGCTGTTTTGTTACCCCCCCCCCCCGAGTGGCTGTTTCCAGTAGTTGACTGGCTATTCAACCTGGCGCATTGCTCTTCATATGTTCTGTCACTTGCTCTTCCAAGCGTTGTTTTCATTTCATTTATTATTGTTGCTTGTTATGTTTTGTGCACGTGTTGTTTTACATATATTACATGATATTCATTGCCTGCCGTTCCATTCCATGCCTCATGCCCATGCACTTCCCCTCCCGACCCTTTTGCCCCCCCCCACCCCGATCCACCCACCCTGACCTTAATTAAAAATAAAAACGCAGTCGCCGTTTACACCAACAAATAGAGAGGAGGGGGTCCCCAGGCGTTGCAGCAGCAAGAAGGAAATCCTCGCCTGTCTACGCTGTTGCTGGCTGCTCGCCTACATATGCCTCGCCCACTCGCTTGCTCACCCTCGCTCTCTTCTGCTGCATCCGGCGCATTGCGAACGCTGCCACGCGCCACGCGTTTGTGGTGCTGCGCTCGCCCTCGTAGCCCATGGGCCCAGACCAAATATTCGACTCGTTGGTACAACCTGAGATGGAAACATTTGAGGTGTACCGATATCAGTGAATCGTCAACAAAAGTTAATTATGCAATAACCGTCGTTATCAGAATCCACTTTTATTCACCATGTATAGAAACCGATATCGCTAAATCTTTGCCACCACCAGTGGTACGCGGACTAGTTTACGATCGGCTCTGGCCCATGGATTACATCGCACCTGAACGATGGTTGCTTCGTCAGTGTCCAGCGAAGTCGCCCCCCCCCCCCCCCCCGCCGGTGAGGAAGGAGGAGGAGGAAATTCTGCATGTCGTCGCAACGGCAGATGGGAGCACTTTAAATATTAGCTACTTCAATCATTCTCAAGTGCGTCTAAAAAGCTATGCTATGATTTTTTTGTGGGTAGGGGGCAGTGTTGCAATTATAAAATCTGCACGTAGATAACTTTCATTAATTCTGCGGGTTGCTGTCTTTAAAAAAAACAACCGCCAACATTGAAGATCTGCTCTCCGCACTGGGTGATGGCCCTGGCTCCCACCGTTCAGGTGCAACGTAAACATGGGTATGTGCACACTCAACGTTTGTATTGTGTGTGCAGGTATCAGGTCATTATTAAGCTCCTTGCTTTCTGCACTTCTAACAGCACTCCCATTATATTCACTTTACAAAAAAAGGGCCGGTGATTATAAAACTCCTCGCAAGCTCATGTAAATGCACGTTGTTTACAATTTTCTTTTAATTTTGCCTTATATACGAAGACCAGTTGGGTGTGCAAGATTAGATTTTTAGCTGTTAATCTTGTGATTAATTTCAAGATCTGCATATAAAAATGACCCTCTTAATTGGCAAAGCAAAAAGGGGTGGTGGGTACTTGGTGGTCAGACTGCAATAGGGCCCAGGCATGGAAAGCTGGCATGTTCCCAAGGGCACCTGAATCGCTCAACCCCAGCAAACATTGACAATTTTGCTCAAAATCCAGCGCACTCTTACTCAATCCAGCTACACATGTAACACCTGGGCACATTCCAACTGGTCTGAGCGAAAAAAGTCTTTTTCTTTTAGTTCGAGTGTGTGTGTGTGAGATGTAGCATTCGAGTGGCGTCTGCGCGTGCGTTCACTGTGGTGTCCTTATTCAGGTGTTCTTATTAACTGGAGGGAAGTTGACCTTCGTGATTTCGTAATCCAATGATTAATCACAGCCTTTTTGTCATGACTTGTGGAAAAAATTATTGTGACCTACAAGCTGTAAGATTGGTGTCGTTTGTGTCTTAACTATAAAACATTCCAGGTGGGAGGACGTTTTAAGAAGTTGCTCTTAGGGGGAGACTGAACCAATTGGTGATGGAAAAGCAGAATCCCAGTTTTTTTTTAAGTTTGGCTCTGTAGTTGTTTTTGATCACCTTAAAAACAGCTGCTTTGCCTTGTTTTTATTTCCTTCAGTATCGGACTTGCAGGTAATCCCGTGAACCGTGTGCAATAGAATCTATAATTAGAGCGAAGGGATAATTGGCAGTGGCAATTGAAACAAATATGTGGTACAAGTGGTGTGTCTCCAATGAAGCATATGTGTAGTGTCCAAGTTGCTCTGCCTGGAAGCAGATTTCTCCATGAACAAGATCTGGATGGAAGTGAAGAACTGAAGTAGAAACCAGCGCATGCTGATCATATACAGGGCGTGTTTGCAGTTAAAAACGGGGTTCTGTGCAGACCCAGAACAGGAGTGATGCTAAAAGGCTACGATCTTGACACGCTAATTTTTTGTAAAATTGCGGCTGAAAAGCAAAAAAAAAATTATGGTAAGGTTTACAGATAATTTCGCTTTGCTCTCAGCAGCATACGCCGAAGCTTTTAAAAAGATTGGCTCATTAAAGCAATCATAACTACTTGTTTTTGACGACTTAGAATATTACTTGCACAATGTTATGAAAACGTGTGCAGCTCCAAGTCCATTTTCATTGGAACAGACCACCTTCCGCAAAGCACTGGTACCGCCCTCCAAAACGGGTGAACCAACAGCCACCATTACTGCAAATACCATGGGCCAAGGGTTGGCAACCTGCGGCTCCGGAGCTGCATGTGGCTCTTTTAAGGACCACCGTCCCGTATTCACACGCATTGTGGCTCTTGGAATATCGAGGTATTTTTTTACCGAATTCGAAAAAACGGCCCTTATTTTGGTTGCCGGCCCCTCCCATAGGCTTACCTGCACAGAAAATGCAGATTTCGCATTTTTTATAGGAAACAAAAGCACCTCACATGCGTTTCTACAGCCAAATCCAAGATTTATCTTCGGACTTTATTCAAATTCACGATTTCTGTAACTCACCACCGTGCTAATATCGTAGCCTTAGATGTTCCATTAGTAAAATATATGCGAATCCTGTTTCGGGAGAAGTGGGCTCATCGAGCCGTTTCAATCGCTGTCCACTTATGTCGCCGATCGGTCGCGACGGAGCACGGAGGAGTCCGTGCCGTTTCCCCAAGGGCACGCGCATAGCCGTCGCGTTGGCGCAGGTCAGTGTCGACGCCCCCCATGCCGTTGTCAAGGGATCTCAAGCCTCGCGTGCCTGTCGAATATAATTAAAATGGCTCTCGAAAACCACTCGTGCTCAGCAATTGTGAACTTTTGAGAACTTGTGCATTTAATAATTACCAGGTCGCTGTGGCCATAGCCGTCAATCCACGCGCTGCGAAGTCTCCGGTGGTTTTTTGATGACGCGCGTTTTAACGTCGCCTCGTCTAGCACCGCCCTACGCTTTGTTCTGTTGAGTGCATCACCCAAATGGAGCAGTGTGTGTGACCTGTTATAAATCACTGGAAAGTGCGGGTGGGGAGTATAGGCAGCGCGGACCTGTGGGCCGATGCATTAAGCACCCAAAGTGAAAATCTCCATTCATAGACACTGATTCACGTAGGAGATAAGGGAATGTACTTAAGTTTAATGCAGGTAACTCCTGGCCTTTGTCCCGGGTTAGTGCTGCACAGTCTCCCCCTAAGGTGAAACCACCGCCCGCTGCACTGGTGACCCGGCGCCTGCATAGCCCAGTACAGGTACAGGTACTGGGCTATGCCGTGTTCAAGCAAGGTGGCTCGGCACTTAGCACAATGTGTGCTGGGCACATTGCGTCTCTCAAACATTCCCTTTTGATAGCCTTTCCGAGTTAGTGCACGCATTGCGCGTGTCAATGCGCGTGCCTGTGCGCGCGCGTCTATAGCGGGTGTATTTATAGAGGTTTTCTTGATAGATGTGTATTTTATGCCGTATTTGTAATTGTGCTGTGCTCTTTTTGCACGTTATATACGCATATATACTGTACTCATGGTTGACTAGCGTTCTGTGGGTGTAAAACAATTACAAATATTGGTCACGGTGCACGCGCATACATGCGCGCGCAAACTGCGCGCGTCTGTATGCGCGTGTCGTGTATCACTCTGGCCTATGCGTGTGCTGAATTCACGTGAAGGGAAATATAAAGTGGAAACTGTATGGTTTTGGTACTTTACCTTCAACGTAGTGTGTATAAATGATCATTAATAAAAATTGTCCGTAATGTGGCTGGTTTTCGTGTGATTTCTGCTTGTGCTGACACTTCAAGATGACGGGTACAAACGAGACCCCATTGAAACTCTCAATTGGCAAGGTTACCTTCTCATTCCAAAGTGTCCTTGCAAAGCAAGGGGGATGTTATCGCGTTTTGAGCAAACGGAAATACAGTATTGGACCTCGGTCTGAGGGGTGCCTTGTTGAGATGTTGAGACACGAGAACTGGTTGTGAAGAATAACAGCCTGAATTTCGATTTAAAGCTTTCGTGACTGCAAGGATTCATCTTCTTTGGTTCTTTCGGTAAAGTCACGTAGAATGAGAATAAAATAATTGATAAAATAATATTCTCACGACGTTTCGGCCACAACACAAGCGGCCTTCATCAGGTGAAGGGACGAGACTGTCTGTCCTACCACACAGTCTCGTCCCTTCACCTGATGAAGGCCGCTTGTGTTGTGGCCGAAACGTCGTGAGAATATTATTGTGATATTTTATTTTATCAATTCATTATTTTATTCTCATTCTACGTGACTTTACCGAAAGAACCAAAGAAAATAACAGCCTAGTTATGTGGTTTAGTGGGAATGATAATTATTGGTATTCTTGGGTCGAGTGGGTTTTGGTGGGATTTGGGTTTTAGTGAGAGTCGTATATGGTACAGGAGAACAAACCACTTCAAAATCAGACTTTAGGTTCTCTAGTTAAGAAAAACTGCGTCAAGTCTTGTCAGGCACTCATTCTTTGGGCCTTTCGGTAAAGTCACGTAGATAGGTTCAAAGAGATTAACAAAAACTACGTTTCAATCGCGTCAGGATGACGACCGCATGTGTTGCGATCGAAACGTAGTTTTGGGGTTTTTTACCTGTCTACGTGACTTTACCGAAAGAACCAAATAATATTTTGTCAGGCAATTTATGGAATTGCCATAGTCGTTCAGTACTCAGGCCCCTGCTTCGTAAAGCGCCCGCTACATACGGTTACAGCATATCGCGAAGCCACTGAAGCCCCGAGCGTGAAATTGGGTGGGACGTTCGCTTTGCTGCGACCATTTATCACGGTAGCGGTGGTTGGTGATTGTCGTATAAATGTCACAACTTAATGCGCTGTGCACACAGCCCACAATGCACTGTCACATAAATAATGTACACCCCCAGTGACGTGGCAGGAGAAGAAGAACTTGTTCATAATTAGACGCATCGCACCCATTTTATGTATCGCGTTCCTCTTGATGTCTCCGGCCTCTGGGCCCTTTCCCTGCACTGACCCCCACCATAATTTGGCTCTTCACCATTGTAACCCGGATTTACAAGTGGCTGCATCTAGACGCTCTATACATTACAACATTTAAAAACGGCATTGGATTGGGAACATGCACTTAAAATAAAAAATTATATAGCAAATTTGATGTCATATTTGGTGAGACACCGAATGTCGAAACCGGTCCAGAGTTTGTCTTCTAAAACCCAATTCCGCCGATGGGATGCGCATAAATGTAGAGTTTTATGGTGTACAGTAATAGTAAAATATGCATTAGGTTTCTATGCCGAGGGACAGATATGGGAAGGGGGCGTTCTGAGCAGCTTTGCATTTTGCAACAACAATGTTCCAATGCTGTGGCGATGACCGCTTTGGCGCAGAGTCCGCGTGCATTTCCATTGGCGGAGCGCAAGGGGTCACTCAACACGTGGCCAGGCACTGGGCCCGTCAGCATGCACAGCCCATGTGCCACTCGCGAGTAATCGCAGGCCCCACTCTCTCCGTGCCTGTCGCTTACACGATGCGTCGAACATTATTACCGGGTAGGGAAGCTGCCGTGGTGTAATGGTTAGCAGCACCACTCTACTGGATTTGCATTCCAGAGGTCACCGTTTCGAATCCTCATCGACGTGGAAGTCATAAAAATGGGGGAAGCGCTTATAAAATCTTCACTTCCCCACGCTTCTGTCTATCCAATGGAATACTCTGAGGTGAATCTATGATCAAGCCGTCACGTGTGGTTAGGTAAAGTCCCAGTACTCCCACATCATCCATCACATCTGGTCATGGCAGTCAACCAAATATCAGCTACAGTTCCCTCTAGTGGAAGCCCTTCCACCAGCAGTGGCGTTAGCAGGCAAATGCAGGGCAGCGCCTTTGCCTTTTACAGCAGTTGTTTCACGTGGATTAAGAATGATAAGAGTGATGTTTACAATGACTGTGGCCGTCATAATTACTGTGTATGTTTAAACTCAGCAAGTACACATTCTGACACGCAATACATAAGCACGCGTGTAAGTAATTACGATTGCAACTTACTCAAATTACATGCAAATGTTACATTTCGAGTGAACTGGACTGTAAACAAAAAACAGTAAAGGCGTTGCATAACACCGCTCGTCCCTTTTGCACAATGTCACCGACACGATTCTCGACGGCCACTCGGGGTGCACCGTCTGGCGGACGCAGAGCGCTATTGCAGCATATATCACACGTGGACTGGGTGGTGCCGACAGGGGCTTCAGGTCACTCATGCCTTGCCTTATTTATTCACGAATGTGGTTTAGGGATCAAATCTCTTCCCGTCCATGCACAGGCTGGTCCCACCGTCTGTTTCCTTTTCGTAAAGGATCAACAGAAGATTATGCCCGGTGCCGGCGTGATGCCACCATGCCTGGCCATCGCTTCCTTCATTATAACATCCATAGTGGCTCTTACGTATGTTTATTGAACTTCGTTCTGACCGTATATAGCCAACTGTGCTGATCGTTTGATTATTCAACACATTGAATTACACGTTCAATAATCAAACGATCGGCTTACTTACTAATCTGTCTACACATAAAGTAAAAGTATGTTATACACATCCCATCAGTTAAACAGCATTTGGGAGTGCATAATTTCAACAAAATTGTTTCAACACAAGCTAGCTCTGGAACAGTTTTGATATGCAGTGTCTCATCATGCAGGGTCAGGCCTTTCTTAAACCAAAGCTGGTTACTGCCTTCTATGTTGATCGCGTTATTTTTCCTTTGATTTCAATTTGGTTGTTTACTTTGATTTCAGTTTATATGCTTTTGCACTTATTTCTATTTGATAGATTTCTGTACTTTATGTTTTTGCTTTTTATTTTTCCCAGGTCACTTGCAAATTAGGCTCCTCCTGGTGTTCTCAGCTAGCTAAACAAAATATACTTGGAACGTTTGGTCATGTGCAATGTGTTCAGCATAAACAAGGAGCGTGGATGGTCCGCATTAACGCTCACACACACACATGCTTGCTTTAAAAGGGAGAGTGGTGAGCGAGAGAGAGGCGGTGGGAAACCACGGATCTGAGTGGCTGGGATTTGAATTTAGGTCACTTCACTCGCAGAGCATTGGCTGGGGCTCGACGAGCGGCGAACACGCGCGGACACGTGCGGCTTCTTACCCAGCCGGCTCACCCAGCATCGCATGCCTTCTTCCCAGGTCGCCTCTGCACATTATCGAATACTACATAACACGGCCGCCTTGCCAGTCCACTATTATAGCAACGCCTCCACCCTGCGCCGTGTCGTTCATGGGGCTTATTTGGTCGTTTTTTTTTCATAATTTCTGAATTGAAATCTCACGACATTCTTCATTAACACTGCTTCATAACATAACTAAATATTGTTTTAATTGTCCTTAGTTATAGCCCTGGAGGAGGGCAATTTCCTGAAACGTTAGTGAAGGTTGCGAGTTCTATTTTTATCAAGATATTTCACCTGGATGACCCCTTGAGATTAATTTCGTTTGCCATACTTCACGGACGAGTTGGTGAAGTGTTGATGGAAAGGGTAGGGGGTGGGGGACAGACAGGCTGCTATATCACTCGCCACTGATGTTGGTTGTGCTCGTGAATCTAACGCAGGTGACTCTAGGTTTATGCTTTATAGTGCAGTGCGCTTACCACTGCTGCCCAGATGTTCCCCCCACATTGTAAAGAAGCGGCACGAATTAGCGTAACGAAGGCAGCGTTCTATGTATAGGCAGAGTCTTAATGCGAGATCATCTCAACCAAATTTAGCTGCGCGGCTTGGCCGCGGCTTTTCCGCGTCACGGTGTGGCCGTGGGGTCGGGGTCACGCGGTGCCGTGCACTGTTCACGATGATGAGCGCGGATGATGACTGCGATGACACTGTGGTGGCAGCGGTGCATAAGCACAAACAATAACAATCTCAACGCATGCACCACATGTCACGATGCATGGTCATGCATTAGCGAACACGTGCAATGCATGAGCACGGTGCGTATAGGACGTTCGAGAACTCGAGAGACTCGAATAGTCTTATTTCAAGAATGTTATTTGTTTTTGGTCACCGAAACCGAAAACAAATAAAATAAGGCAGAGCCTCGCAGCCAGATGATAGCCGGCTGGAGCCTGTGCTGGTTTACACTGCCACGGCAATTACGCTCCAATGGGTAACAATGTCCCCGTACACCGCCGCGTGTTTACGCGGAGCCACCCACGTAACCGCCTTGACCCTTCTGAGAACCCCCCTCCCCCCCGGTGAAGTGAGGAGGCCACGGTGTAAACGCGCAGCACGGCTTAGGGAACGTGAGCTGCGCTCGCAGCTCACCTCCCATTGGCGGGGTCGCGTCGTGCCGCCTTCCAGCCCCTCGGTCTCTCAGCCAATGCGGCGCCGGCCACGGCGAGGGCTCGCTGAGCGGCCAATGGGCCCGTGCGGGCCCCCTCCAGCCCCCGGCGGTCACGTTGTGGCGAGCGTGTGGCTTTTGATAGGGGCTCGTGGCAGGCAGCGCCGGCACCATTCGTGAGCCAGATGTGCGCACCTGGGAGCTGCTGCCGCTGCTGTCACCGCCACCACAGACCCAGTTGCTGTTCAACATCACCAGTTTAGTTATTTAATAGCGGTGCTGCGCATCACCTACACGTGTGATATATACATTCACATAAGCTTACAATAAGCAGATGTGGTCGAGGTTGTGATTTTAGGGGTTGATTTGTGTTTTGAGGTTTTAGGTTTTTTTACGTTTGGAGGAGACATCTGCGCGTGGACGTTAGTTTCTGATTAGCAAAAAAACCACCGTGAGTTTATTTTGCCTCCATGCAAATAACACACGCACATTTACACACAACCATAACATTGCCCTAACATTCACACACAACATAACATTACTCTAACATTTACACGCAACGTAACCTTACCATCACATTTACACGCAACACCACATTACCCTCATTAATTTACCCTCAGACACTCACATAAAATACAACATTACCTTCACACATTCAACAATTACCCTCAGAAACTTTTTTACATATTCACTAAATTACCTACACATTCCCGTAACATTACCTTCACACAGATGGCTGATACTTCACTCGATTCCATACTCTGCAGTCACGTTTGCATGTGTGAATTCGTTGTTTTTATGCATTAGTTAAGTTGTGGTGATTACATATGACAGAGATGTAATTGGCACCCATGTCAATATCCCACTGGTACACGATGCGTGCGTGCAATATGCACACCTGCAATGTGTGGGCTACGCAATATCATCAACGCTAAATACGATATCACATTAGCAGATTAAAGTGTTCATTTTGTGTACATACGGAAATGTCGTTAAATTGCTCGTTCTGTGCATGTATTGAAATGGTTGCTAATGCTTTTGGGCGTTCATACAGGCAAGTATATACCATCACGGACTATGATGTGCACATGCATGCTGGGTGACACGCAGCGCCAGAAGTAAATGTTCATTATTGCTATATTCATAACAATTGTTCCTCACAGCACCAACCATGGGTTCGATTCCCGGACTCGGTCGCTTTTCTGAGTTTGTTCTCTCTTGTGCATGGGGTTTTTTCCGGGTTCTTCAATAGCTAAAAACAACCGTACAAAGGACTGGTATTTACCAATGATTCCAATGCAAAATAAAAACACAGCAAATTACTTATTTGGGATTAAACATAGCAACATTGCCGCCTACTGCCAAATTTTGGCGGGACCCTTCTGGAAAATAGTCTATAGACTCTGACTTTCCTGGGTAAACAGGCGTCATAATAATTCCCTATACATAACATTGCACATAAACGCATGCTCACTATAATCTCTCCACTGCGTACAACGTGTATGACGGGAGGATGCGTTGGTTCAAAGTATTGCATACAACTGCAACGTTGCATTGATGACGGATTTTTCTGATCACTGATTTTCTACACAACGACACCAATAATTATTGTGTTGTATGGTTTTGCGTCAAACTAGGACCTATATCTAACACCCAAAGAAGGGTCATTTCCTGTAAACGTCTGGCAGTTCAGCATTGGTTCAAGCAAGCCTGACTTGATAAGACACTGAATATGAAAACTGGTCGAGTTTGTTGCTTGTGTTGAAGAAATGCTGCTGAAATGATGCCACTCCCAGAAGGCCGTGTGGCGGATGGGATGTGTAAAATACGTTTAGTTTGTATTTGGGCCTGTGGAGGTAGGAGGCGAAATGCCCGCTGCGTATAATTTGTGTAAGACGCCTCCACGAGTGTTGGGTCAAGGGGTGCGATACGATCACCGCGCGAGTAAACATCTAGCGCGTGTTATTCATTTGTGAAAATTGTACAATGAGTGTTTTATTTAAGCCAGTGGCGCGGACTGAACGTTAAATGGGACGGGACAGAACGGGAAAATACAAACGAGACGGGCAAAACGAGGTGACTCGACTTACATTGAGTCGCGCCCGCTAAATCGCGGTGCATGTGTGTGGCGGTGAAGATGATGATGGTAGTTGAGCTTATGGCTTTTGAAGTACACCATTACACGTGCAGCCCTTAGCCAATGCACCGCGGGACGAAGATGCCTCCTCCCCACATCCGCTCGCGCTGTACTCAGCTGCGCTAATGGAACAACTTTCTGCTACTCTGAAAAATAACGCGGCATCATTAGAACACGACATCACTATTCGATATTGCAGAGTTTTAATCAGGACCCATAGTTAACATAGGGGGTATTTGCCTAGAAACATCTGGCAATTCACCAGAATTGGTTCAAACAAGTCTGATTATGGATGAGACACTGAGTGTCGAAACCGCTCCAGAGTTCTGCGTGTGTTGAACTACGCACTCCCAGAAGACCGCGTGACTGATGGGATATGTAAATCGTATATGTGGAGACAGATGTGTGAAAGAGGCGAATTGTTTGCTAATGTCTATTGTGTTATCCACTTCTAAGGCTCAGGCATGTTTTAGTTATTTATTATTCGACTTGTTAACGCAGGAAAGTCTCATCGAGTCTCAATACATATCCACGAGGATTTCTGTCAAATGTTCACAGTAGTGGGTGCCGCAATGCAGCGCGGATTTCTGCGTGGAGATTTCGCGATACCGGCAAAGGAGCTCCTTCCTCGAGTAAATCATTTGAGTGGAGTGCGATAGACGATAGTCAGAGAGCACGTGTGCATGCGAGTCCACGAGTTCGATATTTATTTCTACTGTCACCCCTCACTCAAGATGGCTTGGCCGTCTTAAGTCGTGACTTACATCTTCCTGCCACGAATAGAGGACGTTTAAGATAACGTCACATGCACAGAGGCTCTGCTGCTGAGCTGTAGTTAGTCCAGACGGAACTCGCGCTCCCCTCAGCCGCTCCGAGAATATCTCACCGACTATTTTTAAATCTGCGCGTGTGTGTCTGTCTACTGCTAAGCGCACACACCGTGCTGTGTGTACAATACACACAGCACTGTGTGTGTTGTACACGAGAGACGAGCAAGCGGCAACACCCCGTGCCGGTCGTGGAGGGTTAGTTGACCATACTTCACCGTTCTGGTCACTCTGAGTTGGTGAAGGCGCGTAGCATGAACTCCGCAGCATAAACGTGGAGCAGCAACAATGGATCTTGACCACTCCTTCGCCGCAGATAATCTTAGATGACGTGAATTCCCATTGCACTGCCGTTTCATTGAATTGGGTCCCGGGAGACTGTCAACACGTGGGGTAGCGTAGGAGAGCAGAGTGGTGCACGAGTTTGCGTTTACTTTGCGTAATAAGTGGTGGTAGCGATGCCTTGCGCATTACACCGCATGCACAAAGCGCCTCGGCTCACGGAACGCTGCGCGTGCTGGGGATGGGCACGTGTCTCTGTGTACATGATCTGACGTGTACACATTTATTAAGGTTATATTTTTTATGAGTATGCTGATCCCTAACGTCATTATAATTAGCGTGCAATATTTTCCAGGTAAAATAGTGATTGAATAAAACATGGTGACTAAATAAAATGTGCATTGCAGCTGTTGATCAGGGCAGGGGGTAGAATCGCGCGCCGCTGCTTAATGGAGGGGCGGCCAGACGCACACAGCCCGGGGTGGAGGAGCAGGGATGAGTGGCAGCTTCATTAAGCAATGCACAATTTCGCTCCACCTGCTGCCCCACCTCCCTTCGCAGCCCTGCAATTGGTCAGGGGGCTCTCATGTCCCACGACCAATGAACGGGACCCGTACGTCTTGTACAACAACAGGTTGGGTCAGCTCAAGGCACGCCGGCTCCGCAGGGTGGCCCGGTAAACTCATGCACGAAGCCACACCGTATACGTGCCCCGTTATTCGAGCTGGAAAGTCAGCGAACCCATAGAATATCGGTGCTACACACGCACAATCACCAACAAGCAAAGAATGCCACGATAAAATATCTCAGAATCCCCTTCAATTGCTCAACATGTAAAATTCCATCTTCTCCCCCCTCCTCAACGTCCCACCCTTCCCCACGCCGCGCACACGCGCACTCACGTAACAAACACCCACCACCTGCCCCCCGCATGGAAAGCCATGTGTGGCCCCCCTGCCCCTCCTGCAGGCAGCGGGGAGGCCGCGCAGAAAACCGCGCGGTGCCAGTTCATCTCCTCCCACTGTGAGTGGCGTCTCTTCCTCCTCCTCCCACTGTGAGTGGCGTCTCTTCTCCGTACTGAGTTGCGTCTCTTCCTTCTCCCACTGTGAGTTGCGTCTCTCTATCCCCACTGTGAATGGCCCACATCAGCACTGGCACGCGGTGAAAACGCATCAAGAAAGTCAATGACTCTCCGCCAAACGCCACAGCTGGCTTTGGAACGTCTGCTGTTGTAATTCTTGACACGTTTATTCCTGTATATTTGTTTTATGAATCCACGTGGATATTCAGACCAGGTGCTTGCATAATGACGGTTTATGTAAGTTGGTTATTGTCCACGTAAGGGACTTAACTGTGTACTCGCGGAGTGGGCGATTCGCATTTGTGGTGCCGAGAGGGAGGGCATCGTGCAGGTAAGCGACGTCTGCCCAAGCTATCAGCGCTCCTCTCTTTCCTTTGAGCTTTTTACAGTTCTGCGAATTAACACAGTATCTGGTCCTGCTACTACTGCTCAGTTGGCCGTGGTGCACATGTAGTAATAGGTTTTTACCCTTTTATCTGGCACAAAAACTGATACCTTTATACAACGGATCATGTTTGCAATAACCACAACACAAGTAGTCAAAATGCAAACAAAAAAGACAACTCTGATAATATGCACTGTCCTTGAATTTGATTGGTCCACACCCGAGACGGCTTTTCTTAGAGCCCAGTCTCCACTGGTGTTGGACCAGAAGACGCCAAAAGGCGTACAACTCAAAAACAGCGCACCATCAGAGTATTTTTGTGCCAGATAAAAGGGTAAAACCCTATTACTATATCTTGCTACTGGCAAAGGAGGTCTCATAATGTAAGCGTTTACCCCGAGCTCTAAATACTCTGATGGTGCGCTGTTTTTTAGTTGTACGCCTTTTGGCGTCTTCTGGTCCAACACCAGTGGAGACTGGGCTCTAAGAAAAGCCGTCTCGGGTGTGGACCAATCAAATTCAAGGACAGTGCATATTATCAGAGTTGTCTTTTTTGTTTGCATTTTGACTACTTGTGTTGTGGTTATTGCAAACATGATCCCTTGTATAAAGGTGTCAGTTTTTGTGTCAGATAAAAGGGTAAAAACCTATTACTATATCTTGTTACTGGCAAAGGAGGTCCCATAATGTGGTGCACATGCACAACAAAAATGTAACCTTCGTCAATAACACTGTGGCCTTAAAAGTAAAATGATATAATTGGCCACAATTCTGGCAAATTCTCTTAATCTGTGCTATGTAGAAGAGCTATTTCCCAAAACGTTGCCTATGATAATTTTGATACTTTTAAGGCCAGAGTGCTTTTGCGGAAGGTGTGAATTTTTGTAATTTGACAGTTTAGGTACTTGCTGTGTTAATTGCTTAAAGTTCGTGCTCATGCCAATTGCAATTCACTTATTGCAATCTAAACAATAATTGATTTTTATCAAGCAGCTAACTAAACTTTGGCCTAAATTTTGCATTCATAAATTAAACTCATTACCTTCATGAACACTGCCGAATTTCAGAAACATAAACTAATGCAAATGAGACTTGCAAACAACTTTCCAATCACTCTTGCCAATGCTACTTTACCATCTCTTATGTTATCACCTGCTTAAATACAATGAACTGTCCTATGTAATTGTCCAGTTATAGCTCTGGAAAAGGGCCATTGCCTGAACCGTTAATGAAGGTGGCTGCGCGGTTGTGGCGATATCCGAGATGGCGATGACGGCCCCCGTGAGAGCAGGGATCTTCGGTCCGTGCGGCTGTGCTTGTTTGCACGACCACGCGTGGCACCCGAATCGCCATCTTCTCTGCCGCGATTCAGATCTTGCAGAGCAAGCAACACGACCCTGCTGCTGTCGCTGCTGTTGCTGCTGATGCTTAACGCTGCTGGGAGTGACATTTTGCCGCTCGTTTTCATGTTGACGAGACTTAATTCAGCCCGAGCCAGGGATACGAGGGAAAGGGTTCATGCAATAGCCCCTCCCACAGACAATGCCAACATCGGATGATTCGCTTCGGAATTCTCTCTGATCGTCTGTCTTTGCTCAATCCAAGAAATGTGCTTACAACTCTGATAGTGCCGTTTGTTGGTGGCTGCTTGACGTTTTGGGCATTTGGGCCCCGTGCTTAGCAAACTTTATTTTTTTTTCAATGACAAATACGAACGGCGTCATTCACTGCTGATGAATACAGATTAGTCCCGCCTTATTACCCAACACCCAACAGAGCCCAGCCATCGCGGAAGCAGTCCTAATAAATCCACAACTTACATCACTTATCACCTCATAGTAAGCATCAGGGCATCGTTTGTCCAAAAGTCGCCGTCTGGTGGCGTACCACACGCAAGGAGGAACGCGTTGCCACCCACGGCTGTACTCGTAAAGGTCACCTCTTCACTGCGCTCCTACATAGTAACATATAACTAAGCAGACCATATAGGCCATGGGCTGCAGGAGAAACTGGTTCCACCGAAGGCCGGAACTACTTGAGGCGTGCTGATTTATTTACGTTGCCAATGAGGGTGCATTACTTTATAACCCCGCTCATGCTACACGGTTATCTCATAATTCACTGTTATTTTGACCTCATAAATAAATCGGAATGGCGAATGTTAGGCCACGACAGGTGAAGACAGCAGAATGCGTGTAGCCAGGACCGGTAACAAAATGAGATAACAGAGGCGGATGATAATAGGGAGGAACGATTTTGGAGAGCTCGGCTTTCTCATCAAAATTAACACAGCGACGCACCTATGTGAATGTAGAATTTCCACACTCTTCCTCTGTATTCGTGTAGATGGGAGATATATGCAGTGTCTCTATGTTGTCTGCCATTCACAGCAGTGAGCCTGTCACCAGCGGTTTGACATTTTATTTAACCGCCACAATCATTCATAACAAAATTCCAATTACGAACGTATTCTCTGAATAAATTTCGTTGTTGTATGGTTCTCGATGAACTCATGCTATCAAGCAATTACGGGTTCTAGGTGAGGGTGACTCATTTATTATCTGTATCTGTTGGCATATCGCAATCCCCAGCAAGCAGGTGGCCTTTTAAAGTCATGTTGGTTCCGCCGGAAGGTGATGAATTTTTCTATTATGCGGCAAATCTTATAATTTCACCTCCGCGCATGTGGGTTGCGTATATGTGAGCACTGTGAATGGGCCGGCTCTCCGTGTGACGCACGGCCCACGCTGCACATTTCATTGTGCGCTTTGGCCACTGACGGTGCTGGCTGTCAATGCCACGGGGAATGAGGCTTGCAAGATAAAAAAAGGCCTTTCGCTTTCCACACCCAGGGCTCTTTTATTCAACGTCCCCCTTCAATCCGATCCCTTTGTCGAATTTAATTATTTTTTTCGGCGCTACAAAATTGAGGACACTTCCTATCTCTGATAGTGCTGTTTTTTGCTGGCCGTTTAATGTTTCAGACCTTCGGCCTGTACTCAGAAATTGTGTAAACATTTTTAGGAATTATCTAAATTGGCAAACAGCAAAACATGAGCAGAATAAAATGAGAGTGCTTAGATAGGATTACGCGGTGATAATATTAGTACAAAAATCCCACCTGATGGATGCTGTTTTTTTCTCATGGAAATCTTCACTGGAGACACAGTTAAATTATATTAATGGGCTCTTACTTGGAGTGGTGCTTACATCACATTTAATGCCAAGGAGCAATCATTCACTTGGGAGCATTGCGGGTGGCTTGATGAGTAGCGATTGTCATCATTAGTAAAATCAAATCCTCAACTAAAAGTGGAAAACAATGAGAAGGGACCCAAAACAATGAGAAGGGCCCAATACTGAGATGTAACCGGTTAATTCAAATTAACAACTGGGTTTTATACTCCCACTCATAATATAAGAATATCTTGACCTTTTGTCCAACTTAGGCCTCTTAACAAAATACTGAGTTTTACAAAGACACCGGGGCCTGACTAATATAGTATTTGTATTTAACACCTTTGCGGAATTCCCGCAACGTCTAGGTTTTGGCTAAAGTTGCCACGCTCAATCGGTGAAGGCCCTGTTCCATGCAAAACTCCACAGCCAATCGGTAGCCGGGGGAGTGCCGATGGTAATTGGGGTGAGTGCGATGGCCTCCTTGGCTTTGTCCCAGCGACGATGAGGAGGGCGTGTTAAGGTTTGTCTCCGCGGTGTGAGCCGCCTTTGCACGTGATTCCGCACGTGGAGAGTGGCGGCGAGTGGGGGTGACGTTGGGGAGGAGGCGTCGTGCAGCTGGGGATGAGCTGCGAGGTGTCCCGAGCAAGAGGGGCTAATGGGGAGTGAAGTGTGAAGGAAACGAATGCTCCGCACACAGGTTTCCAATGTGATGAGAAAAGCTTCAATGAGCATTTCATATTGCCGTGCGTTAAACATTCGCAGGTCAGCTTCTCCAGATATTAGCAACGCTTGTCTGTGTACCAGCTGGGATAGGCCATGTTGGATTCTACTCGCACCATACCCACAATAAGTCAAACTGCAACAAGATCCCAGAGTATTTTCACGCTGGTTAATTAACGTTGCAGCATTGTTTTGGAACGGAATTCACTGTTTTTACACATTATGTCGATGCTGGCACCAAACTTTGTGCTGCCAACGGCTGCCTCGTGCAGGTGAAAAGTGACACTTGTGCTCCGTGAGCACTGAGGTAGCGTCGCTAATTCATAGCTTTATCCCCATGACGGATTAAGAACGGCGGGGAGGAAACGTGGATTGTAGTTGCAGGATGAGAAGCAAGTGGCAGTGACGGTGCGATTTAATCCATGCATTGATGATGTCATCCCTGAGCCCTTCCATTCTCCACGCTGACATTTATAGTTAGCATTGTGACATTAAAAAAAAAACCCTTCCTCTTCATTATTAGGTGAGGAATTCGTCTCGCCAATTCCAGTCTCAGATTTCCTGCCGACGTGTAATGTCATGTATAGAGGTTAGCGAGTGAGGCCTCTTCTGGATTGTGACAAGAGCGGTGTGGGGTAAGGTGTTGGAGGGAGGCCTCAGGGTGATGATTTCAGCCCAGTAGCCAGAGAATGGGCCAAGCCTGGCGGCTATCTTGGCACACTTTGTCACTACCACGCACAGGGCCACCGGTTCAAATTTCGCCGCCACCCTTGGTGACTGATGCGGGGCTGTGTCACCAAAGCAGACTCGCTGCCTGCTGCATAGTGGACGTGAACAAAAAAATGTATTTTGTACAGCATCATTCATGCTGATGGTGCTGAGCGTCTTGTATAGTTGGCTGTGAAAATTGTTCTTCAAATGATCAGAGTGAGCTGAAACAATAGTAATTGGTATGCTAAGTTCTTGTACACATGCCATGTAATTAGTTTGTCTGTGTCTGCTGGTGGAGGGTCTGAATGAAATGCATCTGGCTAGACCATTCCGTGGTTTTTCCCAAATGTCAATTATGATCCTTAGAGTTGGAATCTATTGTTTTTCTTGGTCCAGTTTTAACTTCAAATGCTGTATGGTGCTACATTGCGGCCGGTATAGACGCCAGTGAGTCCTACGTATCATGCGTGGCAGATGAAGAGATGGAGAGAGAGCGCGTGCGATAGGAAGAGGCAGCGAGCGAGAGCACGAGGGAAGATGGACACGAGAGCCCCCCTGTGTGGCCATGGCCCCGGGACGAGGAGCAGAGATCCTCTCCCCACTGGCAGTGCTCGGCTCAATGGCCGAGGTCGATATCGGAAATTGAATTTTCGACACAATCGCACGTACCCTTTGTGAAGGACGAAATTTAAAGAGCTGATTTTTTAGGGTTTGGCACACCAATTAAAATGTGCAATCAATCACTGCTGCACTCTAAAATGTATTTCATAAGCTTTGTTATAATATTAATCTATTTTCCTTTTTTAAGCAGTGCGGTTTATCGCAATTTGTTTTGCCAGGTGAAGGCTCATTGACAACTTTTCCCCGAGTCATGGAGAGAGGAATAATTGCATTTACACAAGAAAAATTATATATATAACGGTTGTGGACAATTTTAAACCATCCAATTTTCCTCACATTTACATTCTAAATAGACCACCACCGACATAAAAATATGAAATAAAAAACTGACATTTACTCTGAAACGGCATAAAAAAATTAAATGTCCCGCTTCTGCAATTGAGTCATGAAAGATGCGAGCGCAGGGGTGGTGGTCCCTGCGTGATTGACGTGGGAACGTGACCATCATCACCTTGATAATGTCATGGCTCGATAAAATCAGTACCACTTTGTAGTGGAGAAGGCAACAGTGGTTGTCCGATGCAGAGACTCGCCCCCACCATAAGAATGTGGAGTTTCCACCACTAGCTCTAGGTTGTAACAAGGAAATGAGCACCAATTCCTCATTGGTCATCTCAGCACTTTGCCTTGTTGACTTCAGGTGTCTGCAGTACACATGTATACACCTGCACACGCACTGCTGTACAGGTCCCATTACAGGGTGGCATTCGTTTTAAGTTGTTTCACACTCGAGCTCTACGGTTCAACTCTAATACAGGTAACTTGGTGGAACTTTGTTGCCTTCTGTAACTGCCACGCAAAAGCCCACATTAGACACGACAACTCGGGCGCTGCTCTGCGTTGACACGTTCTCCCCTCCGCCCCCGTACCGTGCCTTGCAGATCGGAGTGACCACGGCACTCTGCCAGTGGGGACCAGGAGCACGATGGCCATCCATTTACAGACACCCGCGACAAATAATTAAAACTCATTTCACTTGATAACCATTGATAAAGTCAATAAAATCCAAGCCAGAGGCGATTCGTGATTTTGACTAAAAAAAACAACAATTGTCTTACCGGCGCGGGTGCCCAGAGGCTAATCCTGCTCCGAAAGCGGTGCCGACCATTCCCGATGGACACGGAGCAGTGCGAGGCGAGCGACGCGATGGCCATGCCGGCGGGCACCGCGGGCAACGACCCCTGCCGTCGCGACGACGAACCGTCACATCCGAGGGACCACGAGGAGGAGCCCGGACCACCGGCCGATGACGTGGACATGAAGAGCAACGGCTCGCAGGGTGAGCAGCGACGCGGCCTAGCGCACGATTGCAGCCTCTCTCCCCCGCCACGTCCCCACGCTTTGGCCGCCGGCGTCCGCTTACCGAACGCTTCTTCCGTTTCTGTCCCGCGCAGGGAACGACTCGAGCGGGAACGATGAGCTCAATGGCAGCGAGTCGAACGGTACGGGGTCGCATGATGGCGCGTCGCGCGGCGCCGGCTCCAGCGGCCGCTCGAGGGGCAGCGGCAAGGACTCTGCGCTGATGCTGCTCACGTCCGAGAGCAACAAGAGGTGAGGCCGTGTCGGAGACACTGGGTAGCGGGGGGATGTAGGGGGAAGTGAGCACGCACCGGCCGGCCACCGGGGCTGAAACCCCTCATAAGGCAGTTTTATTTTAAAAAATGAAACAGTTGTTTTTGTAAATTCCACATCATTATTCCAGTTTCATCAGTAGGGACTGCGGTCATTCTCTAACTTTGTAATCGGTGCGAAGCAGATGGCGCTTTCCAGCACCGTTTTGCGATGTAACAGGAAGACTTCATACTGCCTGCAAACCGCAGTTTGCTGCAAAACTATTGCAGCGCCTGACGGTCGGCATAGGTGCCAACAGCTTTTTCCCAGCAGTGGGTAGAAAATGGCTGCTAATGATCTGCATGTGTTTTCTTTTCTCCAGCTCAAATTCCCAGAGCCCGTCTCCTCCAAGCAGCTCCAATGCCTTCAGTCTCCTGAGCAGCTCCGAGCAAGACCACCCATCCACATCCGGTTGCAGGTGAGCTCGTCTCTCAGCCAGCTGACCGAGTAAGCCAGTCAAGTCGGTCAGTTGGTCATCTGGTCTAGGCCGACCATTCCCTCGTTGCTGTTGCGCTGACCCACGTTCATGCATGCGTTTGTGCTGAGCAGCAGTGAGCAGTCGATGAAGGCCAAGACACAGAAGGCCCTGCTCAAGACACTCAAGGACTTGAAGGCCCGGCTGCCGCCTGAGCGACGCGTCAAGGGCAAGTCGTCAACGCTGGCGACGCTGCAGTACGCGGTCTCGTGCATCAAGCAGATTCGAGGTGAGCAATCGCATTGCCCACCCGACCGGTCGCCCGCCCGCTCGCCCACCCGTGGATGTTTTTCATACGTGGCCCTGCGGTGGCGCATTCACCACCGCTCGTTGTGCCCTGGCCAAAACCGTGTGCTGCGTGTGACGCGCTGCCATTAAAATGCCCACCCTGGTGCCCCTCCTACCCCCCGTGGTGCAGCCAACGAGGAGTACTACCAGCTGTGGACGGTGGATGATGGGAAAACGGCAACGCTCGACATCGGCACCTATACCATGGAGGAGCTGGAGACGATCACCTCTGAGTACACACCCAAAAGCACCGTGAGTTTCTCCTCCTCTTCTATGGCTCACTCTCTCATAACCATACCTCCATACCTGCTCACTTATAACCACACCTCATCACCGCACACAGCAAATGGTTCAAGAACTTTACAAATATGGCTGCAAAGTTTGGGTCCAAGACGAACATAGATTGTCGAGCGATCCTGCACGGGGGTTCCCTATTACCGCCCCCCCCCCCCCCCCCTTGCACTGCCATTGTTGCCGCCGTTGACGCCGAGCTCTGCCGTCGCCTGTGGCCCACAGGACACTTTTGCGATGGTGGTGTCGCTCATCTCGGGCCGCATGATGTTCTCGTCGGAGCACACAGCCTGGACGCTCGGCTGTCGAAAGGAGCTGCTGTCCGATGTGAAGTTCGTGGAGATGCTGGCGCCACAGGACGTGAGCGTCTTCTACAGCGCCACGGCGCCGGGGAAGCTCCCACCATGGGGCAGCATGCACGAGGCCGGTACGGCGACGCACCGCGCGCTCCGCCGCCCCCCTGCCGCTTATCCCCGCCGCCCTCCGTGCCTCGCCACGCCCGTCTGCCTGCCCCTTCCTCCGACCAATGGGCGCCCGCGGGCATGGCGGGTGGTCGAGGCGGCTGCCCGGCATGCGCAGCCACGAGGGACGCAATAACGCATCCGGTCAAAAGACGCAGATTTAACATGACGCTATAGGATGCGTCGCACTCTGTGCGGATAACGAGCGATGCTTGCTTCGCAAGTCATGCGGTGGGTAACGAATGAAGGCAGGAGGCACTCTCCCAGATGGTGACTTAACAGGGGTACTTCGTTATTTGGCCAGGTTCCAGAATTTACGATAGGGCCGGGGCCCAACTCTCCTCAGCATCTGTTGTGCTCATTCTGGCATCAGGATCCGTGCATTGACCGTATTTCGCTGTGGCGAGGTGTCCAGACATTTGACCCTGATCGTCGCGTGGTGCTGCAATGTCGCGAGGTGAGATCCTCGGCAAGGCTAACCTCGTGGTCTCATCCACAGCTGCTGCTGCGTTTGAATATCCCCAGGAGAAGCCGTTCTTTTGCCGAATTCGGTGAGACCCACTTCCCACTCGTTATTTAATAAGTTACTGTGAGTGTTCTTTTCATGTTTTAAAACAAGGGGATGATGATACAGATGTTGTTGATGAAGACGCGGATGATGATGATGATGACGTGTGCTCACCACTGCCTGTGCAGGGGGGGCGGTAGTAAGGACGAGGCGGTGTACCTGCCGTTCCGGCTCACCCCGTACCTCATGAAGGTTCGCGAGGGCGAGGACGGCGCCGACGCGGGTGGAGAGCCATGCTGCTTGGTGCTTGCTGAGCGCGTGCACTCGGGCTACGAAGGTGAGAGCGCGGCGCCGTCTCTACTCCTCACGTACTTACACTGCAAACAAAGTACAGCTGCAGTGCACAGACACAACAACATCAACCACTGCTATTCAACACCAAGCGACCAGTAGCATCCGTCACGAGCCTCTTCCACAGAGGCTGACCTTGACACTGCTGGTACCGGCCATCGGCAAGTCCACTCAGCTCCACGTCCTCATCCTCTTGTACTGCATCGGTTCTTTTTTCTCTAGGCCATGCCGCACCCATTTAGCTCCCTCTCTATCTAGCCAAACAGAAGCTGTTTGGGCATGCGACGGCTAGGCACGTGGGTCTAGTGACTCAACCAATGCAGCCTCACCTGCTGGAGGAGCTTGTTGATGGGATCTGTGAGCTCGCACAATCTAGTCTGGTGAAACCCAGGATGGAACGTAGGCAGGTGAGCCTACATGTATCAAGCCAGTGCATATGTTCCTTTAAAGAAGTCCACATGTTACAACCTTAGAGAAGAGAAGGAATAAATGTGGCCGAAAAGACCCGGAGCCTCATGTAACGTGGCAGGGCCAGACGACTTCAACAAAACCTTACACAGCCAATTAAGCAATAGTGCCGCTCAACTGCTTTGAAGTGAGACCTCCAATGCCAAACTGGAGGTGGCCCTGAGCACACTGCCCAAGTACAAGAACTCCACCACCCTCTCCACAACCGCCCATGCGGATAGCCCGTTCACATGTTCGCCTGTGTCTTGTCGTTGCGGCGTCTATCCTCTGTCTGGTGTATAGAACAAGTGCGCTGGCTAGGAGTATCCGAAACGCTCTTAAACGTACAAATCAAGAGTAAGTGGAAATATGCGATGCATGGTTACAGTTCGCTGAAGTTCGCCTGTGCAATGCACGGTAATCAATAGCGTTTGCTACGCTTGTTGAGATTTTTTACGGACACAAGTCCCGAATGGCTTTTTCCTTTAGTGATTGCACATTTTTTTTGGACATCATTGGCGTATGTCATGTGACATCATCCATGATGTAACCAAGTGCTTCTTTTGAGATGGACATGAGAGAAATCGGAATTTCAACTTTCGCTGTTGTAAAATCTTCTCCCATTCAGGAAAATGCAACGGCGGCAAATCAACACATATTTTAAAATTACTCGATTTAAAAAGGTCCGGCCACTTCTTGGAACCCGCTGATGGAGTGCATATGTTCTCTCCCACTGACTGCTTGTAGCGTCGCACGGAATAGGAGAGTCATGACCGGTCTTTTCAGAGGTCATAGCTTAGAATATATGAATCTGCTGGCCCTTCCTCCACTGATCAAATGAACGAGCGCATGAGTGCGATGGTCAGCTTGTGATGACTGACGTGCAGGTGTTTATCCACAACACCAAACAAAAACGGCTGCAGCTCTCTCCTCTACAGCCTCCCCACGCCCCTCGCCTCCGAATTGCACACAATTCACACTCGGCATCTTCTAGATCCTCTGTGGACCTGCCCCTGCCTACCTCTCCCCTCTCATCTCACGCTACGACTCTCCGTACATTCTCTTCTCCAGCAACCAAGGCGAAACCCCCAGTTAACATCCGTTCAGTGGGAGGTCACTAATTCTGTGCTGCCCCCACCGTCTGATTCTCCCTTCCCTCAGCTATGTGTGCTGTTGTCTCCCTGCCCTTGTTGAAGTCTAGTCCCTTATTTATATTTTGTGCATTTGACTGACTGCTTCTTTGTATTCGTAAAATAAATATGCTCACTGTTGCTGTTCAGCGGCTTTTGATGTGTTCCCATTTGGATTGTTGGCAAGAGTTTAATTGTACAGAGATCTGGGACTGGTATTATGTTGAGCTTTATCACAGTTTTGATACTAAATCTAACGAAGACAGCTCCTTGAGGAGTGGTCCCATAGAGACCTCTCTACAGGGTATAAGGGAGCTGCCATGGCCTAACGGTCCACACACTGGACTTGCAATCCCCAGGTCGGCAGTTTCATTCCATCTCCCGGGGCGGCAGTTGAAACAATGGCGCAAGTTTCTTAAACCCCCCCAACCAGCCACCACCACTGTGCACCCAGCGATGTAAATGGCACAGCCGATCGGGAGGGTACGTGTGGTGGGGTAAAGTGTGGGTACACCCACCTCTTCCAACATGTCTGTTCAACGTCGAAAAGTAGACCAAATACCCTCAGGAGGGGCTGTCTAGAGCACCCTCGAGCGAAGGCCATTCTACTAGCAGTGTCGTGAGCGAGTGGTTGCAGGGCTGCGCCTTTGCCGTGTATGGTGCGTGACCCGCGCCGTCCTGCTGTGCTCACAGCGCCACGCATCCCCCCGGAGAAGCGAATCTTCACGACGACGCACACGCCGGGCTGCGTCTTCCTGGACGTGGACGAGAGGTGAGCGCTGCCAGGGCTCACGAAGTTTCGCTCGCTGACATCGCTACCACTTTCGCTCTCCGCTGGTGTCCATTGATTAAAGTGAATTAAAATCTGTTCGTTAAGTTCGCGATAAATGAACTTAATTCGGGTCCGAGTATCTGTTATTTAGAGTTTATATTATTATTCTGCTATGGTTACCGCTGAGGCATAGCGTAGAACCCGCAAGGCCCCCTCGTGGGGTGTGTAGGTAAATGCTGGCCGTTTCTCAGCTGTCACACAATGCCAGAAGACTTCTCTCGACGTTTTTGAGCCATTGGGTTTGTGCTCAGTTACGGTGTTGAAATAAAAACCGGTGTGACACATTTTGTCTCGTACCCTCTCGCTGACGTCACCCTCCTGCCCTTGTGTCCCCATTCCTTCTGGACAGGGCGATCCCCCTGCTGGGATACCTGCCCCAGGACCTAGTGGGGACCCCCATGCTGACGTACATCCACCCCAACGACCGGCACCTGATGCTCGCCGTGCACAAGAAGAGTGAGTGCGGGAAACCCCAGGGTTGGGGACAACCGCCCAGAAACCGGCAGAGCCCTTAGTGCCACTCCAGAGACGTGTTTCATTCCCACTGTTAGCACTGAGGGCTCCTTCATTATCACCAATGGTCTTCCACCTTGGTTACAAAGCTCATTTACTTACCTCTGTCTCTATGAGATCCAAATGAGAGCTCAATGCTACAACACATATCTGTTTCCATGTACATATTACAAATATTCAGTTCTGGCTTGAAAAGGAGACTCCTGCTCTCAGACTGTGTGCTTTTTCCTGGTAATAAAGATTGCCCATCTACCTGTAACCCATCTACCTACCTACATCACGACCTGTCTATAATACTTTTCATAGACATCAAAAATACAGATGCGTGTTTGTGCGCAATCCACACGTGTTTCATCTATCTGCCATGTCTAATTGTCACATTGTCAATCTTCCTGTCCGCCCGCTCCACCGACAGTCTTGAAGTTTGTGGGGCAGCCATTCGACCACTCCCCATTCCGCTTCTGCTCGTACAACGGGGACTATGTGACCATCGATACGAGCTGGTCGAGCTTCGTAAACCCGTGGAGCCGCAAGGTGGCCTTCATCATCGGCCGCCACAAAGTCCGCACGTGAGTCCGCCGGTCGAACGGGCGCGGACTCGCGGCGCAGGGCCGGGCCTGGCTAATGGATGTGCTAGCGCAAGGCAGGCGCGGAGGGAGGGTGGCCCACACGGGGGCTTCACGGGGCCTGCACTTGCCCGGGAGAGCCTCGTCGACGCTCGCCACTTTTTCTTAGGAGGGGTCCCACTACGTTGTGGATGTTTGGCCAAGCATTCCACGTTCGTAATGAGAGTTGGCTTCGTGTGAGAGGAAACTGGATAATCAGGAGAAAACCCATCACACAGTTGGATTTAAGAATCCATTTTTTTATTTCCACCTTGCAGCAAAGCGGGTTTGGGAGTTTTGTAAGCAATTTGCTTGATCTACCAGCCCTTGCTCCCAAAGTCCTGGATCACAGGCCTGGGGGAATAATGTAGCGGCAGCGTTGGGCATTCATGCAGAGCGCGCAGGTTAGGATTTTGTTTTTGTCACGGCGCCCCACGTGACCCCCTTGCCTGTTGTGTCCCCCCTCTCTGGCCCCTCTCCCCATCCCCCAGAGGCCCCCTCAACGAGGACGTGTTTGCGAGCCCCGCGGTCGCGGTGGTTGGCGAAGTGGAGCCGCGGGCTCCGGACTCGGACGTCGCTGACATCCAGGAGAGGATCCACAAACTCCTGCTGCAGGTGCGGCCTGCATGCTGAGCGCACCTCTGTGCATTGTCTTTGTTAGGTTCCTCCTTTTCCTCTTGTTAATTTCCAGCAGCTGTTACCATGGCTGTCATCGGCAAATCTGAGATCGTTATTCCTGTCTTCATTTATGTCTATGCCTTTATTTTCTCCAATCCAGTCTTTGTAAAAAAAAAAAATTCCCAATGTTCACTGTGAATAACTTTTCACGAAGCGCGTGACTTCCCGCCTGACTCCCCTTGCGCACACACAGTGCCGCGCTGGCCCTCGCGGACTCTTGCTAACGGCGTGACATCTGCGTGTTGTCTGCATGTCGTCTGCGCATTGCCCGCCCGCAGCCTGTGCACAATAATGGCTCGAGCGGCTACGGGAGCCTCATGGGCAGCAACGGGCATGACTCGCACGGGCACCGGCTGAGCCTCGCTTCCTCCAGCGAGGGCACCGGCGCTGCACCTGATGACGGCCACGCCGACAAACCCGTACGTTCCGGCGCCAGGCGCACGCACGCAAACACATGCACACGCACGTATGCACAGATACAAAGATCTCCCGCATAGCCTGCGCAGGTTGCCGAGGGAGCTGCCATTATGTGGATGCCAGCACAGCACACGTGCTGGTGGTGGTTTGGTCAGCGCCACACATGGCTGCTTTTTTCTCCCTAGTGCCAATGTTTACTAGATACTCGTGTAAGGCTGCGTCTACATAGGGGAGGTCAAGGACAAGTTCAGATATTCGTCGCTGATGTTGGCCGCGAGAGAGTCTCTCCATAGGTTAGGTTGGCTGTGAGCAGGCCACAGTCAATTTGTAGGACAACCACTGTTGACTTCCACACAATGTGGTACTCGTTTTATCGACCCCTGAGATATAGTCCGATTGTGAGCCACTCGCTCCACTGCTGAGCCACCCCGGGTGGTGAATCTCGTATCTGCAGGGGGGCTTGGTGAGAAAGTCGTGAGGGGGGTGGATGTGTGTCTGGCGAGAAACCAATCGGTGCCCTTTGCGCGTCTGTGCGTGCGTGTCCTTGCGTGGCCCCCTCCATCCCTCTCCCCTGCTCACGCTGCCCACCGCCACACGCTATGCAGATGTCATTCGCCCAGATCTGCGTGGACGTGCAGCAGCTGACGAACCCCGGGCGGCAGCAGCAGCAGCGCTTCCCGGAGCCCCTGGGCCGGCAGCAGCAGCAGCAGCTGGGAGCGCAAGGTGCTGCCCCCCTCTCGCATTACCCCCTCCCCCCCACCCCCGCTTCACGCCACTGCCATCGTCATCATAGTTTTTGTTATCGTTAAACTTGTCATCAGTGTGATCAATCGATATTCATCCTTAAAGATAGCACGATTTTAAAAATGCATGACAACGCTTGTACACGAACATAAAAGTGCAATCTGAATCCATTTTCAACTTTATTAGCTTGTCCAACGTGCATTTAAACTCAGGAAATGCGAGATTAAAGAGGTGGGTCTGAGTGAAAATGTAAAACTCTCCATGGACAGGCCCTCTCTTATCCGATGCAGCAGAGAGTGCCACAGGGTAGGGGTCACATGCAAAAGCGCCCGAGTTCTTCAAAGGGACCTCATTGTCATCATCATCACATCTCTGTAAAACCCCACAGAGCTTGTCGTCGCTTACATCGGCGAGTAACTTGGTCTGCGAGTGTTTTGCAAGACGAGCAATTTTTTTAAAATAAATATTAATTTGATAAACGAGCAAGGTCTTGCAATACAAGTAATACGTATATGCTTTGTCTGCCGAGCGTCACGTGATCACAACAGATATATACGATTGCTTTGATATACGAGTGCTTTGGATTACAAACACGTTTCTGGAACGAATTATGCTCGCAATCCAAGGTTTTACTGTACTCGGTATGCAGTTAAACGATTAACTTTGGACACAGTCACGCACACACACACCCAAATCTGTCGAACGGCTTCTTACATTTGTACACACAACTGCAAAGGCCTGTGAGAGAGACCCTGCACCCAGGTTGTCATCCGTGCTGGCTCCGAGCAGGGTTGTTCCCAAGAGCGATTGTGGGTCACGGCCCCGTGGTGTCCGCGTTCGGCGCAGTGGATATGACACAAGCCTCTGCCACCTCCTGCTGCCCCTTCCCTCGCAGTGGGAGATCAAGGCCGGATGGTGCTGCCCAAGGCCGTGCTGGAGATGGGCCAAGAATGCCCGCGGGCCGGACGCAAGCGCTCAACCAGAGCCGTCACGGATGATACCGGCAAGAAGGAGCAGACGGCCATGCCGTCCTACCAGCAGATCAACTGCCTCTACTCCATCATACGGTACGCTCGCCCTCTTGCATCTATCATACCGAGTGTAGGGTGTGGTGGTGATGTGGCTTCATAAAGCATCTAAATGTGACCTCCTTTGGAGAAACAGAAACGACACATTCATTGGTCGTGGCGGGAGTGGCACAATGGTGACACTCGTGCCCCACAGAAAGAAGGGCCTTCTTGCAATATCCGACTTGGGCACCTTGCTGTGGTTCTCTATCTGTTCTGCATGGGTTTCCTCCAGGTTCTTCAGTTGTCTCCTGCAGCTAAATATTTCAGACAATGCCACTGGTATTGGCCAAAACATCTCAATGCTGCAAAATAACCTATTAATAACTCAACAGAGATCCCCATGGCAACATCGTGCCTTACAACATGAACTTGGCAGGACCTTCTTGAAAGGGAGTATTAAGCAAGGCTTGGGTAAACGAGCATCAACAAAGTAGAATGATGGCACGCCGGTTCATGATGAACACGGCCACCCATGTTGACGTTGCGTCATGTTGCTGTGCACACAGATACCTGGAGAGCTGCAACGTGCCCAAGGCGGAGAAGCGCAAGTGCCCGGCCTTGTGCGAGGCCTCCTCCTCAACCTCGGACGACGAGAAGCCGGACGTGGCCGCACAGGATCCGAGCGGAGCCGAGATGGACCCGGAAGGTGAGGTGTTGGCCGCAGCCGCCTGTGAATACCACAGCGCGTGGCGATTATTCTCGGCAGTTACCGTAAACTTCCTGGCACCGTTGCCTCTTGGCACCCGATATTGATGTAGGAAAGCCGGTGCTTTCGTAACAAAAGTAACATCGGGGATATGTTTTTGGGATAATTAAATAGCTCGAGGACATTTGGTGAATTGGCAAGTGATCGTGGCATAGGTTCCACGTGGCCTCCCTGCTCGTATTCATTACAAGTCACAAGCGAGGCAATGCGTCGGCCTGCTCACATGGGGGTAGGACACTAGGCTCCAGTGGCAGCCTTTTGCCAGTGGAGTACATTCCACATTCCAATGGCAGCGGCCAGCGTCCCTCTTGGACGAACACGACTGCCTTCCTACATAGTGCTGGTAAATGTATTCAGTAAATAGCGATTACAAGACGAGCCTCTCTTAGCGATAAACGCAGTCAATTCACCCGATCGTTATTAAACATATCGACATATCTATTATTGAATTAGTTTATCCTTTTTGCACACCAACTACATTGCTGGTGAACTCGGTAACTTCCCGCTTGCTTTCATAAGCACCATCAGCATCTGGAATTCATTGACAAATTCGGGTTACGGCTGAGTGGTGTGGAGCAATGGCATAGTGGTTCGCACACTTTGCTACAAATCTGCCGAGCCTGGTTCGATTCCTGGCCATGGCTGACATCGGTGGTGAGTGATAACTGGACCAGCCCTGCCTTCGCCAACCTCCACTGATCGGAGTGGTGAAGTAGAATCAAACAACCCCAGTACCGACATGGCGTGGGCAGGCCCTCATCCAGCAGTGGATTGACATGGCTGTGCGTTTTGTTTCGAAGGCCACGCATCTCTCGTGACGGCCATGGTAGACGAGGGCGACAGTCGCAAGCAATCGTCACCGGCAATAATTGCTCAACGATTTTCTACTCTTTAAATTTTATTCCAAATCTGGACCAATCTGATTGCACGTGGACACCTAGGGTGCCGACTTCCAATCAGAAACTAGTCAGAGGTAATTCAGCTAACCAATGAAAACACTTGCGTGATGCTTTTTTCATTGGCTAGGCACAATTCCGTCGAGCCTTGTAGTAAACCTGTTGCCGGTGACAATTGGTGGCGGCGATCATCCTAGAATTTCCGTAGCGCGTCACTGCGTTCCATCAACTCTGGAGCGCAAAACTAAGGCACCAAATCTCTCGTGGTGGTGGCGGCAGCAGTGATGGAGGCGGAGCCCGAGATGGCGGTGGAGCCCGTGGAGCCGGTGGCGCCGCCCGCCATGGCGACGCCGCCGCCGCCTCCGCCGCCGCTGGCCCCGCTGCCACTGCCCCTGAGCAAGGCGGAGAGCGCCATGTCGGTGACGAGTCAGTGCAGCTACAGCAGCACCATCGTTCACGTGGGCGACCGCGACAAAAAGAACCAGCCGCCCGACTCCGGTACGGCACTGCGCTGTCGTGGCGCTCGAGGGAGGCGAGTGGGCGAACGCACCGGGGAACCTAGCGGCAGCTGCTTCACGAAACGTTACGTGGTCACGTTGCCGTTTGCTTGATGTGGCGAGGAGGTTCGGGAGGTGCTCGTAACCGCTGGCAGATCGTCGGCACTGCTAGAATTCAATGCCAGGTTTCAGCCGCCCGTGACTCAGTTGGGAAAAGTCGTTGCAGCACAATGTGGATGGTGATGTGGCCCAGAGGTAGCGTGTTCTCCGCTTGTTGTAGAGATTTGCGGTTCAAATTTATACGCCGCACCGGTTATTTCTGCAAGTGTATTAACCATTAAATATGCACCGTAACATCATTGGAAATGAGTAGGCCATTGTGTGCCGGTGTCATGTTCCAAATTTACACCACAATTTACTTGATTAGAATTATACACACGGCAGCGATAATTGCCCCCTTACTGGCAAACTAATGCTCACTGTCATGGCGGTGCTGAGTCACCTTGTGCCATACAGGGTACAGCTGCCACTGAAGGTACCTTTCTAATTTTTTAGATAAAATGTGATGCAAGGTGCTTTGATTTGCTGAGGCATTTCAGCAATGCCTTATGAATGCAAAGATTATTGCTATTAAACCAGCTTCACGTAACCCATGAAATGTATCAAGGTCATGCTCCAATTCAATTTGATGTTCATAATGTGGCCCAGCTCGGAAAACAGCACTTAGATGACAAGCGGCTGAGAACTTGCGTGTTAAATGATCATAGCTCACGATTTATAACATGGGTAAAAAACTAAACATGGCCCATGTGGTTTAACGATTCATCTCCTGGAAATTCCATACATTGTCCTAGTTAGTGGCCACCATTTAATTCAAGATTTTATTATTTTATTGTCCCATTTTACCATTTTCTTTGTATAGCTGCTTTTTTTGTTTGCACAATTTGTTCGCTCGTGTCGCCCAGAATACCCAGGCCACAATGCCTCCAGGCAGCGTGATGTGAGAGAGGCTGCCACTTCACCTCGCGTACCCGTTCATTTTGACGGCGGCAACATGGCGTTAACGTTCCCTGTCCACATAAAAAATGTCCCCTGCATGGTATCCGTGCGCGCAGCGTGCACCAACCCTAACAGGCCCCCTTAATTGAGAGCCGCTGGCCTCGTGTGATTTGAACATATGGCATGAATACATTTTGCGCTAAACCGCAAATAACCGAGTCTCACATGCACAATTCTATGCGTGCAAAGCACAAATTTTGAGCGATGGATCGACATGTCGTCGTTGCGCATCTAGAAATCGCAGCTCTGGAGGACACGCCCAACATGGGGGGCGGAGACCCTCCCGAGATGCCCGGCAAGGGGGGCACGGCCCCCCCACCGGAGAAGGAGCGCGAGAGGGAGGAGTACAAGAAGGTGGGCCTCACCAAGGAGGTGCTGTCGGCCCACACGCTCAAGGAGGAGCAGACGTACATCCAGCGCTTCCTGGCGCGCGACGGCACCACCAACTTCTGGGCGTTCGGCTCCCCGCACCGCTTTTGCCTACCGAGCCAACACCGCGGCCGCTCACGCGACAGAGGTGACCTCAATCGTCCACCCCCTCCCCCTGTCAACCTCCACCCACCCCACCCCGGTCAACTCATGGAGTGTTGCTCCTTCACTGCTGCTGCCCTTCTGGCCTCCAGTGGTGGCGCAGTCGCCGCGTGTTAAGAAGGTTCGCGTTTTGAATCCGGCAGGCCGGCTGGGTCGATACTGTGATGCATTCATCAAAAATAGTACGCGCCATTTGCTTCACTCACAACGATAAAGATGCTGTGACATAATTCGAAGAAGACTTGGACATTGTGCCTGCGCCAAGGTCCAAACTTTCCAAATGTTCCAAATTACTCGCAAATTAATAAAATAGGAAACGCATAAAATTAGTTTACCCCTACTGATAACCTCAGCAGCGTCCTCATGAAAAACAGTACTCAGGCTTGATGGGTAAATAAGCGTAGTAGTTATAATAAAGATGATGATGATAAATATACATTCTGTTACGTTCCTGTGCTAATTTGTAATGGGAATGTATGTGTGTTGTTCGTCTCTGCGTGCAGGCGTCCACGGCCTGTCTCATCAGAGCTCCAAGGTGAGCGGTCCCACTCTGCGCCGCGCAGGCACCAGCGGCGCCGGCACCGGTGCCGGCACCTCCGGCCGACTCAGCAAATCGAAGCCCAAGCGAGCGAAGCAGCAGCAGGAGTCGTCAGACAGCGGGCCCGGCTCCACCTACGCGCAGACGCCCTTCCAGCGCCGTGCCACCGCCGGCACCCGGTTCCAGCCGACCGTCGAGCAGGTGGCGGCCTGCAGCCAGAGCTGGTTGCCCTCGGACGAGTGCTTGGGCCCACTGCGCCAGCACGTGGCCTCCCTGCCCCCTCACGTGGCGGTGGGGCCCCCGGGGCTGGGGCCGCAGGGCGTGGGGCTCTACCAGCTGTCGTACCCGCTGCCCGTGCTGCCCGGCTTCCAGCCCGTCTCTGCCGAGGCCCAGTTCCCAGCGACCACCGTGGCGGCAGCAACGGTGCCGCCGTACCTGGCACCCGTGCTCACGTTCATGATGCCGCAAAACTACCTCCTGCCCGCCGCCGGCTGCTACCAGGTGGCCGGGTCTGCGCAAGGGCCCGCGCCGGCCGTGTACACTCTGCCGCCGTTTGCGCTGGCCTCCGCGGGGGCGCCAGGGCTGATCGCCGACCCTTCCCAGGCCTCCGCGGCCACGCCGGCCGCGTCGATGCCGATGATGTCGTCGCTTACATCGGCGCCGGCTTCCTCGGGGCGGTACCCACAGCACATCATCACCACCGGCGTGGAGGAGGAGGAAGAGGAGGAGGCGCCGGGCGTGGACGACGTGGACATGGGGGAGGCGGCGGATCTGCTGGCGGCCGTGGAGCCGGCAGCACTTGCAGGATCGCGGGCTTCCACGCCGGGCGTGCTGGCGGCACCGCTGTCACCCGGCCTGGAGGAGCAGGACTCGGCGCCGTCGCTCTTCGACCAATCGCGGTGCAGCTCCCCACTGCAGCTCAACCTCCTCAACTTGGACGAGGCGACACCGCGCGCAAATGAGCGCGCCGATGGTGGCGCCGGCGCTGAGCAGCAGCCCGGCGAGCAGCAGGTACGGGGCCCGGCGTGCGGGATGCACAGCACTCAGGGGCCCACTCAACCTCATAAATTGGACCTCACAGCAATGGTTTTGGTCAAATCACCTCCCCCTAAATCTTGAAAAATATCCGTAGCCAAGCACCAGGCAAGGGCTCACCATGGAGTCACTCTCACAATTCACCCATGACTCGCTCCACCATCAATCTCTCAAATCACCTGAAAATCCTCAGTATCACCTCGGACTCCACATTCTCACTCGACAACCACGTCCTCTACACAGTTAAAACATCTTAGGGGCTTATGGTACATCTGCCCACCATTGACTACAGCCACTGTGAACACTCGAGCTTGTAGCGTTGTAGGCCCTCGCCTTGAATATTGCAAAGCCATCCTTATTCACACATTATAAAAACAGCTCAACAAACTACAGCGGCTTCAAAGCAACCCGTGTCGTGTTATCGTGGGCATTAGGCATGACCACATGACTTCCATGGCTTCACAGAAGTCTTTGCACTGGCTCCCCATTAAAGCAAGGGTACAGGACAAGATTGCTATCCTGTGCCCATAATCTCCTCATCGTACCCAGGACTGTCCTGGAAAAGTGGCATTTGTCCGTCGCTGCACTCCCACTACACATGCTCAGCATCCCTGCAGCATCCACCTTCAAATGACAGTTCAAGGCTCTCATTAGTTCTCACCTGTTCAGGCTCTCAGTGGTTCAGGCCGCATACGAAGGACTTTGAGCTCTGGCTCCAGGCCTCCGAGTTCTCTGTTGAATGTTGTTTTCAATTCGTGAGATACGTGCATGACAAATTGTGTTTGTAATTATTAGTATTGTTATGCATGCGTAAGCCCCCTACAGCATCCGGCTTCATTTTTTTCCAGGATGCCAGCGAAGAGGGGAACAACAACGACACAATGTCCACTTCCAGCGACCTCCTGGACCTGCTGCTGCAGGAGGACTCCCACTCGGGCACGGACTCGGCCGCCTCGGGCTCGGGGTCCTCGGGCTCGGGGTCGTCGGGTTCGCGCTCGCTCGGCTCCGCGGGCTCGGGCGGCTCCAACGCCTGCGACACGTCGCGCAGCGGCACAGGTGAGCGCACGGACTCGCCTCCACGCAGATGCGGACGCTCGAGCGAATCGATACCGGAGACTAACATGGGGCGGTGATTTGATGCGGCGGTGGCGCATTCTCTACTCGTTGCAGCAGTTCGGTTCATGTCCAACAGGCTGCCCTGTGGGTGGTGCATTAACCGTACAGGCCATCTAATTACCTCACAGTGGACGTTAATATCCCGTAACGTAATTCGAAAAGAGTTGGCTGTTGTGTGCTGGTGGCATGGTCCAAATTTGCTGAATTAAAAAAAATGTACCTGCAAATTACTCGATTTAAATTTAAACAGAAATATTTCCCCCTCATGCAAAAACGTGGTAAGACCCTCTTGAAAAAGTCTTGAGACTCAGTGAAGCTTTTCTGAGTAAACGTATGCAATTTTTATCTGACGAAACGAGTGGTTGATTGAAATCCACATTTGAACCCAAATGAATTGGCTCGGTGATCTGACATGGTATTATATATATATTTATTTGGCGAGACGGACATGGAAGGAGGTGAATCGTCTGCTTGGTTATTTTGTGACGTGGTGTTAGCACCTTCCTGTGCAGCGGCGTTAATTTATGTCGACTCCTCGTGTGTGGGTCACCTGCAGGCAGCACCAGCAACACCAGCCAGTACTTTGCAAGCAATGACTCATCGGAGGTTGACCAGAAAGAGCGCAAGGAGAGGGAGGAGGACAACAAGTTCAAGCAGCTGTTGCTGCAGGACCCCATCTGGCTGCTCATGGCCAACACCAACGAGTCAGTCATGATGACCTATCAGCTGCCCTCCCGGTGAGTCAACGGTGTTATTTGAAAACACGTAGAAACTGTCACTCCCAACTGCAAAAACTTGTCAGCATCCTGCTGAAAAAGAGTCTTGGGACTCCTGGAGGCTTTCCTGGGTAAATAGTGTATATTAATAATAAAGCAGTTCAGTTAAGGTGAGTTGATAATACTGGATGGGCAGGCCTGGGCAGGGCAGTGTTGCACAAGTCAAGTGCGTTGTTGTTGGTAGGTGAGCATAGGGGCTTTTTGGTGAGCGGGCAGCCTGGTGGGTGAACAGATGCTCTTGTGGGTGAGCGGGTGGGTTAGTGGATAAGTGGGTGGGCTGGTGGGAAGATGAGTGTTGGGCGAGCGGGTGGGGTGGTGGGTGGGTCTGTTATCAAGCAATGAGGCCAGAGAAACAGCCGTTTTCTCTCTTATCGCAGGGACGTGGAGACCGTTCTCAAGGAGGACCGCGAGAAGCTCAAGGAGATGCAGAAGCTGCAGCCTCGCTTCACGGAAGCACAGCGCCGGGAGCTGTGTGAGGTGCACCCATGGCTCAAGAAAGGAGGGCTCCCCGTGGCTATCAACATCCAGGTGCGACTTTGCACCCCAAACACTGCATTCATCCCGATTACTAAGCCATTAATATAATTCGAAATGTATCTCGAGACTGTTGCGTGTTTCCCTTCATTGTGTATCTGTGCTGTCATTCGGCATTTGCGAAAGCCAGTGTGGATTGTAACGTTTTGTCGTCATGGCTGCCAGGTGTGTGAGTGCGGCAGCACCACGAGCACCAAGGCCTCGGCCCCGTTTGACGTGGAGACGCACGAGATGGACGATGGTGGGATGCTCGAACTAGGCGAGGAGGGCTCGGGCGTGGCCCAGCAGGCCGGCACGGTGGCACCCCAGCCCATGCTGCTGCCCCCGCCGCCGCCAGCTCCGTTTGGCGGCACCGTTTCTGCGGCGATGCGTGCGGCCCACAAGACCGCGCAGGCCTCTGAGGGCGTTGCCATGGAGACGGGGGTGTTGAGGAGGGACTGGCAGCAGCGAGGACAAATTGCGTCACCGGCGAAACGAGCGCAGCAGCAGCAGTCGGAGGCATCCTCTGAATTTGCGCGGCCCTCAGCGTGCAAGTAGCGTGGTGGTGCAAGGTGTGAGGCTCGCAGTCTAAACGACTCTGAGGAATGGTCAAAGTGCAGCTCAGTTTTGACAGAACAATTCTTACCCGTGCTTTAGAGTGTCACCGTGGTGGACAGTAGCGTAGTGACCTGTGCACCGTTACTGCGTTGGCAGCAATCTCATTACGATCTTCGTGGCTCATTTGTGGTCGTTCGGCAAGGGCGGCTCGATATAAATCGTGTGCCCAGCTGCTGCCGTGTCATTGGTGGCGCTGCGCAGACAAAGGTGGATGTGCCTGTGTGGCGCGGATTCCCTTGAACGCAGGCATGCATTGGGCTGGCCACAGCAGTCGCCCACAAGCAGCGCTACCCACACGGCAAGTATGTGTCTTTGTGAATGGGTGTTTGAATGTGCATGTACATGCCCAGGCGAAGAGACCACTGGATTCATATTCCATAAGCAGCCCAGCACAGGGGTGCACAATGGTAGGTGTGCGAACTGATTCAACTCAAACGTATGTGATTGCATTGGCAGCGATCTATAATTACTGGCGAATTGGATCTCTTCACTTTCATCTCCTGTAGCTTTTTTATTTTAAAAAGGCAGTTGCTAAGCAGATTCCTGAATGGATTTAATACAAAACAGCCACAGCACAAAGGACTAAACGAGTTGGTGAGCATCGGCAGGCTCCGTGAGTAGAGTCGGGGTACAGTCTATGGGTTTGGACTGACACAACAGGAGTAAATACAAAGGCCGAGACTTGTGTTATGGCTGCTCGCAATGCAGATGAATGGAGCCAGTCAAGTGAGAAGATTGACCAAGAAATAGGTGGAAACAAAGGCATCTCCACGATTGAAAAGCATGGACTGGAGGATCACTTCAGAACTCGCCCGGAGTGTCCTCGGGTTGTCTACGTTACTCATGATAAACCTCCGTGTCTGTCTGACTGCGCTGGACGTTATCAGGACTGTTTTTGTGCCGAAATATCCCCGAGTTACCTCATTTGTCATTGCGAACTTGTCTCTGGGAAACAAAAAAAACGAATTTCAAGCGGACAGAAGACATAAAACGGCTAGCGGTCTGGGGGCCACGGGGAACCCATGAACTAGAACAAGATCTGCTGGTAGACGCTCCCATCCGACTCGCTGTGTCGCTCTTATTGGCCTTGTCATTATTACTGCTGTAGACTCTATGCCTTGTGCATCTCGCAACCAAACACGAGCTAATCTCATCGCTTCACCTCCACAGTGGTTATCCTGCTGGGCTGCCATTTAATCTTCAGTCTCAACCGTCGGCCATCATCACCCTTACCAATGTGTCCTGGCCCATGCCCACAGTCAATATGATGTCTCTTATTTGTATTTGTTCTCCAATCAGTCTGTTGATCTTTGCCTTCCTCTCAGTTGAATTCCAAGCATGCATCTCTCCATGCTTCTCTGCATATGCTGCATCTTGTTTTATTTATGTAATCAGTGTATTTACAATCTATTTGTAGCAGCTAACATGCATTCTTTGAAAACTGTATTCTTTTGGCAGATGGGTAGGTTTCTATTCATTATCAAGCATAGATTTTCAAAAGTACCCCAACCTGCTCTCGATCGCCACCATTTTCATCCCGGTGTGTCTTCAACAATCGGTATGTTTTCCAGTTGTCTCCCTCCAACAGTTACCCGAATTGGTCTAGTGCTCATTCATTTTGAGCACAACTTTTCAACTTTAAACATTTATCGTTAAGATTCTTGTGACACCGAGGACATCGCGCTTGGTTGTTTGGTCGCTGCTAGAATGAGCAAGAAAGGCAGCGAGAGACTCGGGACTCCGTCTCCACAATCGGACGGATTGTCACCATGTGATGTATGGCCCCATTGGTGTCGTCTGCATCCCTCGGTCTGCAGGGTCTGTCGTCTTGGGTACGTCTCCCTCGATGTAGTGTCACACGCCCACACCAGACGCCCCAGCAGTATGTATGACCTTGTTGTAGTGCAGAATGTACATTCGTGATGTACTGGACTCGTGATGAGAGTGCGTGACAACAAACGTTCAGACGTAGACTGGGATGTGCTCGTAAGCGTGATGTGCAATCGTGTGCAAAGTGAAACACGGGCCTACCTGTGTTGACTTCATTGTTGTGTGCTTGACACTGAGTTGTGCTGTATTTCATTGTCTCTTTAATGTATTATTAATGCAGTGTTGTTTTTTTCCGTGACCTAATTAACGGAGCGAGATGGAATCGCTCGCTGCGATTGCTCGCTCCACACTCCGATTGCTCGCTCCATACTCCGATTGCTCGCTCCACACTTCGACCGGCCTTTTAGTCCGCGTCAGTCTTCTCCGTGGTTGGGACTGGAAGGCTGCAATGTGGGCAACAAGATCGATTGCCTGCCGATCTAGAGGGCTCTTTTGTGCCCGACAGCTAGCCATTAATATTATTATTCCTACTACTACGCTTGTTTACCCAACAAAGCCCAATTGAGTCGCTTTCAGGAGGGTGCTGCCAAGCATTCACAGTAAAGAGCGATGCTTGCTATGTATCATCCCAATTTGGCCAATTTGGACCATGACGAACAGTTTGAACCATGTTGTGGCCTAGTGAAATATATGCCCTCTCCAAGTCGAGGCACAGTGTCCCGTGCTCAAATGGAGGGCAGCACACTTTGCATTGGTGGTGGAAAGTCTACATTCCTGTGGCAGGAGCCCGTCTTTCTGTAGGATAGCCACTTGACTTACCAGGAAGTGATACTCTCTTTATCGATACTGGAAGAATTGATGATGGGCTACGCTCCACTCCCTGAGAAGTATTTGAACTCGCAATCTCGTGATGGTGAGTGAAGGGGCCTGACCACTGATAAGTTACTCTGGCCGTTAAAAAAGTTGTACAATCAAACTGCAGCAACTGCCATGAGCCTATCTGCACAGGGCTTTGGGGACACTCCCAGAGGTGGCCTTTGAGAAATGCACATTGTGATTGCTGCTATGAATACTATTATTTATAGTCGTGAAGATGTAACTGTAACGGGAGTGAATAACAAAGTACAAAAAAGTAATTCCTGCTGGTATTGGTCATCACTGATAAGGGAATGTGTTTTGTGGGTTTTGCTATTTTATATATAACTTGATGCTTTGGTTGGACTGCGCGACACTTTATATTGGGCCTGTGGTCACAGCAGTCACTTGCGCTGCATCTTTACATGAGTCATTTTATTTTTGTATGCGTGTTTAGTTATGTATTTGTAAAAAAAAGTGTGCAAAAAAAGTGAATTAGATACATCTTTAAAGCTTCACCCAATGGGGCCGACCGAGTCCTGTGCCTGGATGAATGCAGACGCATGTCTGCCCGAATTTATTTTTGTAATCCTGATGAAAATTACGTGCAAGCACTTAATATCTGCACGAGGTCTGGCCCTTGGTTTAACTCGTAAAAGCAACTGCCATGCATTCAGATGGGTCACAAGTGAATTCCATTTTCCACTGCACTGGTGTTTTGTTTTATCCTGAAGTGCATCGAATTTACATGCTGGAGAAAGTTCTGCGATTTTCTATCCGTGTCATCTCATGTCTCTTAAAGGGTTTGTGAGGTTCTCTCCTGCAGAGCAAGGGGGTGTGTGAACAAGGTAACGGTATCTGCAGTGTGAATGCGATGCGGCACGGGTGTCAACGTGTAGTTGATCAGTTTAGCATGTATACAGGTGAATGTCCTTGCACATACAAGTGAGGGGCTGATGCTGTAAATGTGCATTACGCAGGTGAATAGGGAAACTGCAGGTTTTTAATGCCTGGTTTTGCTGCATTTTTTTTATATTGACATTTGAGAATCCAAATGTCATCTTCACAAATTGTCTGTGAACAAACGTTCAGATTTCTTCACTGTTTATTATATACTCGTCATGTTTATTGTTATTACAATGTTATATTTTTCAATGAAATGTTCGTCAGGAAATTTCTACCGCTGTTGAGAGATTTGACGTTTTGAGTTCTTGTTTTAGGATGTGTGGCTTTCACAAATTTGCGTGAATAAAGTCATGAAGTGACATTCGTTTGTCTGCCCGGTTTGATATCGCTCACTTGGTATTGGCAATGTGCTTCATGTTGTGCTTACTACTGGATTCCCACGCTAATACACAGGAGGTGGCCCTCATATCCCGTTTAGTCCTGAGGCAGTGATGGAGAGTCTAGGTTACTTTGCTGGGCAGGTCACTCGACAACAACCACTGTTGACTGTTTCAATGTGTAGTGGGTGTTAGTGTTATACGCGGTCACCACTGCTTACCTGTTGTAGCGCCAGCCATGGGTCACCCGGGGGCGACAGCGAGTACGGTCTGCATGAAGTAACGCCGTTCAGCCAGGGAACCCATAGAGCGGTTGGGGACCTGAGGTACACACCCCAGGCCCCCAGTGGGGGCTGGGGGATTGCGCAATAGTCCAGGTCCCTCCAGAAGGTTCCAGAGAGTAGGCGTGGCCAGGGGCGGAGTGACCCTGGCCACCGTATATAAGTCGGACCTCTGAACGGGTTTGCCGGTCGTCAAGCTGAAGACCCGAAGAGCCAGCCTAGAATAGGACCCTGGGAACCCCCGGACCCGACGTCCTTCTAAGGGCCGGGACCGAGCGGGCCAGTGGCCGGGCCCCGAGGACATTGGCTGGGTCGGGTCAGGCTAGCCTCCCCTTGGGCCCCTAGCCGGAGGGCTGAGATGTAGAGTGGCCCCAGTGATATAGAGCACGGTAGCCCGGAGGCTGTACCTCCCCAGGTATCGGGTGGAAGGGGCCATTACCCCTTTGTGTCAGGGACCCTGTATTATAAATAAACGTGTTGCCTCCAGTGAAGATTGGGTCTCCATCATTACCATGACAAATGCATGCTGATACAGGTCACCATACTTCAATAGGGATTATCGTTGGTAGGGATATATTTTAGTACACACAATCGACAGGATGTACAAGTACAATGTGGATGCATAATGTAGGTTGATTACCATAAAATTAACCCAACCGCCAATGGATACCCATTGCCATGTATTCATTAATTCCCCCCACCCCCACTTCGCGCAAGAAGTGCTCACACGTGACGTCATCACATCTATTCCTCTAAGGAACGAGACAGGATTTCTCCACAAATCTGTCGCCTTATGAAGCTAGTTGTAATTACTGGCGAAACGTCGTACTCGGATTGTAAATGTTGTGGCTTGGCTCTATAATACACCGGTGTGCTGTTCAAGTGAGGGGCCGTCCATAAATGACGTCACGCACCTGGGGGGGGGTCAGACATTTGTGACGTGTGACGAGGGGGGGGGGTTGAGAAATGTGACGTCACATCAAAATGCATAACTTTAAATAATTATAGACAACACGTTCTACTTAAAGACTTTTTAACAAATGTTTTCTCCTACATCAGAGTGCAGCGCCACATTAAATACGTACTACTATAGTTTAAAGCGATTTGAAGCATGTTTTATATTTTTGGGGGGGGGGGGGGCAGAGCTTTGTGACGTCATATTTGAGGGGGGGTCTGACTTTTTGTGACGCCGTGTGCCGAGGGGGGGGGGGGGAGTCAAAAATCGTCCAAAATCGCGTGACGTCATTTATGCACGGCACCTGACGAATTGGCATGTTGTCTATGTGACAAACCTTGCTGATTGGCTGTGTCGGGTGGTGGCGGGTTTAACGACCCACATATGTACGCGGCCTAACCCAAAACACCTGTACTGTATTGTGGACGGTTGACTTATCTGCAGTGGTACACAGATACGCCTGAGTGGTAAAGACGTTTGCAGAGGATCGCGCATTTTGGTATTCAATCCCTTGCAACTGTGCCATGGGGAGCTGATGTGATGGTCAGCAGCACTCTGGACTTGCCGATTCCACATCCCGGCAGAGGAGCTGGAATCACGGCCACGCTCCTCGGCGCAGGCGGCGTGCGAGTGTCAGAGCCCCCACATCAGCGTGGGGGGAGCGGCCACGCTGATTGGCTGCCGCTGCTGTCGGGGGTTTCTGATGCCACTCGCCCGGCTGGTTCCGTTTTTAGTTTCTACTCTCGAGCCCCGCGGTCCACTTCGCTCTGCCTGAGGACCAGTGGGCACATGCACTTGTGAGCGCGCTGTACTTGTGAGCGGGCACATGTACTTGTGAGCGGGCACATGTACTTGTGAGCGGGCACATGTACTTGTGAGCGGGCACATGTACTTGTGAGCGGGCACATGTACTTGTGAGCGGGAACTAATCCGTGCTGTGTAAAATACAAACGGAATCATCCCGCCCGTGGGAGAGCAGCCGCTGCCAATGGAGCGCGTTCGGGAGATGGTGGCGATGAACCGCGAGGGTGAAAGCTACGCGGTGATGGAGGAGGACGAGGAGGAGGAGGTGGTGGACGAGGAGGTGGGCTTGGGGAGCGGGCCAACAGCGGGAGACGGCGCGGGAGACCGGGTACGGTACTCGCGGCTGCGCTGTTGACGCTCTCGCCGTCTTGTTCGGCGTCTTGTTGTTGTTTGTTGTTGTTGCCGCCGTCACAACGACTGCCGCACGTGGCTTGACGCTGGAAATCCCCTCCGAGTCGGTGTCGTGGCGGGCAGTGCTGAGCCTCCACAGCAGGGGGCGACCATCCCTTCGTGATTCCCGACCTGTCTACACTCGGAGTCATTTGAGAGCGCAGTCTGTTTCAAATGTCCTCACGATTGTACCGTGACAGAGGCCACAAAAGGCTCGGGGCCTCTGGGCAGCCCGGTCGCTGCTCCGCGTCTGTGCTGTAAACTCTTTCTTGGGTTGCCAGTGGCGCACAAATCGCACGCTCCGAGTTTATTAACAAACACTGTGCGGCCTTAAAAGGAAACATACAAAAAGCGACGTTTCGGGCAACCTCCCCTTCATTGATCAAGGTGCTATGAAGAAGGGCCATTGCCCAAAACGTCGCCTATTTTGTTTCATTGTCAGGCAGTGTTATTTACGTTTGTATTGAGTTTCATATATATTTAAACTGCGTGTATACGGTATGTATGCGTTTGCATATATCGTGGCGAATATTTCAACCTGTCCTGGGCCTCCCCTAGGTCGACTCAGCATCAAATTAGTACTTCGCTTCGATGTGCAAACATCGCCACTAGGGACACAAAGGCGGACGGTTGTGGGACTGACCACCCACCTCGCGTGCCGTGACGGCCTTAATAGGTGCCCGCTAACAGCACTTTGCCCCAACAGTCTGTGAATGATATACGGGGGATCTTCGTCTTTGTTTTTATTTGCGTGTGAAATAGTTTAATTGTTATCAACAACAATCTGTATATGCCCTGTAAGGTAGTCTTTTTTTAAGCTTGCAACGGATGCCGCCATGGCAGTGAATGTACCAGGTCTCACAGAGGAGGGGATTCCCAAGACTGCCTTGAGCAGTGTGCGTTGTCAAACGTAGCCGCTAGTGGTGTAAGTAATACCAGCACGGCTGGGTAAAGACCTCACAATACATACGGAGTCGATAAGTGGGGATTGTTTGAGCATATTTCACCAGGCTGGTCAGTGCGGGTTGGTGCAAGAGGCGGGGAACCCAGGAACTGTTCAGATATCGCAGCCGCTGTTACAGCATCCACAGGCCGGATTCGAACCCAAACTCACAGGGATCATGGCCCAGTGCGCAGACCATTGCGCCACTGCTACTACCAACAGCACACAGTGTACATTTGGCTCTGATCGTGTTTTAGGTATATATCTTAGTGTATATCATTCATTAAATTCAAAGAGCGATATATGATCGACTAAATAATGTGTAAAGGGACGCAATGAGGATGTTTGAGTTCCCCCCTTCAGTTCGAAGTAACCAGGGTGGTGAACAACCTCATGAATTATACGGAATGATACCTTTAAAGCAGTGAATTGACATTATGAATGCAACTCTTGAGATTGTCAGTAGTTACCCTTTAATATTAGGGTCCAGTACGTACGCAGGAAAACCACGTCTGATGGATTTTCAGCTGGATATCTGAAATATGTTGGGAAGGGTAGATGCATGGTGATGTTTGTAGTTTCGTGGAATGGTGATGAAATTTGCGAATTGTACGTGCAGCTAAATCTAAACTCTATATAGATCACTGTGTGCCACACGACTGACCTGTAATGCTTTATAGTACTGTGGTTACATCCCGGACTGTATCCTGCAGGGGATATTTCCGCATAGTTTATGTGGATTGTGTGGGGAAATGGCTGTGCTGAGAACAGCAGCTGCCATGGAGTTACTGAGAAAGAAAAGGGAAGCAAATTGAAATACGGAGAAAGTAAAGTCACAACCTCATTGTTCTTGGCTTCAAGACCTCACGCTTGGTGACTTATCCTGAGCAGACGAGTCCTAATAATTAAAAAAACTGGTCCACAGTTCAATCTTGATTTGAAGCTTTCGTGACTGCAGGAATCCATTCCGCTTTGGTTATTTCGGTAAAGTCACGTATGTATAAAATAAAATAAATCACGACGTTTTAGGCGCAACACAAGCTTTCCCACCTGATGACGGACGCTTGTGTTGCGCCCGAAACGTCGTGATTTATTTTATTATATACCTTCGTGACTTTACCGAAAGGACCAAATTGTATGGCCCACAGTTGCCTTTCCCTGTCTCATGACTGCCTGTTTTTATTCACAATGCACAGCAGGACTGTGTGCTACGTACACGTTTCTGGAATTTGTCGTTTGCAACGCGTGCTTTTCCGGCCTGCACCTCTATCCTGTCATAATGGGGTTTTCTCGTAATTTAAAGATTTTATTCCAGTCACGTGATCCAACATTAACTCATCGTGGCCTCTCTGCAAATCTCTGCCATTAACGTTGCCTTTTTATGGTGGACCTTTTTTGCTGTTGTTAGGTGGTATTGATGGCAAACATGGTAAAAAAATAGTAATCTACATTTCTATTTGTACATCACTGCCAACACAGTCCCGAACATAAGTACTCTGTTATCCATGGAACATGACATACGTGTTGACATTGAAAGTATAGAATATGTGCCTGTATGTGTAAACTTCGTGTTTGTGGCTAGCTAACTTCTGCAGTTAAAATGTTTCCACTTCTCGATAATGACATTTGTTTATTTTTATATGATCTGATAACTTGCAATGAAATATGTTCTCATTTCTTCGAGTTCTTCACCTTTACTTAAATAAAAATAACAGCTGAGTTCTCAGGAAAGAGATTTGTCATTTCGGTGTGCCCTCACATGATAAAAAAAGGCAATTGGAATGAACCTCAGTGACCCAAGGTTAGAATTTGATCATAATCATTGCATTTATATGGATTTAAATGCCTCAGCCACTCATAGCTGTGAGGCACAAGGTTACACAGCAACGGTCTACAAGTGGGCATTATTCTGCTTGTAGGGGGCGATGTTGCTCTTGGTAATTCCAATGAAGACATTTTTTCTAATTTAGACTGTGATGGCCTACTTTTTGTCCATGTTTCAGGATATTTAACGTCCACTATGAAGCAAACAATTCTGATTATTTTTGGTTATTTATCGTTGATACACCTGGGGTATTAACCAGGGCAGCCTGTCGGAGTCAAACCAAGAATCTCTGCAACAAGCGGTGACCGCGCTACTATTTGACTTCCTGCTTGACTCCACCAAGCGGAAAGTCAGCCTTGCCATGCTTCAGTGTCCTCACTGCTCGTTTCCCGCTGCTGCCCTGTGATGGCCACCCTGATGCGCAATGTCGCGGCGGCAGGTGCTGCACACGATGGAAGAGACGACCACCGCTCCCTCGCAAGGCGCCGGCAGCCGCAGGGGACGCGCGGGCTTTCTGCAGGCGGCGGTGCTGCCGGCGCTGGTGGTGTGCCTGGCCCTGGCAGTGCTGGGCTGTGCTATCACCCTCACCCGCAGGAACAATGCCACTTTAATAGGTGTGGACGGTGGGATTGAGGTCAGGTGGGCAGTACAGTAAGCGATTGACAGTGAAGTTTTGCGAGAGTATAAAGCCTTGCCGCATTCATCAACAATGTCGCTTTACACCGGGAATGTGTTGGGCAGAGGCTTTGCAGAAAGATTGATTGGTACTTGAAAAATTCTGGAACTTATATTGTGAGGCCCTGAGAAGATTGAGACATGAAACGAACGAACACACCCCTCCTACAGCTGTCCTTCATCGCGCATTGACAAGAGTGGTGAATGATGGTCAAATGACCGTACATTTAATTATCAAATAATTAATGATGTTTAACTACACTGGATCTGTATACAGGTAGTCCCCGACTTAACGATGGAGATGCGTTACGACGACCCCATCGTAAGTCGAAAATATCTTTAAATCGAAAATGGCCTAGCCTACCCAGGAGTCTTAAAGAATGGTGATAATTTAGCAAAACAGAGCAATTTACAGTACCGTACTGTATAAACTATATACTGTATGTATTTATTAATTACAATACTGTATTGCACAGTAAAATTTAAAGTAAAAAACAAGGTAAAATCTTAGCCTACCTATATGAACTGCAATTTCATTGAAATTTTTTTTCTGGAAACAATCCTATCTGCTATAAAAACTTTTAACATGCATTGAACGTATGTATCGTATCGTGGTAACCCTAAAATTAAATCGCTAAAGCTGTATGTATCACACATGCATTGAACGTATCGTAACGTATCATATTCTACTGTTCTCACCAAGATTCTGTCCGTCGTCTGCATACTTGAACGATGTTAGGTTTGTTGATGGCTACATTGACTTAGTTGTCGGAAGAGGAGGATGGCGATGACAAAGTACAGTATCGTACCTCGTACGCTGCTGCGTTTGCCTGCCGCGCGAACTTACAAATATTTTACAATTTTGTCATATTGCTATCGCCATCGTAAGATCGAAATATCGTAAGTCGGACCATCGTAAGTCGGGGACTACCTGTATTGGGCTGCCCAGAGGTTCCTGGAAGCCCAGGGCAGAATGCCACTTGGGACCCTCTTTTTTACTTTGCAATAAAAATACAGGCCCGTTGTGTAGCCCTCTGATCTGTGAGGCCCAGGGCAAATTTCCTATTTAGCCTCCCATTCTGGACACCCCGACTGCATAGCCTTACGCAGACTACACAAGTTAAATACAATTACGATATATGCAAATCTTGTGAAATAGCCACTCTCCGTTCATCATTACTCATAATTGAACTAATAATCGATTGAATAACAAACAAGATTGGGAGTATTTTCATTGGCTGTATTGCTCAGCATTGGCGTATGAGTAATTGGTGCTTGTCTGATGCGACACTGGAGAGCAGTGGTTCTCAACCACTTTGGCATGGCGCCCCCCCCCCCCCCCCCCCCGAAACCAGACCACTGGTCCCTGTGCTCGCCCCCCCAGCCTCAGATACACAACTAAGGATAGTGAGGTCACAGTATACATACGCAGAGAGACCGCATGTCCACGACTCCAGTCACCATGGCGTTGGCCAGGCCTTTGATTCATTCTAGATTTTATATTATACCTACATGACTTTAGCGAAAGAACCAAAGAGTTATGGACCTTTGATTCATGTCGTCACCGTGGTTATCGACGACAGGGAAGGAGCCGGCGCAGGTGTGCACGACGTGGGAATGCGTGCGTGCGGCGAGCGACGTGCTGAGCTCCATGGACCTCGCCGTGGACCCCTGCGAGGACTTCTACTCCTACGCCTGCGGGGAGTGGGGCCGTCACAACCCCCTGCCCAGCGGCACGTACCAGTGGGGCAGCACGGACGTGGTTCGCAGGAGAACACTGGGGCAGCTGCACAGGGCACTGGGTAAGAGGCGTTTGTGCCGGGCTACGTGCACTTTGAGACCACTAGACATGTCGAGGGCTCGCCGCCAGGAGGTCACAGACCCGGGTGTTATGGGTTAACAAACTGCGATAAATAGAAGATGCACCATCTGTGCTCTCCACTGTGCCAAGTTGTTGTGTTTTAGTCGCCCGGTGCTCTGCTCTTTGTTGTGAGTGTCGCTCCCTAGCCTTACGTTGTTGCTGGAGGACGACTGCCTCCAACTGCCCAGTAGCGTCATTCACGAGCCTCCTCTACAAAGGCCGATTTTGACACCAGTCATTGGCAAGCCCAATCAGTTCCACATCCTCCCATACTGCATCAGCCCATCTCTTCTCTAGCCTGAGCCTTGCCTGTTTAGCCCGCTCTATTCAGGCACACAAGCTGCTTGGGCATGCAGTGGCTGGGTATGTGGCCTACGCCTGCCAGAGGAGCTCATTGATGGGACTGCGTCCAGATCTTTCATGGATCTTTGAGCTTCCAGACAAACCAGCCTGATTCAACCCAGGAGGGATTGTAGACAGGCCAGCCTGAACGTTTTGAGCCATTGGAGGTGTTTCTGTAAGGTCTTCCACATTTCACAAGCATAGAGAAGGGAGGGATTAACAGTGACCAACAAGACCTCGAGCTTTGTATGGAGTGATAGGCCAGGAATGTGAAATTTCCACCACTGGCTTCGGGCTGTAAACTGGAGATAATCACCGCTTCAATTATTATTTGAGCAGGAAATCACTGACATCAATACTGTTACCATTATGTCTCTCCGTAGATAACACTGACATTCGGAACACCTCGGCCAAGTGGAAGGCCCATGTTTTCTACCACTCCTGCATGAACAAGGAAAGGATCAAGGGAAGAGGCAATAAGCCTCTGCTTGACATCATCGCTGATATTTATGTACGCTTAGTATGAGAGGCCTGCATTTTGCCACATGACTGTCACTTGTTAAAACCTATTACAAAATTACCTGCAATGCACTAGATCTCATGAGATCTCGGAAGCTAAGGTTTGAGCCTGGATTGTGCTTGCATTGGCGATGACCGTGCGCAACATTTTGTTTTGGGCTGCGTGCTCGGAAGTCGAGGGCAGTCCAGCAAAATCAATTGTTGTACCATACTTCTACGCTCCAGCATCTACGCTTCCCGCTTGCACCATCCCGCACTGACCAGTGTTGGGTCATATGGTCCAATAACCCCATGACCTGTACGGCATGGGGAGCCCGTCAACCAGTCGTGGATTAACAAAAGGGCTGTATATGTACCATTGCATGTTGACCCCAACGAAAGAGATTTGGAGTTCTCAGCTGGAGAAACAATGTGTTTGGGGGTGGTGACGTGGCCCAGTGGTAACGCATTTGTCGCTTTTTGTAGAGGTTCATGATACTCATCCGGTATCCCGCCCTGGTTAATACTGCGGATGTGTTAACTATAAAATACGCAAAGTCTGCTTCACATTGACGTTAAAGATCTCGTGGCATTATTCGAAACGAGGAGGACAATGTGTGCCAGCATCATGGTCAACATGTGAAATTACTGCAGACCGTGTCTGTGAAACAAAGCACGTTCGTAATGGCCTTGTGCTACAAGAATTGCGCGAATACCAAATGCACTAAATTATTATTGTTATTGTCTGTAATTGAGTTGCGAGCCCCGCATCTCACAAAATTATATTTTCTCTGTGAAGAAAAACTTCCCGTTTTCAAACCAAACGGAAGCTGTGCTGAAGAAGCTGCACTCGGTATACGGAGTCTCCCCGTTCTTCACTCTGAAGGTCATGCCGGACCCCACCGACTCTCAACGCAGCGTGCTGTTTGTGAGTGGCCCGGCACAACCACGCTGCACGTCTACTCACGGGCTTTCGCTACCTCACCTCGCCACTTCCTGTCTGAAACGGCCTTTGCCTGGTCCTCCGCATTGCCTCCCCCTCTCTAGATTCTTGCTCAAGTCCTTTTTCTTTGGCTCCATCAGTGACTGATACCTCTTCATAATCTACCCCTCCACTTTCTCCCACCATTGATGCCCATCGATTATTTTGATGCCGTGCTTGCGCCGAATATAATACCAAGCATGCACCTCTCTGTTCTTCTTTTGTGCACTTTTAAACTCTTATTTAATTATCTTTGTCATGTTCCTTATGCTGATCCATAAGTCATAGCAGGTGATAAGCTTTATAAACTTTAGGAAAAACGGCGGAGCTCTAACTGTTTTCTGTGTTGCGAATGCGTCTACACTTTGTTGCCGTTCCAGTTTTCCCAGCCTGAACTTGGACTTCCATCGCATGAACATTTTCTCAACAAAACCCCAATCGACAGCAAGGTGTGGGAGCACTAAAATACCAGTGGCACTCTTGGCAATATTTTGTGTATAGAATCGTAAAATAGTGATAATTAGACTTGCATCTCATAATCCAGCAAAGAAGGCAATTCGGAAAAGTCCACAACCACGTACAAACACACTGGCGTTCCAGAGTACGTCATGTTTTTTTCTGCACGGTGTCTATGCTGCAGCCTGCCAGAGGTGGCAGATCCGAGGTGGGGGGCGATAGAGGCCATCAATCCCCCCCCCTTCCTTTAGACCCCAAAAATTGGTATTTTATTGATATCAGTGGAAATGTATTGAAATTTTTTTTCCATTGATGTAGGGCGCAATATTTAAACAGCTTATGTCAGGACCTGGGAAGTTTCTAGACCCCCCTGCAGCTTGCAGCCCCCCACCGAGAGGCTATGACGCTCCTTCTGGGGGAGGGGGGGGCTCGACCCACGGGGTTGGGAACCGCTGATATTGTCGCTGAATAAATATAAATTGTGTTGCTGCTGTTGTGGAAGTCTAGAGGAAGTGACCTGCGGACGTGTGTACAACGCAGGTGCTGCAGCTCTACCTCAGGTATATGAATGACGTCGAGCAACTGCTGGGGATGCCCGGGGATGAAGACTCAGAGGGGGGCATCGCCTCTCGGAGACGGCTGTCTGAGGCCCTGAGGATTGAGTCCAGCCTGGCAGCCATATTCAACGAGCGGGGCGACCTCGACGACCCGGAGAAAGTGCACAATGTGACTCTGCAAGAAATGCAGGTGAATGTGTCGGCCCAGCCCACGTGTGTGTGTGTCCATGTGTGTGGATGTGTGTGTGTCCGTGTGTGTGTCTGTGTGTGTATGGGTTGCGGTAGTGCAGCGGATAGCGCACCATGCTATGAATCCGGTGACCCAAGTTTGATTCTCACGACCAACACCAGTAACGATTATCTGAACCGGTCCTGGGCCTTCCCTCGGTTGACTCAGCCTCAATAGAGTAACTGGTGTGGTGTGTAAACATCGCCACTGGGGAGACAAAGGCAGCTAAGCGTGATGCTGGACACACCACCCCCTCATTTGCCTTGTCGGCCTTAATGGAGGCTCAATAACAGCACTCATTCGTATGGTCTCCACACCTTCAGTGGGGTTCTTAGCCTTCGTTGCTTGGAACCACCAGTCCATCCAACCTTTTAGAAGGACATAAACACTTAAATTTCCAAACAATATTTAACCACATGAAATAGCACATATTGATAAAGCTTTAATCTGGAAAGTGACTGGTTGCTCTTCTGTATTCTCAAACCAACAGAACTTGGTGAGCCACATCGACTGGGTGACTTATTTGCAAGCAATCTTTGTTCCGTTCGCCTTCACTCTGCACGACAAGATCATCACACCTACCCTGGAGTACTTTAAGAAACTCGACAAAGTCCTTAACAGCAGCAGCGAAAGGTGTGATCACTTTTGCACTTGCAATCCAGAGGTCGGAGGTTCAATTCCATCTCCCGGCACGGCAGTTAAAAAAATAAGAGCGAGTTTCTTAAACCCCCCACCGCCACCTCTGTCCACCCAGCAGCAGCAGAGTTAATGGAGTCACACACCAGAGCCAGCTGATGGGCCGCGTGTGGTGGGGTAAAGTGTGGGTACTCCCACCTCTTCCAAGGTGCCTGATTTACGTGGAAGAGTGGACCAGCTACCTTCTAGAGTTTACTCTACTGGAGGCCCTTCCAGCAGAAGTGTCATGAGCGAGCAATTGTAGGGATGCACCTTTACCATTTTTGCCATACCACGATGCTCTGCTGGAACAGATACGTGTTCCTCTTAATATTTAGATTCACAATTGACATCATGTTATCAGACAATCAATTTAGAATCCAGCTAGTAGTGCACCTCATTGTCTTGAACATATCTCAACGAACAGCTCGCAAAGATTACAGCCCTTAGAGGGCTCTATCTACTTTATATGCCCTAGAAAAGAGTGGTACGTTAATTCAAACAATGTTATCCAAATGCAGAGCTGATATAAATCGAAATTAAGTGTTTTTTTCAGTGATTTTTGTTTTATGTATTCAGGATTGGGCTGAGACCATTCACTCACTGCACGAGAGAACACGGCTTAATCAGATTGGATGAAACCAACGTTTAAACTCAAGATCTTAGCATTACCGCCTCAGTGCTCTGACATGGGCATTATGAACCCCCTGAGTTACACGGCAACCTTAACTATCTCGTCTTCATGCCTCTGTCTTCATGTTTCACAGAGAAACTCGCCCATGTATTGTGGTATTAACCATGCTGGTCGCATCGATATCTTGAGCAAAACAATATTTGCAGCGGAGTACAAGCCACTTCAAAAGTGAAACAAACTGAAAATCAAGTGTATGCTATATTCCAAGTACACATTCGCTTCATTTCTTGAAAGTAAAAATATCGCGTAAAAAAGAGTGCACGGACATGTGTTTGTCCTGAGTCGTACAAGTTCTGTTGCATCGACTGTTCTCCCGACAGCGACATGCGGGACTACATCATCTGGAGTCTGGTGCGAAAGCTCTCGCAGAATCTGGATGGCAGATTTGAGGATGCCAAGAGGGATCTGAACGAGGCCCTCTACGGCACTGACAGGGTGAGTCTTCTCACTCACATCAAAATCACAGCAATCACCATCTCTCCATTTATCTGGCTTTTGCTTAAATGCCTCAGCAACTCAAGCCCTTCCCATATCATCCCACACACAAGGTGACTGAATGCCGACTTACAAGTGGGCGTTAGTTTGCCAGTAGACGGCAATGATTGAGTAAGTATTTATTTCCTCCAGAATGAGCTGGGTGTTGTACTGCTTTACCTGTTGCAAGAAGGAGTCAGCATGGCTCAGATCCTAGATTAAAATCCTGGGCTTCCACCTCTCATGAGAGAGATTACACAGGGAGGGAGGGGGGAATATGGGGACGGTGGCAGAGTGATGTTGGGTGGACGACTGCCCGTAGGGACTTGGGTTTCCTGTGAGTAGCAATATTTTAGACTGGGGGTTCCAACGTCATTTGAATTTCCAACAAAGCCTTCTATTGACTTATGTTCATATTCTCATTCGCATGTCCTGCCACCAGCCGTATTTATCCAGTGTCAGGAATGTGATGATGATGATGATGCGGCCCGGTCTGTAGCCCCAGGATGCTCCTCCGCGGTGCACGGCTCCTTCAGGAGCCGGCAGACCAGGAGGCACTCCACCGTCCATGTCTCGCCTCAGTCGCGCGCGTCAGTCTCGTGAGAGTAACCCCACTTCGATACGTTGACTCGTGAGATGCCGACTCTGGGTGGGAGGCGATTCAAAGAGATCCGGGTCAAACGATCCATCTCTGTCCAGCAGCAAGGCGTTCGGTAGCGTCGAAGTGTGCTGTGACGACGGCCTGGGTTGTTGTGTCGGCCATGGCCACCACGTTTCAAGTCGCATAGCCAGAAGCGTTTTTGTGAAGTTCTTCGTTATTTATTTGAGGGGTTATTAAAATAAATGTGTTGAAGCTTCAGAAACATATTTCAACATCAAACGAGGTCTCTGGGTGCAGCATATCTGATCTCGATGGCTCTGACTGCAGTGATTTCCAAAACACACGACCGTATTGAAATGATTCTTAAATTCTGTCAGCCACGCTCAGCTCAACACCATTAATGAGCACAGGCCCAGAGGCCAAATTGTCCAGTGGCCAGCAACAAACAGTACTATCAAAGTTGTAATAGATGAGTGAAAACGTCTTGAATTAAGCAAGGTTATTATAAGAGATTGGGGAAAATAAACAATGGGAAGGAATTCCAAAGACAAGCAGTACGAGGGAAGAAGCAGAAAGATAATTTTTGTAACCTGCAGTATGGTGAGTGAGTGGGTGAGTGAGTGTGTTGTTGTGACCTGCAGTAAGGTGCTTGAACAGTGTGGATGAGATAAAACAGTGGCTCGGTTGAGGAATCAAAAAGTTCACTGACACAAGAGCTACTGTATGGCAGTAGTAATAGAAAAGTGATTTTGCCATTTACTGCCGGTGAGTGAGCGAGTGGAGTGAATCGGCGAGTTGCTGCATTATCACTCAACCCGACTGCTTTAGGTTGCATCCTTTGGAGTAACGGCGTATTTGCTTGCGGTGTGCCAGGGCGGGTTTGTACCGCGGTGGGAGTTCTGCGTGGAACAGACAAGCAGGGCTGTGGGCTTTGGCCTGGGCTTGCTGTACGTGGAATACGTCGGCTTCAACAGCACCCACAAGATTCAGGTCAACCTTGCCCACGAGACTCACTTTCTCATTGGGTTCACACCTTGTGTGAAATCAGAATCTGAATTTTTATTCAGACTGGAGGAAGAATCTGATGATCTATGAAGCTCTTTTTCACAGATGTCCAGCAGGGGCGGGTCAGAAAGTTGTGAAAATAAACAATACAAAAAATATAGGAGTGCAAATTAGAGAAAGGGCAAGCAAGTCACTAAAATAAATAGACAAAAAACAAGTACAAATCCAGCTGAAAGTACAGAAATTCCTGCCGGATATTCAACTCGAAATGTAAGCTAGAGCAAGGCAGCAAAACAACAACAAAAACAGTCACAATCCACACCAAGACAACAACACACAGTCCCTCAATAAAATTGCACATTAAAATTGAACTAGCGATACACGGGTAAGGATCACAGTTCCAACTCTCAGGTGGAAATGTGTCCACAGCATGAAGTCAATACAGTGACAAGTCTCTCTGTTCCAACTCTCAGGTGGAAATGTGTCCAGCATGAAGTCAATACAGTGACAACTCTCTCTGTTCCAACTCTCAGGTGGAAAAATTAATCAAGAACCTGTCTGAAGTCTATAAGGATACCATAGACCAACTCACCTGGATGGACAACGTCACGAGCGGGTTTGCAAAAGAGAAGGCGAGTACCACATCGGTCAATTTGAACCGTGATGCCAGCACACAATGGCCTGCTATTTTCGAATGACATCACGGGATATTTAGCACCCACTGTCAAGCAGATGGGCCCGTATTTAAAAGTTAATACACCCGTAATAATAGCCAGGGTGGCCTACCCAGCTCGAACTGCACACTTCTGCAGAGAGTGGCAAACTCTGGGCCACATCGCATCCCAGTAGCGTGTGGGAAACATGCATCAGCTCTGACAGGTGTCTGGCTTCTTTTTACTGCAGCTGGACTCGATTGTCTTAAATGTGGGTTACCCACTGTCTGATGACCTGCACCCTGCAATCACCGACTCAAGCTACATGGATGTAAGTCTTCAGTTTCTGTGTGAAAAGGCACCACACATGCTTTATAACATTACCATTTTATAAATAGTAATATCAATTCTTAATTGACCCAGGGAAGCCAAGCTGATTCCAAAGAATATTTTCAGGAGGATCTTGCTACATTGGGATATTTGGCCAACACCAATGACATTGTGTGTGTGTTTTGCTCTGGGAGGAAACCAGAAAAAACTGGGGGGAACTCATGCAGAAGAGCTGCAGAATATACAAACTCCACACAGAAAGGTGCCCAAATCAGGAATCAAACTCAGGTCCTTCTTGCCGTGAGGCACAGGTGTTGCTACCGTGCTACCCTTCTGCCCAGATAACTGTAAAAAAAAAGAGCTCACTGTTGAAATTTTGTGGATAGGTTGTAGCAGGGGACCCTCGAAAAATGGGCACGTTTCCTTCTCTTCCAAGAATTCTGGACTAACAAAGGCAGGTGAACCTTCAGCAACCCTTGGATAATGCCTGAACATGCAACATGTTATTGCAATTTAACAAGTAGGCTCTCGCGACCAGTATTATTCTTAAAGGTTTTTGGGTGAGATTGCGTTGTTTATGAATGTGTCGCACCCCTCCACCACCCGACACGGCCAATCAGTAAAAAATATGTCACGTTGACAAAAGACAAATAGTTCAGTACTTTAGCCCACCGGTGTGTTGAAGAGTGAATCTACAACATTTACAATTTGAGTACGACGTTTAGCTGGAAATTACATCTAGCGTCTTCGGGCGATTTGCCACAATTGTAAAGCCATCCACCTGCTTTGGTCTGAAATACCGGATTTTCCCGCATATAGCCTGCATACGCATATAACCCGCAGACGCATATACCGCGCAAAAACAGCGTTTTGTGTAAAACTAATTTCAGATTGCCCGCACCTCCATATACCCCGCATGCATTCATATCTTTAACGTTACCGCAGCTTAATTCCATAATATTAATACAAAGTTTACATTTGTAATACATTCCACTATCAATTGTTCACGTTAAAATCATAACGTGCACAAAGAAAATAAACTAACCGGAAACGAGTGAACTTAAAACAGTAAATAAGTAACAAAAGTAAATACAACACCTACGGACCCTACCCTCGGGTATCCCCTTGGCTCTCCCACTTGTCTGCCCGGAGTGGGGCTTCAGCCAACACCGCTCCGTGACGAGGGGGAGAGACCCTGTCCCAGCCGATCCTTACCCATATATCTCGGGAGTTACTGACAAATTAGCCCATGTTTTGCAAAAGCAAAACATTAAAGTGAAATTTGGTAACAGTACACAAAATAAAAAAAACGAGTGTCTTTTTACTAAAGATTAATTAGCGAAGTTATGAACAGAAGGTGTATATCGGATCAATTGCTTATGCGGTAAGTGTTATATTGAACAGACGTGACGTAACATCAGCGTAAGACTAAAAGAACACCAAAGGAACATTAAATTCTCCCAAACACAGCTGTCAGTAGTGGCAGAGCATGCTTGCCAACAAGGACATTACATTTATTTTGATAACGTTGAAGTGCTATGCAGAACTAATTATTACTGGCCAAGACTATCAACTTGGTTCTTTCGGTAAAGTCACGTAGAATGAGAATAAAACAATAAAACAAAATAAGGCAATAAAATTATCACGACGTTTCGGTCACAACACAAGTAGCCTTCTTCAGGTGAAGGAACAGAACTGTCGGGACGACAGCGCTACGTGACTTTAACGAAAGAACCAAGAAGATGAATCCTTGCAGTCACGAAAGCTTTAAATGGCCAAGACTAGTTAGAGAATCAATCGAAATTGAGAAGAATTTAAATAATTTCAACCGCTGTGATGGCTACAGACTCCGCGCAGCCTGGAAGCGTATGAATAAGTAATACACAACACATTGCAATTCTTTACAGGTGAGTCACATACTGAGTGGCTGATTACTGATCTATTGCATAATTGCATACACCCCCACCTCCGCCTCTGATCTCGAAACATGATGGGGTACAACAATGATGACGTCATCCTGCACTATTTAAGACCGGAAGCAGGTGGATAGCTTCACTATTCTGGCAAATCGCCCGAAGATGCTGGATTTAATTTCCAGCGAAACGTCGTACTCAAATTGTAAATGTTGTGGAATCACTCTTCAACACACCGGTGGGCTAAAGTAGTGAACTATTTGTCTTTTGTCAACATGACACATTTTCTACTGATTGGCCGTGTCGGGTGGTGGAGGGTTGCGACACATTTATAAATAACGCGATCTAACCCAAAAACCTTTGTTATGTTATTGTGATAGTGTAGCTACGAGCAACTATGGAAGCAGTTACAGCCAATGTGTGTTGCTTGATTTAACGATGTATTTCATTTCACAGCTGACCTTGACGGATGATTATTTCCAAAACATGCTGAACTACTACGAGTTTGAGATGAAGAGCATGAAGACGGCTTATAATCGGGGCCAGGACACACACAAGTGAGTACACGTCTCAAGGTGCCGTTCGTGATCACCAATGCGACAGGTATCTGAATGAGTCCTGGGTCCCCCCATCACCAACGTGTACTGACCAGCGTGGTGAAGTATGCTGAAACAACTCTCATGACCGGCATGCCGTGTGGAGGCCTTCATCTAGTAGTGGATGGACAAAGGGCTGTGCTGGCTAGAAGATGTAGCGGCGGTTAGAGTGCATGCCTCCTCGTAGTTGGGAGGTTTTGAGTTCAAATCCCAGAATGGAGCTCAAGTCAGCCCTTCACCGCCACAGGGTCGATATCACGAGCATCGCTTAGTAGGAAAGTCAACTGTGGTTGATCTGTGGATTAACCGGTCCCCACCATAGCAACGTGTAACTTCTGCTGGCTCAGGGGCTGTGAACAGGACTGAGGACTGCCCAACGTTTAAATGGGGATGTTACATGTTGACTATGTAAAACACAAACTGGACGCTACAATGGGTCTGTGGTCTATTGCGATGTGTTGACTGTACCAGTGTCATCTTCCTGTGGCTATCAGGCTAAGCAGCACGACTGCTTCACAGCCTCCCCTGTCTTAGTCCATCCTTCTGTTGGCCCCTCAGGTGGACCATGACCCCACAGACCGTGGAAGCTGACTACAACGTCTACTTCAACCAGATCACTGTGCCGGCCGCAGTGGCACAGCCTCCCTTCTACAGCACTAAAAACCTTAAGTGAGTGTTATTGTTGCGCTTGTTTATCCAGGAACGCCTCACTGAGTCTCAGTTCTGCCAAGGTTTCCCAGGAGGAGGCGACAACTTCTATGGGTTTTTTAAAAGTAATTTGGCATATTTGAACCGTTACATAAGCACACAACGGCCTACTCCTCTTCAAATAACGTTACGAGATCTCTTAACATCTAACATAAAGCAGAGAGTGCATATTTCGTGATTAATGCACCCGCAGTAGTAATAAGCGCGGCTTGCCTGAACCTCTGCAACAAGCGGCAAACCCCCCAAATGTTGGGCTGCATCAGGGCCCCTTAACGTTTGAAGCAATTCATGGACCTTGACGTGCATAGCTCACCAAGCCCATCGCACTATACCGGCCGTCTCGGTCAGACACTGATTATAAAGTAGTCACCTGGAATTCGCTCCGTACTGGTTTGGCTGGTGCTGGTGATGGAGTGTTCATTAAACAAAATGTCACAGTTGCGGTGTGATTTAATTTAGTTGACCTCTGGGAGTGGAACAATGACGTTGGCTGAGTTTTCTGTGCTGGGCATGTTTCGCTCTGTCTAGGTTTGTGAACTACGCAGCCATTGGGACGATGATCGCTCACGAGCTGGTGCACGCATTCGACACACGCGGTAAGCGGCCATCTTGCTGCTCCCTGCAAGGGAGCGGCCCTTGGACTCAAGTTCACGGTTACAGGGAGCAACGTTTCTGCCTTTTCCCCCCAATGTTCCAACTGTGTGTGTTGGCGTCACATCACGACTATGGAAGTAAACATCACAGAACTACTTGAGAGATCCCTTCAACTGACCTCTTGTTCACACCTGGGGTGCTACACGTCCCACATGCCCTGCTGTAGCGAAGCGCTGTCACCCCTGAGCCACATGGTTACCGCCCGTGGATAAATGAAAAGCAGGCAGTGAGTGAATGTATATTCTTAGCTCTTTCGGTAAAGTCACGTTGAAGGGAAACAATAAAATAATAAAATATATATAAAACAATAAAAAAGTGAGTGAATGTGTTTAATTAATTATTGAACGATTGTATGAGAAATGTAATGTGTGCATGAATTAGTTAATGGGCCTTTCCTAGGCCTCACCCACTGTCTGCCCCCCTGCCACCACCATGAACCTCTTGCGCTCCCTGCACCGCCACTCGAAGCACAAAACTAAATAAAACTAAATGACGCCTAATTAAAGAAAGCCTTAGAAGGAGAGGGAGACGAGCTCCAGAGATGGCATGGTTGTGACGCAAAGGAGCAGGGATCGGCTTTGACTACCGGTCACCGGAATTCACGGTCGCCTTGTGTCGCATGCACTGCAGGCAGCCACTACAACTACAAGGGCACCTTGACGGAGTGGTGGACGCCCACCACGCGGAAAGAGTTTGAGGAGAAGGCCAGCTGCATGGAGCGGCAGTACGGGGCCTACGAGGAGCAGGGGTGGCACGTGGACGGGCATCGCACCCTTGGGGAGAACATCGCCGACAATGGAGGCCTGCACGTCGCCTTCCAGGTGCGTCCTGTCGTCGGCCGTACCATAATTTTATGACTTACCCCATGATGGAGAGGAGTGGCGTGGGCTGGAGGGGCGTGGGCTGAAGTGACAATGCAGATGTGAAGGCGCCGTAGCAGAGGTAATGGGACATTTGGCAATGGCGTGTGATATGTGGACAATGGGGGTTCAAATCCCCTGTCAGATTTAATTGGTTTGTACCCTCTCGGCAATCTAACTGAGAGCCTTTAAACTTTGTTTTACATTTAGAATACCTTATAATAAGACAACTGAGCACTGACCTGAAAGTGAGCATTCGTCTGTCATCTGAATTGTGTCATTTGGTGTAATTTCTAAAATGTGGACCATGAACCTGCTACACCACGGCCTGCCCATCTTGATTGATGTCACGGGATCTGTAACGTCCACTGATAAGTGGACGGGCACATGGTATTTTACAGTTGACGCACCTGAACTAATAACCAGGGCGGCTTGCCTGTTTCGAGTTGCAAACCTTTGCAACAAGCATCGCTAGCGTTAGCACTAACGCTAGGCTGTCATGGGAATCCCTTGCTGACAGGGCAGTAGCTTTGCATGTGCGTGCGGCGACACCCACAGGCGTACGAGAACTATGTGGGAAAGTACGGCGAGGAGGAGGTCCTGCCAGCCATGAACTTCACCAACCGACAGCTTTTCTTCATCATCTACGCCCAGGTGCGTCCATACAGGCGGCCACTCGAAGACCGGGTTGGTGGGTCATGCTGGAATAGGGCTGTGATGCATGTGAGTTGCCTGCTTGGACAACCAGGTGGCACCTTTTTTAGAACAAGACACATTCGGATCTATCTGTGCCCAGCCTTAAGCTCTGTCTGCTGTGTAATTAGGGCCCGATTGCCCAGACGAATAATGGCCGGCACTGTGGAGGCATTAAAACTGCCCTGCTCTATGATTGCCAGAGGGCTGGACCCTGTACTACATAGATGTAAATGTAATGATGTTGGTCTGTGCTATGTGTGCCAGCTGACTTAATATAAATCATAAACAGCTGCTATGATATAGCCCCTGCTGAATGAAGGCCTTCTCAAGCCCCTGCCACTGCTCACGATCTTGCGATGTAACAATCATTATATAAACACTATGTATTCCCCATAAGTACCCAACTTTATCATAAAATGAACACTAACTTGGGTTTCCAATGGAGAGACTGGCTTTCACATCCAATATGCTTGGTAATTGCTTTCTGTTGGATAGATTGTGTAAGTATAAGGTCAGTTTGAGCTATGCACCCTCTACCACCCGACAAAGCCAAGTTGCCACGTCGGGAAATGCACATAAATTGTCAAATTGTGCTTAGGCTTTTCAACATGATCGGTTTTCTTTTTTTCATAAAATCACTTGGCACATTTGCCCACGTGACAACTTGATTTGTTTGGCTGTGTCGGGTGGTGGAGGGTTAGTGCTCTAACTGATATGATACCCACACGATCAAGCCAAAAATACCTAACTGTAAATCAATGTGATTTTTATTTGAGCCACGTGCCTCCCGTTTGTGCCACCATTCGCAGACGTGGTGCTCGGTGCAGACCCCTCAGGCGCTGGAGGAGAGCTTCGTGACGGACGACCACAGCCCCCCGCGACTGCGCATCAAGGGGGCGCTCTCCAACTCCGCCGAGTTCGCCCGGCACTTCGGCTGCAAACTGGGCTCGGCCATGAACCCCGAGAAAAAGTGCCAGATCTGGTGACGCGGCCCGGCCGCCCGGCACTATCGGACGCGACAAAAGCGCCGATCATGGAGCCAGGGATCTGTGGGAAGCGTAGTGGGGTTGGCGCTGCGGTTGGGTGCGGGGGAGAGGGGTGCAAGAGTTTTTGCAACAACCAAATGAAAGCAGCAATGCAATTGGTTGAATTGCATTTAGTGAGTAAATACATGGTGTAATTATGCATTAAGGTTGTAATTATGCATCAGTCAAATGAATTTGATTCTGACGGGATACATGCATCATACTGTGTGTGCGTGAGAATGTATTCTTTGCGATCCGTGTAATTGGTTCACATGACCCTTGCAGCCACCAGTAGCACTACAGTGCACCGCAATGAATAGAATCGTGATCGCTGGTCGTAACAAGTCGTCAGGGTGATTTGTTTGTGGTCTAGTGTTCATGCTCAGCGGCCAAATGTAGAATCAGCCTGTTAAGGAGGTATCTTCAGTTTGGATGCCTGCTGTTTTCTTATCCTTATGGATGTTTGCTTTTGTAGGTCTTGGGGCTGGCTGCCTTGCTGAAATGCACTCGAGGGGTCATTTTGTCTCCTCCAATCTTCTCTCAGTATCCTTTGTTTTAAGGATACTGACGAGAGTTGGCCATTGTGTGCCTATGCCAAGGCCAAATCATCCGTCCATCAGGTCATGTGCTTGAACCAAAAAAGGAGGGGTGACCTGTAGCTGTCTTGGCCTTCATTCCACCACTTTTGGCAGAATCGCGGCTGTTTTTTCAGAATTCGTTTTAAACTACAAACTGAAACTCGTAATTTAATGCTAAACAGAGCCCATTCTTAGCTCCTTCGGTAAAGTCACGTTGAAGGGAAACAATAAAATAATAAAATATATATAAAACAATAAAAAGCAGACCTTAAACACGGTAGGACCAACACCTCGGCTGTGGCAGACCATTGTTATAATTCAGTAGGCTCACATGACATTGACTTTTCCAAGACAGGTTCTTTGTAAGCCATCTGGCTACCATGAGAGATTCGTTCATTAGGCTATCCACATATACAAGCACAGAGACAATTTCAACCGAGAAGATGGATTCTGGCTTAGCAATCATTGGAAATATTTGATAAACCATTTCAGGTCTTAATTGATTGTTCACGCTTACAGTGGCTTTCAGACAGCATACATTAATTTTTCGTCTCCCCCATCTTTTCAGAACATAGATGGACTAGTCCTTCTAAATAAACTGCCAAATTGCTGCGCGTGGCGCTGACGTTTTTTATAAATAAATACACCGTTTAAAAATAAATTAATGCGAACCGACACACCTGATGACGACCGTTTGTGTTATGGTCGAAACGTCGTGAGAATTTTTTTGTTTTATATATATTTTATTATTTTATTGTTTCCCTTCAACGTGACTTTACCGAAAGAGCTAAGAATATGAATTACTGCAGTCACAAAAGCTTTAAATCAAAATTTAGAGCCCATTCTGCTACATTTGTGGTATGGGCCAAAGTGAGTGGGATTAGGGTGGGATCGGATCAGTCATATGGGTGTGTGCATGCGACGCCTTCAGTCCGCAACAAAATTGCACCAAATTTAGTTCAACATGAAGGAAAGATAAATATGAGGATAATGATAAGATTGAAGATGGTAGTGACAATGACCTGTATGATGATGCTGACCTGAAGTTATAAATGCCTTTTCAATGTACAAAGTCCAGGCAAACTATCATACTGGACAAATAATATCAAACTACCCCCCAAGTAGACTGAAATGTGAAATATGCAAATGAAAACGTGAAGCACACCAAATGACCACTGTTTAATATATAATAAGATTCTTATATAAACAATGCCTGCATCTTTGATATTACTGTTTTATAGGCTGTAATTGGGTGTTATTATTTAAGACTGACTTGCACTAAATTGCTAACACTTCTTGAAACTGGTATTGCCTGCAGTATTGGTATTGCCTTTCTTGGGGTTTACTTTAGCGAGATCAACTGTGGAATGTTTAAATTTCAGCAAGAACCTCTCAAAGCCAGGCTCATTGGGGGGGAGAACCTTTGGGGTTGTGTCTGGCATACTGCAAATTATTAAATGACGTACATGCATTTTTTTTTATTTAAAGCTTTCGTGACTGCAGGGATTCATATTCTTGGTTCTTTCGGTAAAGTCACGTAGAAGGGAAACAATAAAATAATAAAATTCTCACGTGAGAATGTGTTGCCCTTCTACGTGACTTTACCAAAAGAACCAAGAATATGACATACATGCAGTTAATATCTAAGTTATTAACACTTCATATTAAAATATTTAAAATCTCTTTAAGAAAAAATAACTACAGTTTAATCTGAGTCATTGCCCATCGCTGGATGTGGAAGGTTGAATGGATTTTGTGATGAGCTTGAAACCCCATGTTTTATTTGTAAAATACATTTGAAAAAACAGGAAAGGGACACTAACGCACGTGGTATCCTTGGAAACGGATTACAGAATTCCATATAACAGAAAAGCAAAGCACGTGAATAGTGCTTTAGAATTGGTTTAACACGTAGGCTTTCGCGACCAATATCCATAATAGAAGTTTTTGTGGGTTAGATCGCGTAAATATGTGTCGTTAAACCCGCCACCACCCGAAACGGCCAACTAGTAAGGGTTTTCATGTAAACAACATGCCAATTCGTCACTCGTACAGCACACCGGTGTGTTGGAGAGCCAAGCCACAACATTTATAATCTGAGTACGACAGCCAGATTAATCTGAGATTAATCTGGCTGTCGTACTGATGAAGCTAGTTATAATTATATAATTACTGGTGAAACGTCGTACTCTGTCGGGTGGTGGCGGGTTTAACGACACATGCGATCTAACCCAAAACAAACTCGAGTGCTTTAGAATTGCTAGATCACTTGCACCATCTTCACCCGCCGGCACTTCCTTAGCCGGCGAGCAGAGATCTGGTTGGAGGCGTCTTATCTACAAGCAGTACAGTGTTTGAAAAAGGAAGCTTTTTGGTTTACCCCAAATCCCGGCTTAATTCGAGTCTGCCTTTGAGAGGTTTTACGGTGTTTCACTTTTGTGTTTTTTTTTTATGGGGGTACGACATTGCATACAAATGGTGTATATTTTGCTCTGCAGTGAAGATATGGAAATAAAATAGGAAATTTAAAATGTTTATTGCACACTAACTTTACTACCCGGCTTCACCCGAGACTTGGATTCTTGTCTTGGATTAATACACGGCCTACGCGGAGGGTGGGGGGGGTGTGACGTCAGCAGGCACACTGCGTAACGCTGCCGCATGCGGGTGACATCACAGATGTGACGTCACCGCTCACTTGCCGTGCAAAAATATCCATTATTGCCCCCCCCCCCCCCCCCAAAATACAAAAGCATTTTATAAGTTTTGCATTGAGTACAGTCTGGAAGCTACCCACATGCCAAATTTCAAGTTTGTTGCATATTGGGAAGTTTGCTAAACATTTCGAACAGACATTCACAAATTTCCCTTTTATATACAGTATATATTACTTTAAAAAACACATGCGTAGTGACTAACTCGGAGACAGTAAGACTTGGGGGCACTTCTTTATTTGGCGAACACCATTGGGATAACACACACACACACCCTACGTGGGTGCACACGTACTGGTAGGAACCTCCTGGTAACACCACCAGCACACAGGATTTGTCCGTCCGTCCATCGTGCATCCAAAAATGGGAGGGGTGGGGCTGGGTGGAGAGGGGAGGGAGGGGCTGGGTGGGGAGGGGAGGGTAGGGAGGGTGGGGCTGGGTGGAGAGGGGAGGGTGGAGAGGGGAGGGGTGGGGAGGGGCTGGGTGGGGAGGGTGGGGAGGGTGGGGCTGGGAGGAGAAGGGGAGGGGTGGGGAGGGCCTGGGTGGGAGGGTGGGGAGGGAGGGGCTGGGTGGGGAGGGGAGGGGCTGGGTGGAGAGGGGAGGGTGGGGAGGGTGGGGCTGGGTGGAGAGGGGAGGGGTGGGGAGGGGCTGGATGGGGAGGGGCTGGGTGGGGAGGGAGGGGCTGGGTGGAGAGGGTGGGGAGGGGCTGGGTGGAGAGGGTGGGGAGGGGCTGGGTGAGGAGGGTGGGGAGGGGCTGGGTGGGGGGTGGGAGGGAGGGGCTGGGTGGGGCTGGTCACCCCGTGGTGCCCTTACAAAACTCAACGTTTAACCTACTCACGCCGACTTGTGCCCGCCCTCACAGTCGGGCATATTGTGCGGAATACACCACGTGGTGGTGCCGCCGTTGACCCTGGCCATTGAGCGAGCAACCCAACGTTCCCACTCCGCAGGAATGTTTATTAATCAGACCGTCTATTGTGGGCGGCATTGGTTGGCTGTCTGACTAGCGGCGCCCCTGGATGGTGAAGACGACGACGAGGAGATGGTGACGATGGGCTTGAGCAGCACGACGGGAATCCCACTTCCAGCAACAGCCACGAGGTCTCCCACAGGGGCCCTCTGATACTCTCAACGTGGCCTCACCCCGGCCACACTCCCCCCCCCCCCTCTCTGGGACCTACCAGCGGGTTCCCAAGGCTTCCCGCTGGGCCCCTTCTGTGACCTTTCCCCGAGACGCCCCCCTCGTGTATGTCATGGCCTGCTGACGTCTGTCTCTACTGCCGCACACCGCAGATCCACTTTTTCGCCAGCGGCAATCGCGATGCCACTGCACATGCTGCAATGCTGAGCGCCACAGTCCCCCGCCAGCGTGTCCTGAGGCGGCCCAGGGGGTCTTTGGCCAGTGTGTGGGGACGACGACGCCTGGGAACTCGCCAGGAGGAAGATCTCGAGTCTGTGGCCAGGGCCAGGGCGGTGTGGACCGCCACGACTCAGCGCGCTGCCGCCGCGACCCTCACCAGGACGATGGGACGAAGAAACGAAACAAAAACACGTGTACAGTGTACAGCTTGCTTAAGCCATAGCGCGGGTTATGTGGGCGGGGGCCGCCCCTCGCGGTCGCAGCAGTGCACGCGTTGCGTGCTCGCACCCGGACGTGTTCATAGTTATTATTGTTGTTGTTGTGTGCTGACTGCAACTGGAGGCGGTGGTGGTTTTGTATACCCGTCAATGTTGTACACTGATTAGTTCTGGGGGTGGTGTTGTGGACCGATTGGTACTGGATCATCGCAGCAGTGCTGGTAACTAACTAGTACCGGAGGCGGCGGCTACCGATGAAACTCGTTCCGTGTTGTGGCACTGCGCTCTCGTGACAGCCGTGGTTTCAGTACTGTAGTAGTATTAGTGGGGGTGGTGGGTGAGCGAGGCTGTTTCCGCGAGTGACATTTGACGTTTGGTGGCCGCTGAGAGCTGTTGAACTCGAGGTGAAGAGAGAGAGGATCTCCTCATTCCACTCGTCACCCCTTCTTCACACACGACGGGTCCTTGCCATGGACATGGAGGATGACGAAGCGATGCTCTCGGTTGACGACGACGTCGCCCGGTTTCCCGAGTCGGAGCTGAGCGTGAACACAGTGGTGAGTGCAAAGTTCAGTCAGAGATTTGCGTTTACAGTATATTAAATAATAACTTAGTCCTGCCGATCCACTGGTGATATTAAACGTATGTACTGTATGATGGATATACTGTGTGTTTAACTTCTTTCGCACCGTACGTAGCCAACCGTGTTAACCGGAGACGGACAACTCAACACAAAAATGCAGTTCCAAAGAAATTATTTTCTCAATCGAGATTTAAAAGTGGATAGTTCCGATGGCTTTCGAATATCGGAAGGAATGGCATTCCAGACGGCCGCAGAAAGACCTCCCACATGTCGTGTTGGTAGCCGTAGAGGATATTTGACCATACTTCCCCGTGGTGGGTCACCAGTAATGTTAGCCCTGGCAGTCATCACCATGGAATCCAACTCGGTTGCAGTGAGCCAACCACTGCGCCACCGCTCCACCACGTTACGTAGCGGTGAATATAACACAATAAATAACACACTCCATTGACCACAATGGTCTTCTGGGAGTGATCTCTTTCAGCAGGATCGGTTTAATCCAAGCAGACGACCGGTTTTGCCATCGCGTCTCGTCGACACGTTGCGTGGTTGGCGGCGGTGATGGTGATGATGAGAGGATTGAGTTGTTGTTGCTGCTCTGGAAATCCCCGCGCGAGTCGACATTGCCGCAAGAGGAAGGACGTCTCCGTGATGTTTAACTTCTCTCGTGCCCCCATGTCAAGGACAGACCTCGATTAACGAACGTTTGGTTTCAGAAATTGACAAATTATGGCCACTTTTCGATTTCCGAAATAGAATTTTCGCGTTCACGAAACGTCACGCAGCACCAACAACAACAGGAGGAACGCCTCCACACCGCCCTGACAGTCACGTTAATTTTTTTTGTTTTAAATTAATCAATCGTTTTAATATTAATGTGCTTTATTATTTTTGATTTTGAAAAGTATATTTTAGGTTAGGAGTAGCGTTGGAATGACTGTCCGAAACGCATCCCTCGTTTTTTGTATTAAATTAATGGGAAAAGCCATTCCGATCAACAATATTTCGTTTTACACGTGTTTTTGAAGAAGGCATCGAGGGATGCCTGTACTGTATTCTCGCCAGTTACACAGTCACATAATTCAGCTGCGTTGGACATAATCTTGTTGCGTTGTAGTTTTGCGTGGAACTAGGAGCCATAGCTAAGCCCTTGCCTGTAAACCTCTGTAAGTTTAACAGCGTTGGTTCAAGCAAGCCAGCTCTGCTAATGAGACACTGAATGTCAAATCCGGTCTAGCGTTTGCTTGTATGGAACCAATGTTGCTGAAGTTATGGCCTCACGTATCTGTATGAGATCGAAATTCCTCCGGTCCAGCCATGTAAAACTTCTGCAACTGCGTGGTCAAAGATGTTAAAGCGTGTAGGGGCCACTGGACATCTCTGTTACACCCCCAAAGTGAATAGAAAATCACTGACTCGTGGCCAGCTTTACCCGAGCCTGCCCGCCATCAAAAGGTCCTGAATGATTGTGAGTCGAGGTGGATCGCAGCACAAGCCACCTGTACACAGGCGCAGTGGTATTGTGATGGTAACGGCTGTGCTGGTTGGTGGATATGGGCAGTGCTAAAAACAAATCACCTATTGTGGGGTGTTATGTTGGCTGTTTACCACGGGGAGTTTAGGGGATTTCCAATGGCCTCCACCAACTCTAACCCACGTGACAAACACCATATCATGCGAGATGCGGGGAGAATTTTTTTTACAAAAGTGGATTCATTTGGGGTGGCAATCCACCTACAACGATATTATATAGTGTAATGAAATTTAATTTACATTTGTAATGCGCATTTCATCCGTAGATACCTATGTGCTGAGTCTGGAAGATAGGAAGTAAACAGAAGAAGGGAAAACGACCACAACTAGAGGGTATAGGTCAGTTTAAAGAGATGAGTTTTCAAGACAGACTTACATATCCAACGATTTAGATTTTCTTGTTAAGGCAAATCGTTCCAAAGCCTGGGAGCTGCATTGGCAAAATCCTGATCATGCGTGATGGGACATTTACAGTTAACATTACATTTTTTCAGAAATGTCGCCTTTACATTTAATTCTCAAGTACATTTGAAAAGGACCTGCCAAGTTCACGTGGTGACTCGAGTGACCAATTCGACATTGCCACTTTTATTTAAAGCCAACTTGAGTTGACCATGGACTCTGGAGCCTGCAGGAAGTCAGCTTGACTCGTGTTGGCTGTCCAAGGGAACGAGCTCGGGAAGTCTCGTTGTAAACAAATGCAACGCAGTGAAAGACTTGCAATTCGATGCTGTTGTTTTCAACCGTGTTTATTTGATAATTTTTTTGTATCAATAATTTAAATGGCATTGTCTCGTTGCTGATGTCGGTATGAATAATTTGCCTACAGGCTTGAGTCACGTGAGCTTTATTAAAACCCTCTGCTGCTAGACCACCCTGATTTGATGGCTTACTGAAAATCGATAAAGAAGGTACACCACTCCGTCCTTTCGTCTCCACCATTGGCTCACCCACCTACAAACTGGCCCGATTTCTGTCTGAGACCTTGCAATCATTTACTAGTAAGACCACCTCAGCTGTACTTAACTCAGCTCACTTTATTTCTTCAATTAAGGACATCTCACTATCTCCAGGTGATTTGCTTGTCAGTTTTGAACTGGTATCTTTGTTTACCAAAGTTCCTGTGCCTGGCACCATTGCAATCATTGAAGGTTTGGTCCAACAAGGACTGAATGCTGATGTACCAGCCCTGGTTAGACACTGCCTCATCAACACTTCACCTGGAATGGAACATTATTTAAACAAGTTGAAGGTACCCAAATGGGTTCTCCCTTATCTCCAGTTGTAGCATTGTTTTCATGGAGAAATTTGAGACAGATGCCATCCAGGCATCCACCCTACGTCCTTCCTTGTGGAAGAGATACATAGATGATACGTTCGACATCTGACCACATGGCCTACCAGCTCTGGACCAATTCTTCATCCACATCAATTCCATACACCTAGCCATCAAATTCACCATGGAGGTGGAAAAGGATGGCAAGTTACCATTCTTGCATGTTTTAATCGAATAGAGACCTGATGGCTCAATGGGACACTGTCTACAGGAAAGCCACCCATACGAATGCCTACCTAAAACCTGACTCCCACTACCATCCATCCCAGAAGGATTCCCTCATCAAAACTCTATACCATAGAGCTCGTATTTCCGACCATCACCACCTAGCCAGTGAACTGGAGCACGTACACCAAGCCCTCAAGATGAATGGATATTCAGACTATAGAATCCGTAAAGCTATCACCCCAACCTTTGGGAAAGAACCATCTGAGGACCCAATCAAAACCATCACCTTGCCATACATAGCAGGGGTGACCAAAAATATTTCAACACAGTACATAAAATTCGTGATTTGATCCCATCTGTGAAGGATGTGATCCCTGACTTGCAATACCCCGGTGTCTACAAACTGAGCTGTGTGTGCGGCGGCAGTTACATTGAGGAAACTAAGCAACATGTCTCGGACCGGGTTTGTGAACATAAGGCAGATCTGAAACATGGTAGGACCAAAACCCCGGCCGTGGCTTATTGTTTTAACGCTGTGGGCACACACTAAATTGATTTTGCCAAGAGGAAGGTACTCTGAAAACCCACTGGCTATCAGCAAAGATTCGTTCATGAAGCCATCCAGATATATAAATTCAACCGAGAAGATGGGTACAAACTGAGTAATCGTTGGAAGAACGTTATTAACCAGTTAAGGTCATAACTGGCTGTGATGTTCCCTTCCTACCTGCCTATCTTAGCAGTTAGTTTCGACTCTCTGAGTTAAATTCACTAACAGCCACCGTTGTTTGCTTTCCTCGATGTGGTGGTGGCTCTTTCCGAGCTCTCTCCGATCTTACATTTACAAGCAAATTTCTTACATTGACACGCTAATCTCTCACAACACAATGGCCAATTTAAAACCAATAATTGGAAAGATGTCATCAACCAAGTCAAACTTTAGCTGCCTTATAATTGTACAGCCATTTCCATATCTTCCAGTTGGTTGTGCTCGTTTTCGATAACCACTCGCCATCGCCTCTCCGTCCCCCTAACCCCCTGCAGCATAACAAAAGGCGGCTTAACTTAGCTCCCCCCCACGGCCCTTCCTGGGCTCCTACCCCGCCCTTAACCTGTATATAATCTCGGGTATCTTAGAGCTCTCTTCACTTGATACAGCAATTTTGCTGTGACGTTTCCACCTGAAGACGAAAGCTTGTGTTGCCTCCGGAACGTCGTGATTTAATTTAGTTGTTTTCATTTATTTTATTTTACCTACATGACTTTACTGAAAAAAACAGAGTATGAATCCTTGCAGTCACGAAAGCTTCAAATCTAAAATTCTTCCACATGATATTTTAATCTTGTCTGGGCAGACAGGTTTAATAGATTTTGACTTTGGATACATTTTTACCGAGACATACATCCTTGCTAGAGGCACTGTGGCAGATTGCCTAACTCGCAGTCAGAACCTTGCGAGTTCAAATCCTGTACGGGGAGTAAAAGAGCAGATCAACCCTTCCAATGTTGTATTTGGCAATTTACACTCTGGACACCCTTGCCAATGAGATGTTCTATCTCAAGGGATTCTCCAGGTGAAATATTGTAACAAATAACATAAAATGAGTAGGACATCATGGAACTCAACAGTGATGGTCCTAAGATTAGACTAGGCCCCACAAAAGAAATGTGAAATTTCCACTATTGGATCATGATCACCAGTGGAGATGAGCACCTCACCTGAGCGTGCACGGACATGGCTAGACGTTGACTCTGTTGCCAAAAGAGATGTGTGCTGAGCCGGTGAACTTGGACTAAATACCCCGTGACCTTGTTGCCAATGCCTTCAGGGGAGGAGGAGCTTCTGGCCACAGGGGAGGAGGGAGAAGGGGCTGCTCGTGACGGTGCTCGTGCTCACCCTCACGCTGCTATGCTGCGTCGTCACCCTCGTCGTGCAGAACCAGCTGCCAGGTGGGGACAAATGTCATCACCACGGGAGTTGAGCGAGGGCTTCGGCCTGAGCATAGAGCACCTCCATGGGGAGCGAGAGGGCCTTTACAGCGATGCATGCACAATTCCAGTCTCATAGGCCGGTGCTGCATTCACAAGGTGAGCAGAAATACGCAATAAAACTGCCGTGGTACATTCCATTTTTGGGGGGCATCACTTATTCTTTCATATGTAAGTGGAAATGTAAAATCACCTGTGGTAGAGTCAAGACAGAGGAGCCGCGGACTGCCACCACACGCACGCCACAATGAGTGAACGGCTCCGTGTTTTAATCTCCCAGTCCCAGAGAAGCCCAAGAAGCCCGGTGTGTGCATGACGCGGGAGTGCGTGCACATCACCAACCGAGTGCTGAACTCCCTCGACCTCTCTGCGGACCCCTGCAACGACTTCTACTCCTACGCTTGCGGAGGCTGGATCGATATGAACCCCTTGCCCAACGGTCAAGCCTCCTCGAACCCCATGGATATCTTGGAGCGCGGGAACCTGCAGCGACTAAAGGGCGTCCTCGGTAAGTGGCGCATCTCGCAGTCGCTCCACTGACACAGATTGCATTGCAAATCGAATCCGATTTTTTTGTACATTTGGATAGGAGGCTGGGAGCGCACGCCTGTGATGTAGCTCTGCGGCGTCAGCGACAGTTGGTGGATCACACACATTCTTGAAACTCCCAAACGCACTGGGCTGTGAAACTTGCCTGGGTATGGCATTACACATCCAGGTTAATTTAATCTTTGTTCCACCTATACAGGGATCGAGTCTTGCCTCCCTTGCACGTGTGAGTTATTTCTGTGTACCCTGGTTTCCTCCCACTTTAAAACACTCATTAATGGAATTGGCCAAACATCCTGATATTGGGCCACAGAGCTTGGACAAATATTGGCACTGGTTCTGGCCACCTTCCTACTCGTCTGTGGTTTCCCACACTTCGGAATCATAACAAAAACCGCACATTACGAATTTGTGAGGCAGACGGACATGCATTTTACGGTTAATACACCCACAGAATTGGGGTGTGTGGTCATTGAAGTGTGTTTGGCATATGGGTGGAAACCAGGACACCTGGAGAAAGCTTCTACGGTATTCGCGAACTTGCTATCCGCAATTTTGGCTTTTCGCAGATTACATTTGGAACTCTATACGACTGCATAGAGAGTGTGAAAGAAAGTGATGAGATAAAGTGATGAGAGAGAATATGATGTGGGGAAGTGAGGAGAGAAAGTGATGAAAAAGAGATGAGAGAGATAACTTATCGAAGATTTAGAAGCATCTGCAGATGTTGCACGTATGATATTTGTAGGCCAGTACCGTTATCCGCAAAATGTCCTATGCACAAAGATCTCCAGAACGTATCTCTCTCTCAGGTAATACTGTAATCAAGGGGATAACACACAGATGGGATAACATGCAGACAAATTTAATAACCCGTTGCTGCACTGCCCTCTGCTGGCCATCTTGTAGCCTAAGCTTTCAACAGCTGGTCTTGGCATGCACTGTCTCATCTGAGCATTACAGTGAGGGAAAAAAGTATTTGATCCCCTGCTGATTTTGTACGCTTGCCCACTGACAAATAAATGATCAGTCTATAATTTTAATGGTAGGTTTATTTGAACAGTGAGAGACAGAATAACAACAACAAAAATCCAGAAAAACGCATGTCAAAAATGTTATAAATTGATTTGCATTTTAATGAGGGAAATTTGTATTTGACCCCCTCTCAATCAGAAAGATTTCTGGCTCCCAGGTGTCTTTATACAGAGATTAGGAGGACACTCTTAAAGGGAGTGCTCCTAATCTCAGCTTGTTACCTGTAGAAAAGACACCTGTCCACAGAAGCAATCAATCAATCAGATTCCAAACTCTCCACCATGGCCAAGACCAAAGAGCTCTCCAAGGATGTCAGGGACAAGATTGTAGACCTACACAAGGCTGGAATGGGCTACAAGACCATTGCCAAGCAGCTTGGTGAGAAAGTGACAACAGTTGGTGCGATTATTCGCAAATGGAAGAAACACAAAAGAACTGTCACTCTCCCTTGGCCTGGGGCTCCATGCAAGATCTCACCTCGTGGAGTTGCAATGATCATGAGAACGGTGAGGAATCAGCCCAGAACTACACGGGAGGATCTTGTCAATGATCTCAAGGCAGCTGGGACCATAGCCACCAAGAAAACAATTGGTAACACACTACACCGTGAAGGACTGAAATCTTGCAGCACCCGCAAGGTCCCCCTGCTCAAGAAAGCACATATACATGCCCGTCTGAAGTTTGCCAATGAACATCTGAATGATTCAGAGGACAACTGGGTGAAAGTGTTGTGGTCAGATGGGACCAAAATGGAGCTCTTTGGCATCAACTCAACTCGCCGTGTTTGGAGGAGGAATGCTACCTATGACCCCAAGAACACCATCCCCACCGTCAAACATGGAGGTGGAAACATTATGCTTTGGGGGTATTTTTCTGCTAAGGGGACAGGGCAACTTCACCGCATCAAAGGGACGATGGACGGGGCCATGTACCGTCAAATCTTGGGTGAGAACCTCATAGTTCATAGTTCATTTATTTGGTATAGCCCTGTGAGCCATTCGGCTCTTGAATCGGGTGCAACCGCAACAAACAAAAAAACATCAACAAGAAAACATCTTAAAGTGATTATGTGACTGTGCAAACAGAAAATACAGGAAAAAAATATCAAAATATTCCTGAAATAGCACCGTACACCAACGCTGTGTGCAAAAATCTCAGTGGGATGCAAGTCAAATAACAACAACAACAATAACCACAAGCCAACTAAGATTAAGGCCATCTGTCTAACTCCGTACTACAATTAACAAAAACATGGCCAAAACAAAAAAAAACGTTTTCGAAATCACCAAAGTAAAAGCCATGAATGCAATGTAACAGTGATCATAGTGACTGTGACCGAATTTTTAACAATAAACTATGTAAATAAATTATAACACCAAAATCTAGAGCAATATTTTAGGCCACTGAATAGCAGTGGCAGCTAGGGTTGTACAACTCCTCTAGAGCAGTTTTGAGTGAAGATCTCATAGGTAGTGATTCAAGTTGCAGTTTATTGTAAATAGCATTCCAGACCCTGGGGGCATCAATAGCAAAGGCCCTTCCTCCAGTTTTTGTATGGCAATAGGGAATGTGAAGCTGGTAAATGAGCGAAGACCTGAGGTCAAATTTGTTCTTTGAAACAGAGAGGAGATTCAGTAGGTAGTCTGCGGAATTTTTTGTAAGTACATCGTGAATAAATAAGATCTGGTGCACAAGCCATCGAACATTAAGAGATGTTAAGTTTGACCCAATGTAGAGATCACAGTGGTGAGTCCTATATGGGCAGTTCAATGCAAATCTTAAGGCCGAGTGATAGATGGAATCAAGCTTCTTCAGTACAGTACTTGGGGCTGATTTATACACGATGTCACAGTAGTCAAGTAGAGGCAGTATGGTAGCTTTTATCAATTCCAAACGGAACATTGGGGGGAAGCAGTGCTTGTGTCGATACAGACAACCAATTTTTATTTTTGTCTTTTTACCAATATAATCAATGTGATCTTCAAAACTAAGTTTTGAATCCAGGATGACCCCAAGATACTTATAGATCTTGACTTGCTCTATTTGATAATTATTCAAGGAATGTAATTGGGGAAAAATAACTTCCTGCTTTAATCCCAGAGAGAAGCATAGCACCTTGGTTTTGGAGGTATTCAGGACTAGTTTAAGAGAAACTAGGGTGAGAACCTCCTTCCCTCAGCCAGGGCATTGAAAATGGGTCGTGGATGGGTATTCCAGCATGACAATGACCCAAAACACACGGCCAAGGCAACAAAGGAGTGGCTCAAGAAGAAGCACAAGGTCCTGGAGCGGCCTAGCCAGTCTCCAGACCTTAATCCCATAGAAAATCTGTGGAGGGAGCTGAAGGTTCGAGTTGCCAAACGTCAGACTCGAAATCTTAATGACTTGGAGAATATCTGCAAAGAGGAGTGGGACAAAATCCCTCCTGAGATGTGTGCAAACCTGGTGGCCAACTACAAGAAACGTCTGACCTGATTGCCAACAAGGGTTTTTCCACCAAGTACTAAGTCATGTTTTGCAGAGGGGTCAAATACTTATTTCCTTCATTAAAATGCAAATCAATTTATAACATTTTTGACATGCGTTTTTCTGGATTTTGTTGTTGTTATTCTGTCTCTCACTGTTCAAATAAACCTACCATTAAAATTATTGACTGATCATTTCTTTGTCAGTGGTCAAACGTTCAAAATCAGCAGGGGATCAAATACGTTTTTCCCTCACTGTAGCCAGGTTCCTCCTGGTTGAGCTTCCTGGATCTGACGGGATGAGAGACATTTATTGTGATTTGGTCATTGAAATGTATTGCAATTAATAATTTCGGGATTTATTACTACGGATATTCTAAGAATATGTTTTTAAACATCCATGTTCCTGTAGCTTTTACTTAACTTATGCGGCACTGATGTCAGAGCTCACTAGACTCACAATGAGAAGGTCACAACTGAGTTCAACTGCATGCCAGGTGTCGGTGCGGCCCATCATCCCTCCGGGGTGGTTACATTAAATTAGTTAACTTTATCGAAGTGAGGTAGATGCAGGTAAACGTGACGAAGTTTGCCGGTGCCGTTTGTGTTGTGATTACAGAGACCAACGGAACGAAAGAGAGCCAGTCGGAGCAGAAATCGCAGCGCTTCTATCAGTCCTGCATGGATATGGACGCGATAGAGAAAGCCGGGGCCCAGCCACTAGTGGATGTCATTGAGAAGGTCCTCGCATATACATTATTATTTTATTGTTTCCCTTCAATGTGACTTTACCGAAAGAACCAAGAATATAAAGTCCTTGTACACATTGAGCATAAGCATCAATGTTAATTGATGATGCATTGTCCCACCGTTCATTTCCAGCAGTGGTGATGAGCATGGCTCCACACTGATCGGATCGTCGTGATGTTTCACCTTTGACTTTGTAATGGATCTTTGAATTTTCTGTCACTGTGCCACCTCCATGGCTTTGCGGCATTTATTATTTTTTACGCAGTTGAGCACGGGCTGAAAGGCCCAAAATGCAAAGTGGCCAGCAACAAACAGCACTATCAAAGTTGTAATAGTTCAGAGATAACATTTTTTAATTGAGCAAGGTTATAAGAACTTGGGAAACAAAACAGTGGGGGGGGGGGGGGGGGGGAGGGAATTCCAAACTGGAGCAGTGCAAGGGAAGAACTAGGAAGATAAGTGAGGTGACCTGCAGTGTGGTGAGTAAGTGGGCAAGTGAGTGTTGTGACAATCTGCAGCGTGCTGGTTGAACACAGTCTAGTGGATGAAACGAACCAGTCTTTTATGAGCTGAGTCCTCAACAGACCATCTGGGTGGGTGTGTGCGCGAGCAGCTTGGCGGCTGGAACATCTCGGGCCGGTGGAACCGCAGCATAAACCTGCAGAACGTCTTGCAGGATGTGACGAAGAACTTCACCTTGGGATGTTTGTTCGAGCTGAGTATCGACGACAACCCCGTGGACTCCCAGAGGGTCTCCTTGCAGGTGCTGACGACGCTGTCGGCCTCCTGGCACCAGCTGCCTGATGCAGATTGTGCCTCATCCTGTGGCCCGGGCACACAGCTCACAAACTATAATTTACCAATCGTGTTTATGTTGTGGTTTAAATGCAACTGCATCTCTAGACCCTGTGCAACAAGCAAGTGGGACATATGCTCACATGCACTGAGAAGGTATCAGAAGAGGTGGGCGTACCCACACTTGACCGCATCACATGCAACCCACCGAATGACAAGCTGCGGTGGTATCCATTTACACCGCTGGGTGAAGAGAAGCGGTGGGGGAGATTTAATAACCTTGCCCCATTGTTTCAACTGCTGCGCCGGGAGATGAAATCGAATCGGCAACTGCTGGACTGCGAGTCCATTGCGCTCATGATTACTCCGTGGCAGGTTACATAGTCTGTGGTTTCTGATTTGCTGCGTTTGTTCTTTCAGCTGGCTCAGCCCAATCTTGTTTTGCCATCAAGGGATTACTACTTCAACAACACCGAGGAGAACATCAAGGTCTGTTGAGCACCTAGCAGTTGGCCTGTAGCCCTAGAGGGAAGAACGGCATTTGAAAAATGTACAGAGGGATCACAGTGTTCAGATGTGAGCCATCGCTTGAGATGCTTTGGAATAGAATGAGGCAAGGACATATTGTAGAGGACGTTGTGATGGGTGGGACACGTGTGCAGGGTGGAGGAGGGCATGGTACCCAGACGTGCATTACAGTGGCACCCAGAGGTCAGCAACTAAGACGGCAATGGTGATCTCGACACTAAAGTAGTGCTCCTTTAAGGATGTGTTGACTGTAGCAAGGGGAATACTTAAAGACTGCAGATGGTAGTGGTGATGACGAGACTTTAAGAGCAGAGTCAGACCCTGGGAGTTTAGGTGCAATCGTGGAAGGAAGCGATGGTGAGATGTGGTCGTTATCGGCGGCATTGACCACAATGATGTCTTGACCTTCATCAGCAACAGAGAATGTCGCAATCCCTTTCTGTGTGATAGATCCAAGAGGCCTACCTGGAGTACATGCAGGACCTCTCCCTGCTCTTGGGTGGCGAGGAGAACGCCACGCGCCACGCAATGCGGGACGTGCTGGAGTTCGAAAAGCAGCTCGCGGTCATCTCCACACCCAACAGTGCCATGCGGGTCATGAACATCAGCGATCTGCAGGTAGCTTCCCTGATCGCGCTGCGATTGGCACGCATGGCCACTCTGCTACACCTCCGCAGAGGGTCGTGGCCTGAAGGCCTTGCAGATCTGCAGTGATCATTGGAGAACCCAGTTCTAGGTGGTCTATTGATCACTCGTGATGCTTTTCAATGGTACAAAATCATGGGAAATTTGGCGTCATGCAGATCCACATTAATAATATATTTTTTTATGATTCGGCCAAGTGGCTCAGCGGTGGCGCGAGTAGCTTACAATTGAAAGGTTCCGAGTTCAAATTGTGGTTTGGGGTGGACCTAACCCATCTGGAGTCAATAAAATGATAACCCATTCTGTGGGGAAGGCAACCTCCGATTAGGACGTTTGGCTACCTACGGTGCGAGAGAAGTTCAACATACATACAACAGTGGTTGTCCTATGCATAGACTCGCCTCCCCACCATAGGAATATGGAATTTCCACCACTGGCTCAGGGCTGTAAACAGGAGATGAGCACCATCTGAATATTTATTTCAGCAGGAAATGTATTTGACTTCTAAGTAATATTCTCACGCATGTTACTACCAATAGTATGATGAATGCCTGGCATAAAGCTGTCAATTACCTATCATTTGATATTAAAATTATTCTTGAATCAAACTATTCCATCTTGTTTGGCACATTAAAAAAGTGTAATATTACTATTAAATACTTGAAATTACTGTATCGAATTACACGAGCACAATTTTTGTTCCTGGGTAGTAAGTATTATTTCGTAATTGCTAATGCCTAAAAAGTATAGAAAATGGCTATTATTCCCCACAAGCTTTGCTTTTGTGACCAGTACAGTGATATTTTGAAATTTGCCTATTTTAAATGAGAAAAAGGTTGAATGTGTTTTTTCGTTCACATAAAGTCTGCAAAAAAAACAATATATGAATAAAAATGTACATGTATTTATACTAAAGTAATACAAAAATGACTAGGAGTGAGTAGTTTTTCGAGATTTACGATTATCCTGTAAATCACTTTCATGAATTAGCTCCCAAATCTCGTCTCCCATCATGTTCTCGTTATACTGTCCTTGGTAGCGGCATTCAAAGTCCATTATATCATGGTGGAAGCGCTCGCCTTGCCCCTCCGAGTATGCTCCCATGTTCTCCTTGAATTTATCAAGATGAGCATCAAGGATATGGAATTTGAGGGACATCCTACAGCCCATTGTGCCGTAGTTCTTCACCACTCTCATCATTCAGCTCCACGTAGTTTTCGACCTTGTGATTGCCCAGGAAGCCACGAACCACTGCAACAAAGCTTTCCCCAAGCCGCTTTCTCCTTACGTGAGCTTCTTGGGGAATTCGTTGCACTCCAGGATCTTCTTTATCTGTGGTCCGACAAAGACACCGGCTTTGACCTTTGCCTCAGACAGCTTAGGAAAGAAGTCTTGAAGGTACTTGAAGGCTGCCGACTCCTTATCTACAGCTCTGACAAATTGTTTCATAAGGCCCAATTTGATGTGCAATGGTGGCATCATCACCTTCCAGGGGTCCACCAGTAGCTCCCACTTGACATTGTTCCTCCCCACAGAGAACTCGGTCCACTGTGGCCAGTCCCGCCTGTGGTAGTGCGCCTTGGTGTCCCTGCTGTCCCAAAGGCAAAGATAGCAGGGAAACTTGGTAAAACCGCCTCGGAGACCCATCAAGAATGCCACCATTTTGAAGTCTCCGATGACCTCCCAGCCATACTCATCATACTTCCAGGCGTCCAGCAAGGTCTTGATGCTGTTGTAATCCTCTTTGAGGTGGACCGAGTGAGCCAGGGGAAGAGATGGGTACTTGTTACCATTATGAAGCAGCATGGCTTTGAGGCTTCTGGATGAGCTGTCAATGAAGAGACGCCACTCATTCTGGTTACAGGCGATTCCGATTGCCTCGAACAGACTGGTCACAATGTGGCAGAAGCAGAGCCCATCTTGACGGGTGTAGAAGCTGCAAAAAGGTTGGTGACGCTTCCTCTGATCTGCGACTTGCACACTTTCATCCAACAAGTTCCACTACTTGAGCCTCGACGTCAAAAGCTCGGCATTGGACTTGGTGAGACCAAGATCTCTAATCAAGTCGTTGAGGTCTTTTTGGTTGGGGGAGTATGGGTTTCTCTCCTCTGCTCCACCTCTGAAATTGTCATCTGGATCTACAATGTCTTCCTCGCTCTCTGAGTTGCTGCTCTCTCTCTGGAGGAGTGGGTACGGGGAGCTCATGGCAGTGTGACACCGAGGCGATGGATGAAGGAAGGTCCGGATACGTAATAGCAGGTGCATTCTTGCCAGTCCGACGTTTGGAAGGGTCCACCATGCAGAAGCAGCAGTTGCTTGAGTTGTCAGTGGGTTCCCGTCAAATTCTTGGGATAGTGAACTTCATGGCTCTCTTTTCCCCTCTGTACCATCCTACAAAAATACATTTATTTCACCCATGACTAATGTGTAAGAGATTCCACAGAGTACTTTTTCGCTGTTGTCTTGATAGCAAAATGCATCTGACAGATGCTTGCAGCCTCTTGATGCCATCTCAGAAAAATGCAGATATGTATCCACTTAGGCAGCTGGAACTAAACTGAACTGGTGGGCTCAAGGCCCCTGTATTTATACTAATATTTATATTACTCGAAAGTTCTAGAATGTTCTAGAAGTTACTCCAAGTTCACTCAGCACTGAATCTATCTGGAATGTTCTGGAAAATAGGTACATTTCCAAATATCACTGTCCTGGTCACAAAAGCAAAGTTTGTGGGGAATAATAGGCATTTTCTGTACTTTTGAGGCATAAGCAATTAGGAAATAACACTTGCTACCCAAGAACAAAAATTGCGTTAGTGTAATTCGATACAGTAATTGCTACACAGTGTTATTAATAGAAGTTAAGTTTCCAACTGCACCACTATTTGAACTACATTAATTCACTTTAGGCATAGGCTTTCACGACCAATATCATCCATAATATAGAAGTTTTTGGGTTATATCACGTAAATATAAATGTGTCGTTAAACTCGCCACCACCCGACACAGCCAACTAGTAAGGTTTGTCACGTAAACAGAACATGCCAATTCGTTACTAGTACAGCACACCGGTGTGCTGGAGAGCAAATCCATAACATTTACAATCTGAGTACACCCATTCATCACTTTCTTGTGCGTCACATTGGGTGTTGTTTAGGATCCAATGTTTACATTTTCCGCTGCCTGTGTGCGTTTCTTTTGGTGCAGAACCTGTCGCCCTTCATCGACTGGTTGGCCTACCTGAAGGTCGTTTTCTACCCGTTCATGATGGAACCATCGGACACCATTGTCGTGTTTTCTGAGAACTACTTTCAAAAGATCACAGCTCTCTGCAAACGCACGCCGCTCGAGTAGGCAGCTACACCCAACACTGCTCATTATTTTCACTTACTATTAATATTACAACAACATTTTGTGTATTTAGTTGTAAACTCAGTGGTTGAGTACAGGTCTAAAGATCCAAAACCTCAATTGATAATTGTTCATAGCGTGCTGCCGGCCATGTTACGTGTTCAGCCTTTGGGCCAAGGCTGAGCAATTGTGTAAAAAAATGTCTAACAACAAACAATGAAATTGTAACAGAAAGGGTCTTCACTTTTTTCAATTGAGCAAGGTTGTTATACGAGCTTGGGGAATAGAGACAATGGGAAGGTATTTTAAAGTGGAGTAATATGAGGGAAGAAGCAGAAAGAGAATCATTGTGACCTGCAGTGTGGTAATTGAGTGAGTGAGTTGTTGTGACCTGCAGTGTGGTGGATGAAAACAGAATGGATGACATGAAACAGTCAGTCTGGTAGACCATCGAATCCGACAGGCTGCTCTGGTTATCCAGCGGGTGTTCTGACCATAAAATACATGCCGTTCGCTTCACCGTGAATCTTACAGATACCATTCGGTTATAAAAAAGTTGGTCACTGTGTACTGGTGTCGTGATCCAAATTTCTAAATTACCCACAGATATCTCAGGATTGTGTAGAGAAATCATCACTCCCGACTGGCAAGCTAATGCCCACATGCATATCAGTGCTGTGTCACCGGGTACCACAGAGGGATAGCTGCCACTGGGGGTGCCCTTCGAATGTTTGAGATGAGAAGTGATGTCAGGTGCTTTGAGTTGCTGAGGCATTTAAGCAAAGGTATATTAATGCAAAGGTATTATAGATTATTTCTCAGTCGTTGAGCCAAGGGTATGGAGTGTGGACTCGGCTATCCTCTCTCTGCCTTGACCAGGGTGCTCAACAACTACGTGGTGTGGCGCGTCGTGCAGAAGCTGATTCCAAGTCTAGGCAACCAATTCGAGACTGTAAGGAACAAGCTAAAGGATGTCATCTTTGGAACAGAGAAGGTAGGCCGAGTTAAAGAGTCCTGCAAGGATCTTACTTTTTGATGGTTATCATTAATATACTTATCTTCGCCACAAATCGGCTGAAGCGCATGGAGCGATGTCACGCGGGTCATGTTGCATGGGGTTGTCTTCCTGGCAGCTGATTGGCTGGTGCAGTGGGATTAATGACGTCATTCCTAGCAATCACTGCCATACCCCCATCATATCATTCGGACACCCATACGACCTTTGAATTTGGATTGGTTTTCCATTATAACATTTCAGATATTTCTACACTTGCAGCATTCATGACTTAAGACAAATATTGCAATCAGTTTCTGTGCTCTAGACCCCTGGGCCTTGTGTCCAGGGCTGTCTCACAAGTATAAGGTGTGTATTTACATAATTAAAGCTCTTTCATCTTGTGTTGCAACTTTTACTTGCTTCGTTTGCTTTTCTAGGGTGGATTTGTCCCTCGGTGGCAGAAGTGCGTTTTAGAGACGGACAGAGTCATCGGCATGGGCCTTGGAGCCCTGTATGTGAAGCGCTACTTTGACGTGCATCAAACGATACAGGTGAGAGCGTGGTGTGTCTGGTAGGACCAATCACTAAGAGATGGAATTAAAAAAAATGTTTCGATGAATAGAGAAATATCTGGACACGGTAGTGAAATAACAGTGATAAAGAGGTGACTGACTACTCGTGACAAAGTGACTGGAGTGAATTGGTGATTGTTGAAGCAACCCGACTGCTTTACATTGAGGTTTATCGAACCGCGTGGCGTCTGCGTGAGAACAGGTGGAAAAAATGATTGAATCCACGCGATTGGCGTTCAACAAGAACCTGGATACCCTGAGCTGGATGGACAATGTCACCAGGAGTGCAGCTTTGGAGAAGGTGAGGCGATGCGATTCATGAACGACTTGTACACGACGTTTGTTTCACTCATCGTTATCTTGACCCCGACTGTAGGGTCACAGAACTGTATGTGTTGTGATAAACGCACCGAGTCAACTACTCTTGCAGCCAGGAGAAGTGGGTGGCAGCGGCACAGTGAAAACACTCGTCCCTCACAGCAAGAAGTCCCTGGGTTCGATTCTCAACTTGGGCGCCTTGCTGGGTAGTTACTGCTGAAGAGCAATTGCATAATACTGCCGTATATGGCCCCACATGCGTCCCTTGTGGATGATGGGATGCTAGGGGGTGTGCTTCATGCCAGGCTGTCTCCAAGCGACTGGATCGGGATACACACGGCAATCACCAACCCCTGCTGACGAATGGGCACTCACAGCCCGGTGCTGGGCCACCTTGTGCTGCACTGGCACAGCTGTCACTGGGACATTTTGTTTTGTTATGGGAGTGATATACATGCAAATAATAATTGTGAATATATTATTCCTTGCTTTGCATTGTTTTGTACCTTTATTTTCTCTGCAGTCCAACTCCATGAGAGATAAAGTCGGATATTCACATCCTTTGCTGGACGATGCTGCGAAATTGGACAGCATATACATCAAGGTGCAGTTGATATGCGCACTGCCGTGGAGGAGATGCCACAATCGGAAATTGATTTAAAAGTCGAGTCACAGTGCTTCTTTGCTCCAACCCACATGAGGCAATCCTCATCTACGTTGGCGGCCCTGAGCCAGCAGTGGAAATGTCACGTTCCTGTCCATATGATGCTATTGACGTCCCACAAAGTGGTACCAATTTTACTGATCCCAGAGGGATGATGGGCCAAGTCAATGACTGATAACGCTGCCAGGAGGCTCAGTGGTGGAGCATGTGGCTCAGAGTCAGAAGGTTGTGAGTTTAAATCCTGGTTGGGGATTGACTCGCCCCATCATCTCACTGGGGTCGATACAATAACTATCACTCAGTGCGAAAGTCAACAGTGGTTGCCCTATGGATAGACTCACCACTGCCATATGAATGTGGAATTTCCACCATTGGCTCAGGGCTGTAAACAGATGAGCACCGTTTGAGCAGCACAACTTGAGCTGGCGAAGCCTGCGGGAGAAGCAGTCGCTCAGTGTGACCTCAGCACGTTTACGGATCGACATCACAAATACGCGGCGCTCGAGTAGGTGTGAGTGCTCTCCGTCATTTTATTGTGGAATTTCCGCAATGATTTGAGGCCTCCAAAGGAGATGGTGGCACTGCCCATTGCTTGTTTGAACTGGGAGGCACCGTGGCTTGGACTATCATCAAAGTATCATTTTATATAGATTTCGTGTTTTAAGAATTATTGTTGATAAAAATTTTCCATATTTTTTGGTCAAATTGATGTAGAATCGTTATTTTAATGCCACGCATATGTTTCATTATCTTTACGTTATACTTTTATGTTTTATTTGTATATATCCAACTGGCTTTGATCCTTAATCGAACTTTTATCCCATCGCTGGTTCATAGAATAAGAATGGTTATTTATTCTGGAGGAATCCATGCATCTAAAGGGTCTTGATGCATCAAAATAGTTTTTTCTATTGCAATTGTTGTTGCTACTGTTGCTATTGTTGGAGGTTCTACATTGGGAACTGTGTTTTGAATTGTAGGTGCAAGGGTGACATTCATGAATACCCATCCCTACCTGTAATCATCCTGGGTCGCCATCTCCTGATGGCAGTACAACAAGTGGGTTCATTCCCATCTGTACGGGGATCGAGATGTTAGTATCCCCCTCATACGCGTGAGTTTTCTTCGGAAACTCTGGTTTCTTCCCACAAGTATAAACACTTCTTCATGCCTTTTGGCGTCATCTGGTCGAGCACCAATTAGGTCGAGGCTCAAAAGAAAACCTTCCCTTGGTGTGGACCAATCAGTTTCAAGGACAATGCATATATTATCATAGTATGGTTTTTTTTTGCATTTTGACTGCAGGTATTGTGGTTAATGCAGATATGAATCTTCGTAAAAAGGTTTCAGTTTTGTTTCCAGAAAAAAAGGGGAAAAACCCTATTATTACTTCTTCATGGAGTTGACCAAACAACCCAATAGAGAACATTTGGAAATTGTTGGCACCAGTTCGAGCTGCCTTCCCACCGCTGTCTGCAGTTTTCCGCACCTCCGTGCAAAAACTGCGTGCGTAACAAATTCACCGGCACTTTGAAAAGCATCTTGCATGAATGACGCTGCACACGAATCAACCATGAATATTTAACCCAGGGCCTCCGAATCGATACGCCCACCACAAGGTTTTTCAGTGTTAATTCCTTGTGTTTTGCAGCTGAACCTTGTGAATGGCAGCTATTTCCAGAACGTGCTGAGCAGCTACCTGTTCGATGTGGAGGGATGGAGGGACTTGCTTCGTTATGGCCGCAGCACCGACACGTGCGTCTGTATTTCCACACGGCACCCTTTGCCAGGCTGTGATCGGCACACGCCCCCATTAGATGGCATTGCATGGTCCTCAACTGTCTTACAATTGAAAACACACACCTGTAGTGGTGGCGCGCTCGCCGCTTACAGAAAAAATTCACGGTTTAAATCCGGCAGACTCCCCTGGCTAACATTGCGGGTGTATGAACCATAAAATACTGCGCGGCGTCTGCTACACGGTGGGTGGTAAGTCCCTGTGAGGTTGTTCCAAAAGAGCAAGCCATTACTGCAGGGACCGTGGTTCGAATTTGGAAAGTTACGGTGCAAATTACTCATTTGGGATAAACATAGCAACATTGCCCTCTTTGTGACAGCCTTGCACTGTACGACTGGTGCACATACCAAATGTGCTACATTATTACTGTATTGTTAATAGAGATTTGTTTTATATTGTATTGTCAATTACGATAGGGTTGTGGTTAATCCATGCTTGTGCCCATTGGTTCTGCACATACAGCACAACATGTGGATAATCTAGATAATTATTAAATTAAAATCGTCTCTTCAAACAACCATTGGGTGAACATTTCTGTAGGTGGCCTTGAGACAGTGGTGGAAATTCAACATTTTCCTTGTTGGGGCAAATCTGGGCCAAACTGTTGCATGCCGTAATTATTTAGCAGCCTTACTGTTACCGGTTGTTCCTGGCCCTATGATACCCGTAATAGAAATGTGGAATTTACACCAATGGATCAGGAATGAGCCCTGTGCCCTGTTGACTTCTGACCCTCCTGTCCATTGCAGCTGGCGCGTCACGCCGCCGACTGTCAATGCGTACTACACGCCTACAGAGAACAGCATGGTGTTTCCCGCAGGAATTCTGCAAGAGCCCTTCTACGACAAGGCTGCTCCCATGTGCGTGTGACTATTGATCAGGACACCTCCTAGGCGGGTTTCCCACCTAGGGGGCGTCAAGGTGCCATACTCTGGCTCGCTATGACAGGCGGGACAGCAAGTATGGACTAATCTCCATATGTTCCACCTGAGTGGGATTGACTGTTGCCCCCTTCCACGAGTGCTTTTTCCTTATGTGCTCAAGTTTCCTCCCACATTTATAAATACAAATTATTTGGCTCAAACCATCTTCATATATAGAGGACCACAGAGCTTGGGCAGCTGTTGGTGCCGGCTCACTGCGTGGCTGCTGCCTTTCACTTGTCTATGGTTCCTCCTAGCACCTCTGAGTCATCCTGCCTATTGGAGAGCGACCAAATACTGCATGGCAGTGGCACGTTACAAGTTGACATTATTATAATCAACAAAAAAAAGTCCCCTTTTGACAGCCTCATCACTCTCTACTCCACTCGTGTGCGTACAGGTTCATCAATTACGGAAGCATCGGCACAGTGATTGGACATGAGCTCACACACGCCTTTGATGATAAAGGTATTTTTCACCACCATCACAAGAATAGCACCGTTAATGTACTGTGCATGAGAGTTGAATGTATTGTACGTGGCAGTTTTCTCAGCTGCTTGTAATCCATGTGCGATTTTTTAAGTTGGGCAGCGCATTGGTGTCCTCTCTCGCCACACATTACTTACTTTGGGCACCTTCAGGAGTCAATGATGCCTACGTCTGAAGATGCCCGCAGCAGGAGTGTGCGGTAAAAGCTCGAGAGAAGAAATATCCAACGGGTAGCCCAACTCAGGACACTGCACGTGAATGCAATTAAAAAAGATATATTCATAGTTCTGCAAATGCAAACTATGTGAGCACCAAATAGAAACACCAATGATTGCGAAGAGGAAAAAGTATGGCTTCGTGCCTGTGTCCAGTTGAAAAAATACACGAGCAAGGGGAGAGGGTTGCAGGGTTAGAGGTCGTGGTTTTTAATTTATTTTGCAGCCATTGCCGGCAGGAATGCCGCAACGCGTCGACTCGGCCATAAGTATTGCATCTAGACAATTCAAGTTATTTGTATACGTTGTGCGTAATGAGTTGTTCCCCTCCAGCCACTGGAGGCTGCTAGCCTGAATCATTACTCCCCTACACATCCCTTATTGCCAGCCCAACAAACGATTTCGTTGTTGCACACGGCAGGCAGCCGCTACAACTACAATGGCAACCTGAAAGAGTGGTGGGAGGCCGGCACGCGGAAGCAGTTTGAGGAGAAGGCCGGCTGCATGGAGCAGCAGTACGGGGCCTACGAGGAGCAGGGGCGGCACGTGAACGGGCACCGCACCCTCGGGGAGAACATCGCCGACAATGGAGGCTTGCACGTCGCCTTCCAGGTGCGTCCCGTCCTCGTCTGCCCGCGCGGAGCCCACGCTCTCTCACGGCATAGCATATTTCGTGGCCCCCTATCAGGAATTCGCTGGGGTAGAGCACTACCCATGATCGTAACATTCCGAATTCCCAACCCGAGGCCTACTCATCACGCCATCTTTCCTTGGTCTTAAAAGTAGATACCACTTTGTGGGAAGAATACAGAGGAGAGACTCAGAATAAGAGTCAGTGATTTCCTGCTTATGTAAGCATTGAGGCAGTGCTTATTTCCTGTTTATAGACCTGAGCCAGTTGTGGAAATTCCACATACCTATGGCAGGGACTAGTCTTTAATTAAGACAACCAATTAACTGCCCCACAAATTGGAACTCATTATCGACCCTATCGGGAGAGATGATAGAGAGGGACATCCACATCGTGTGGCAAGTCGGCCTCAATAGATGCTCTCTAACAGCACTTGCCCCAGCAGTCTGTTTAGACTACAGTGGGGGGGGGGTCTTTGTCTCTGTGTCGCTGCAGGCCTACGAGCAGTGGGTCGAGACCAATGGGAAGGAACAGTCGCTGCCGGCCATGAACCTGACCAACCAGCAGCTGTTCTTCATTGCCTTCGCCCAGGTACCCCTTGGGAGCCAGCGAGCCCAAGCCAGATACTCCACTCGTCGGTACCGCCTGAGATGGCGTCACTTTGGTGGTTCGAACTTCTTTGTGATTTGTTTGTGGCGGCCACTCACACAGGATGTGTGTGCTGCCACCTGGTGGGAGGAACCCAAAAGTATTCAGACAAAAACCCAGCGTACGATGGGTTAACACTTGCACAGATCGATTCAAGAGTCCACACTGTACTGCCATCTCCTAGCTACCCAATAGGCCAGGCCTGCGACATCTGATAATCCCAGTCTCTCATGCAAGTGCCAAGCAAGCAAGAAAGTTCAACCCTGCTTAACTCCTGAGTGCTTTTTCTTACACAGCTGCTGAGCACAGACCCTGAGGCCCAAAACGTCAAGCAGCCAGCAACAAACAGGACTAGGAAATATGTCATAGATAAGTCATAAGGTTTCGTGAATAGAGCAAAGTTCGATAAGAGCTTGGGAAAAGAGATGGTGGGAGGGAGATGTGATGAGATTGGGCGCGAGATTGGGCGCATTTCGGGTCGTTCTGCTTTGTCGTGCCGCCATTCGCAGACGTGGTGCTCGGTGCAGACCCCCCAGGCGCTGGAGGAGAGCTTCGTGACGGACAACCACAGCCCCCCGCGACTGCGCATCAAGGGGGCGCTCTCCAACTCAGCCGAGTTCGCCCGGCACTTCGGCTGCAAACTGGGCTCGGCCATGAACCCCGAGAAAAAGTGCCAGATCTGGTGACGCGGCCCGGCCACCCGGCGCTCTCGGACGCGACAAAAGCGCCGATCATGGAGCCAGGGATCTGTGGGAAGCGCAGTGGGGTTGGCGCTGCGGTTGGGTGCGGGGGAGAGGGGTGGAAGAGTTTTTGAAACAACCAAACGAAACCAGCAACACGATTGGTTGAAGCGCCCCTTCCCCACCCTCTCCCAGTTTTACACAATCACATGGGTTTGCTGGAATTTGCATCGGCGCTTTGAGAGTTGCTACTTAATCTATACAGCTTTGTTCTTTTGGTCCCCAGGTCTTGCGCACACACACACACATTTTAAAATATCTGACAATTTAACACTCTCTAAGGGATGTATTATTGCTATGGTTGCTTCTAAAATGCGATTCCACATTGAGGTTGGGTTACTTTTTAAAATAAGACTTCGCTTTGTGCAAATGTTTTGTCCGTTTTTGCTGTCACCATTTAAAGTGAACGTTTGATGACGGGAAGGGGGCCCAGCACCAGATTAGATGGCGTAGCGGCTTGGCCAGGGTCCAAATCAAATCAGCTGTTCTCAACCGGTGGGGCACCCCTCAGCCTTTTGGGAGGGCGGGGGGGGGGGAAGAGTGGCGCTAGGCTGTGGCCTGGTTAACGTCCAGGAATCGTTTGAAATTCGCATCGAGAACGGCAACACAACGTGCGCGCACGTCGCTTCTTCCACAAACCTGGGAGGCCCCGTGATGTTCTGCTGAAGGCCAAGCCGCATATGTCACACGTGTGCAGATCACACAGTGATGTGCACACTCGCATGCGAGTGGAGGGCAGGGGACAAGTAGTCTTGATAGGGGATCGCCATTCAAGAACGTCTGAGAACCACTGCTGTCAATAGACATGGCGTGTCTAAACTGCTAGTTGCGGAATACACTCGTCAGTAGGTGGCAATCAACCACCAGTACGCGCAGCTTCACGACGTGTAATACACCATCAACTCACAGCCTCTTTGCTGAGCCGTCTCCTGTACAATGCCTTCACTTATCTGTTGCAGGTTCATATCTTTTGCAAAGAAAAAATAATAGATCACGACGTTTCGATTGCCACACAAGCAATCGTTCTCAGGTGCGAGTCGCTCACTTCACCGCCGAGCTTCCTGTGCAGTGTTAGTTGCACGTCGAGATATGAAATGCATTTACGTGGCCTCTGCACACTTTTGCAAAACGTTGCGACTCAAAGTGTTTGGGTGCTTGGCTCCTTGCAGTGGCCTCAGGGGTTACCTGTGTTTAATTCTGGTTAAGAAACCTCACTCTGTGAGATGAAAAGATTATCAGAATGTGAGTTGATGCACTAATGCTGCTGCAATGTTACGATGAGGGGACATTTTTAATGTATGGTGCATGACGTAAAATAATATGCTTGTGCAGAACTGATTTGGGCCGGTTTTTGTTAATTTCTGTACATTACAATGCACTGTATAATCCCATTACATTGACATTGACCAATAGAGGTAGTCGCATTGCCAACCACTTCTCTGAGTCATGTGATCTCACTGAATTTAGCCGTGATCTCGGGGAACATTTGGGAACATGTAACATCATGAGCTCCTTGATTATACGTTTTAAACATTTTATTTCCAACGGCGTGCTAGGAGAATGGATCTCTGGGGCTTCATCTTATTGAGGGATTTCCAGATAATAAAAATGCCTTTTCGTGCTTTTGTAGCGCTCTCCGACTTGAGTCCGTCCTCGGGATTGTTTTGTTTGATGATTGCTACTGCTACTACTCCTGTACAGAAAACAGGTCCCTGCAGGGTGGGCTGGTAGGACAAGTCTCTGCGCTGTCTTGCTGATTTTACACCCAACAGCACGAGATTTCACTTCGTTAAAGTATTGAAAGGGGACGGACGGACGGACACATTAATCTATTGCAGGCTGGTACACTCAGTTTACAACTTCATTCGTACCAGTATAAACTTAGCAATGCACCCCGACTACGATTGGACTATTGTGATGCTATTTACAGACTTGGTGTAGGCTCAGCGCTAAACAAGAACTGCTTCCATTGTCCAACTCCCCCACTCCACTTGGCCCTCGATGCCCCCTACAGAACCCATCAATGTAAACTTTATTTAAACTCTAATCAGCTCCCCTTGATCTACACAGGAAACGACATTGAGCCATCTTCATCAAAAGTTACAAAAAAAAGTCAGCTACATATCCTCTTACTAGATAATTTAACTTCCCAGACAAATTCCCGTATCCTTAGAAGCTCCTCCCTTTCGTGTGGCGGTTGTCTCTAGAAATACCGAGCGAAAACGTTTGGGATTAAAAGCTCACCATCATCGTTCTATTTAAATCACTTTTGAGGCTCTTTCAAGTATCTGTGCAATTGCTATGCTATGCAAGGATTTAAGTTATGGTTGTTTTTGTATGTGATGTGTTATATTAGCTTTGTATTTAGGGGCCGTCCATAAATGACGTCACGCGATTTTGGCCGATTTTTGCCCCCCCCCCCCTCGTCACACGGCGCCACAAAAAGTCAGACCCCCCCTCCAATATGACGTCATAAAGCTCTGCCCCCCCCCCTCAAAACCATATTAACATTTTTGAAATAAAACATGCTTCAAATCACTTTAAACTTGTCATTGTAGTGCGTATTTAATGTGGCGCTGCACTCTAATGTTGTATGAGAAACACGTATTAAAAAGGCGTTGGAAAGCTGAAATTTAGCATAAAATTCACTTGAAAATATTCAACGTCTAACTAAAACTGCAGATGTTCAGAATATATTGAAATTCTCTCATAATTATAAAAAATTAAAAGTAATTTTAAAAAATACTTGAAACTTTGTAGTAGAACGAAGCAAAATGGAGTAGAATTATAACAATCACATTAATTCCACAGAATGAAAAGCCCTGATAGAATCATTAACGTAAAAATGTTTATATTCTTGGTTTTTTCGGTAAAGTCACGTAGAAGGGAAACAATAAAATAAAAAAAATGCTTAATAATATATTTTTTTACAAAATGTATGCTTCTCCATTCTATCCATGGAGAAGCAAAATGCTCCTTCATGGAATAAATAAAAGGTGACCTTAGTAAATTTAAATAATCAAATAGTTAATAATGAAAATTTATCAAAATTAGTGTTATAATAATTGTATTTTGATTTAAAGCTTTCGTGACTGCAGGGATTCATATTCTTGGTTCTTTCGGTAAAGTCACGTAGAAGGGAAACAAAATAATAAAGATATAAAACATTAAAATTCTCACGACGTTTCGACTGTAACACAAGCAATCATCATCAGGCGTGATGACTTCACAATCAATCATCAGGTATGATGATTGCTTGTGTTGAAGTCGAAACGTGAGAATTTTAATGTTTTATATTTTTATTCTTTTATTGTTTCCCTTCTACGTGACTTTACCGAAAGAACCAAGAATAACAATTATATTGTTTATATGTATTTAAAGTTGCGCATTTTGATGTGACGTCACATTTCTCAACCCCCCCCCCCCTCGTCACAAATGTCTGACTCCCCCCCCCCCCCAGGTGTGTGACGTCATTTATGGACGGCCCCTTAGTGTGTACCATGTTGATGGGTGACCTGTTGGGAACTTGACTACGTAGTTTTTGGATTTTTTGTTTAAATGTGTTTTTTTCTGTAATCACCTTTCTGTATCCAGGTTCCCATCGAAAATGAGCTTTGATTGCCCAATGGGTTTTACCTGTGCCGAAATGAAACAACCTAAACTCCCTATGACATCAGAAACACAGACAAAATGGAAAACTGAAAATTTCGTTGGTTGCAACGGCAAGTTTATGGGTTGGAGTTGCACTGAGACAGAAAGAGGAACACATGGATTAGAAAACACAAGCACGTTATGACGTCGTCCATACTGGAGAGAAGAGTGAACAACGTGCACGACATCCAACAGCTCTCGCACGGCTATTGCAGTTGGCACGACGTCACCGCCGCATTTGTGATCACGTGACGCCTCTACCTGCGCTCAGTGCCACGCGGTGACGCATCCGCATGCCGTCATCTCTCGCGGCATCCGCGCAGTGACGCCACAATTCCCGCATGATGTCATTGTCCTGCAACCAAAACGATGCCGTCATCGCTCCCCGACCTCACCTCCCGCGATGGCCGCCCGTGCGTAGTGACGATGACGATGCTGCTGCTGCGAACAAACTGAGGGCACCCCACTAGGCTCCCCCCTATCGCCGGTTGTAGCCAACGTTTTCATGGAAAAATTTGAGACTGACGCAATCCAGACTGCCACTCTACGCCCGACCTTATGGAAGAGGTACGTGGATGATACTTTTGTCATCTGGCCACATGGCCGGCCTGCTGTAGACCAATTCCTCGACCACTTCAATTCCATACACCCAGCCATCAGATTTACCATGGAAGTCGAAAAAGATGGCAAGCTACCCTTTTTGGATGTCCTAATTAAAAGGAGACCGCATGGTTCAATGAGCCACTCTGTCTACAGGAAAGCTACCCATACGGATGTTTACTTAAAACCGGATTCCCACCACCATCCATCCCAGAAGAATTCCCTCATCAAGACTCTATACCATAGAGCCCAATGCATTTCCGACCAGGAACACATTGCTAGTGAACTCAAGCACGTACACCAAGCTCTCAAGGCTAATGGTTACTCCGACTACACAATCCGCAAAGCCATAACTACAACCATGAAGAAGGATCCTCTTGAGCCATTCAAAACCATCATCTTACCCTACATTGCGGGAGTCACAAAAAAGATCTCCAAAATCCTGAATAAACACAAGATCCAGGTCCGATTCAACACAGTACATAAAATCCGTGATCTGGTTCCGTCTGTAAAAGATGTGATTCCGGACATACAGTACCTGGGCGTCTATAAACTAAGTTGCCTCTGTGGTAGCAGCTACATTGGAGAAACCAAACGACATATCTCGGACCGCATCCGTGAACATAAAGCAGACTTGAAACACGGTAGGACGAATACCTCTGCCGTGGCAGATCACTGTTATAATTCAGTGGGCTCACATGACATTGACTTCTCCAAGACGGAGGTTCTCTGCAAGCCACCTAGCTACCATGAGAGATTTGTTCATGAGGCTATCCACATATACAAACACAGAGACAATTTCAACCGAGAAGTTGGATTCCGGCTTAGTAACCATTGGGAAGGAGTTATAAACCATTTCGGTTCTTGATTGATTGTATTTTACGGTGACTTTTAGACCACAGTTCATTCGCTGGCACTGCCTCTTAGTATCTTTCACACGATGGTCAATAGTATAGTTTATGGCATTTTTAATAATTATAAATAGTATTAGAGTGTAATGTTTAACATAATTCATAAGGCAATATATAGTACCGTAATTGTATAGTGAATATACAGCAGTGTGGTATACAATAGGGTTAGAATAATACATAATGTAATACAAGTCTAATATTTTATAGTCTAAAGTATAGGGTAGTGTATAGTAACGCATTGTATAATTCAAGGGTGGGGTTTGTCTATGGATATGATATACAATGTAGTTTAGATTGGAAGGTATAATGTTGTAATGTATAGTAGTCTAGTTTATAGTATAGTTATAACGCAACACAGGACAGCAGCGCAACGTGGCCGTTTCTACCTCTTCCCCCCCCTCCTCCATTCCGAACATAGATGGACTCCTCCGTCTGAACAAAGCTCGTCGCTCTCCGTGGTGTTAATCCCTCATACTAACATGCTAATCCCCCAGTTACATGCTAATTTAATGTTGATATGTAAACTCCTCTCCCCCCTCCTCTGTTCCGTACATAGATGGACTCATCCGTCTGAACAAAGCTCGTTGCTCTCCGTGGTGCTAATCCCTCACACCAACATCATGCTAATCCCCCAGTTACATGCTAATTTATATGTTAACTCCTTTTGTCAAGGCGCTCTGTTCCTCCCACACAGCTTAAAAGACGGTTCCAAGCTTGGCAGGGTTCACTCAAGCGCTGTCTTCCAGACAGTCCTGTTTCTTCACCTGAGGAAGGCTACTTGTGTTGTGGCCGAAACATCATGAGAATTTTATTCTGTTATTATTTTATCTCCATTCTACGTGACTTTACCGAAATAAACCAGAAGATGAATCTCCCCCTCAGCTTGCGGAACAATTCGCTCGGTTCGGTTGTCAACGCTGTTGCCCTCGAAGATAAAACAACACCACAAATGGACGTTTCGGGAAATGGCCTTTTGCCCAGTGTAAGGGGCCGTCCATAAATGACGTCACGCGATTTTGGCAGATTTTGACCCCCCCCCCCTCGTCACACAGCGTCACAAAAAGTCAGACCCCCCCTCAAATATGACGTCACAAAGCTCTCTCCCCCCCCAAAAAACCATATTAACGTTTTGAAAATGAAACATGCTTCAAATCGCTGCACTGTGATGTTGTAGGATAAAACACATTAAAAAGGAGTCGTTAGAAAGTTTAAATTTTGCATAAAATTCACTTGAAAATATTCAACGTCTAACTAAAACTGCAGATGTTCATAATATTTTATAGAAATTCTCTTATAATTATAAAATATTAAAAGTAATTATAACTATAAAAAATACTTGAAACTTTGTAGTAGAACGAAGCAAAATGGAGAGTACAATAACAATCACATATTCATTCCACAATGAAAAGCCCTGGTAGAATCACTAAAATAAAAATGTTTAATAACAATAATTCAAATTTTTTTACAAAATGTATGCGTCTCCATTCTCCCATGGAGAAGCAAAATGCTCCTTCATGAAATAAATAAAAGGTGACCTTAGTAAATAATGAAACAGTTAATAATGAAAATTAATCAAAATTAGTATTCTTATAATCAAGATATAACGTGTTTATATTTATTTGCTTTCATGGCTTTATTTTGATGTCGAAAACTTTTTTGGTTTGACCATGTTTGTTGTAGTACGGAGTTAGACTGATGTCCGTAATCTAAGTTGTCTTGTGGTTGTTGTTGTTGTTTGACTTGCATCCCACTGGGCTTTTTGCACACAGCGTTGGTGTATGGTGCTTTTTCAGGAATATTTTGCTGTTTTTTCATGGATTTTCTGTTTGCACTGTCACACAGTCACTTTAAGATGTTTTCTTGTTCATGTTTTTTTTTGTTGCGGTTGCACCCGATTCAAGAGCCGAATCTCTCACAGGGCTATACCTAATAAATGAAACTGAAATTTTAAGTTGCGCATTTTGATGTGACGTCACAGTTCTCAAACCCCCCCTCCCCCACTCGTCACATATCGTCACAAATGTCTGACCCCCCCTCCCTCCCCTAGGTGCGTGACGTCATGCATGGACGGCCCCCAACCACAGCGAACACTGACGTCACCACACCCCCGATTCGCTGACGCGGACCCCGCTGTAGCGGCGCCCCCTCCCCACTAAGAGCGGGCGAGGCGAGAAGCTTCCCAGAGGGAATGGGGTGGGAGGCAGTCGTGGTGGTCGCAAAATGTCAAGGTTGTTTGGCATAGGGCCCTCTACTTGAACGATAAAACACATTCATTGCACTTCTTCTCATGAATACCAATGATCATTGTCGGGTTTGGAGGAAGCGATTGCCCGTCCGCCACGGAGCTGAAATCGGCAGCAACACGCCGCCTCTGCTGGCGCTTGCAGAGAGTGGGGGGCGAGTGGGGGAGTTGTAATCGGCGCGAGCCTCTCAGCTGCTGCTGTCTGCGCTGTGCCCGGCCACGGCGCTTGCTGCTCGAGCGGTCCTCGTAGCCTCCACCAGGCCTCCCACCCACAGCCATTCAGCCACACCGCATCACCACCACCACTGCCGCCCATCTCCCCCCATGCACCCACCCACCGCCACCTTCATCGTCACCACCACCACGATCACCCGTGAAGCTCCTCCCCACCCTCCCTCCTTCCATCTGCTCCGCCCCCTCTCCCCGCTCCCATCCCCTTCCCTGCCGTCTCCCATCTCCCAGCCGATTCTTCTTTGCAACAACGCCGCCGCCTCCTCCTCCCAGCACCACCGAACCCTACCCCGCCCAGAAGCCCCGGCCGGGTCCGCGGGCTCGCAGAGACGCCGCGAGCGACGCGCGGACACGCAGGGCGGGTGGGGACCGGCCTCTGGAAGGTGAGTCTCTCCTCTCCCTGTAGCATCCTCTGTGTGTGTCTCTCTCCTGCCTTTGTCTCTCGGTGATGGCTATGCAGTGCTCATGCCTGCCTGCCTGTCTCCATCTCATTCCGTTCCCCGTGGCCGTGTTCCAAACGTGCCCCTGGTCCTAAGCCCGTCTCGACGCCGCGTCCCGCCCCAGCTGGTGTCTCCAGCCTCTGTGGTCGCGTCGTGCGAGAGATGACAGCGGCAGCAGCTGGAGGAGTGTCACGGGTTGTGGTCCCCGCTCTGAGCTGCGTGTGTGTTGGCTCCCACCGTTAGCTCTCGCGGATAGCGGCTCCACGCCCAGTGAGTGCGGCATGAAACGCCATACTTCACCTTGCCACGCCGTCACACCGCAATAGACCACGCCATCATACCACACCCCACCATACCCAACCACACCATAGCACACGCCGCGTCATCACAACAAAGTATAGCGCAACTAACCTCCCCATCATCCCCTAACCGCACCACACGGCATCGTGTGGGTTGCTGGTAAACAGTATTCCGCTGTAGAGGTACTGTTGGGGTTACAATCGTTGCGCTGTTTGTTGTTTTAACTATGGAAGGAAAAATCCCCCCACACCGCCCTTCCTTTTCCTTTCCTGGACGCGAATCAAAATTTATTTTCCAATTTTTATTTCACATTTTTCCACTTAAAATTCCATCTCCGGCATCGGTCAATTCTGGGCGTAGCCTCTCATTGTTGTGGGGTTCCCGCACCTCCAGCAGCCAGCCCCATCCGTGCCCGTCCCATCACGCAGATGGAGACTGAGGTTCATGACCAAGATGAATCCACCATCTCCCTGGCAGAGAAAGAGAGAGACAAGGGCTGGGGCTGGAAGCCACCGGCCTCTGTCGCGAGTCATTCATTCCCCGAGAACGCGCACAGAGCGTGCAGCGAATGTGGAGCCATGTGCTCAACGAACGTGGCTGCAGGCATGAGATAATGCACCACTGAATATATACTCTGTACCGTCTATCTACGGTCTATGATCTACACAGATCGCGACGGTCGTGTACAATGTTTATATTGCTCTGGCGACTCAGCGGGAGAGCGAGCAGCTCGCAGTCGGAAGATTGCGAATTGAAATCCTGGTTGTGGGTTAACTCGGCATATCATCCTTCCGGGGTTGATAAATTCAGTACCACGTTGTGAGGAAGTCAAACAGTCAACGTTTAGACTCGCCCCCGGCCATACGAATGTGGAATTTCAATTACTGGTTTCGGGCTGTCAACAGGAGATCATCACCAACGCCTCAATGCTCATTTGAGTCGGATATCACTTTACCTTGTTTATTTTTCTTCAATAAATGTGCTTTGTAGTGCATTGTGTTTGGATGATGGTTGATCATCAGCATCATCTTAATAAAGCGATGCGTTTTTTTTCTGTATGACATCATCGTATTCAGTGTCTGGGATGCCTCGAGGTTGCGTGTTTGATGTTGATGTATGTGGGTGTAACGTGTTCCCGTGCGGTTACGCATGTAAACTAAATGTTTTATTTTACCAGGTAAGGCCTACTGAGCTATATAACTCTTCTTCAGAGGCGATCTGGCCACAAATGATAGCTTATCATGTGCAAATTTATAGCAGCCATATACTCTAAACACATTATTCTAAACGTGGAAGGATGAACCGGAGGACCCGGAGAAAAATCCACACGACCACGAGGAGAACATACAAACTCAAAAAATACAGCAGCAGGCGGTCATGGTCGGGATCGAACCCACGATCTCCTGTAGAACACGCGAGGTAGTTAACATCTCCTAGCCACCGTGGCGCATGTGTCAGTGTGGTTAACGTGTGTCTGCAGTTGATAAGTCTGCGTGGTTGATGTGTGCCAGTGTAATTAATCTGTCTACATTGCTAATTTGTGTGCTTGGCTTGATAGATGTGTGTGCTTGATGGCGCAGTGGTCAGCGACCTGCATGCACTGTTTTCCTCGCTGTTCAGGTTCAGTTCCTGGCTACGCACAAAACGATCGGAAATTGGTAATTATTTATTGACTGCCACTATGTTGAGTCAAACTAAAATGGGGAGTACCTGATGCAGTGGTAAATCCAAGGTGGGAGTGATGGAGGTGATTGCCCCCCCCCTCCCTCCTTGAGACCCTGGCAATTGGTATTTTGTTGATATTTTTTAAAAATAAAATAGATTGAATGTGTTGTCCATTCGTGCTTGACATTCCGTGGTCACCCCCACCTTATGAGGAGTTTCTCGATCCACCTCTGACCTGGGGAGTTGGTAGTTTGAGCACCGATTAGCAGTGGGGAGATGGAGGGAGCCGGACTTGCCGAATGCCAGTCCCACCGATATTTCACGCTCGTGCCGTGGCAGCCGACAGCATTTGTGCCAGCGGTGGCCGTGTGCACGCTGTGGCCGTGCCGCACGCGCCCTGTAATTACAACACTGCTGCTGCTGCACGCGTGGACTGCATTCCACTCCTGCTGCTCTGGGAATCCATTCCACACATACGCATGGACACCCACTGTATCTACAGTGCAGCAGCAGCCTGTATGCTCCACCTGGATCGCTTGGTGTTGGAGGACTGTTGGGTATATCAGTGAGTCCGTTCTAATGCATAATTTAACCAGGAGACGAATGGAACCCATCGAGACACATGAGAAACAACATTGGCTTTTTTGCGAGGGTGGGTCAGGTGTCTCCCTGACAGTCACATCTGGGTGCTCGATTACTGCAGTTGCATACTTGGTGTCTGTAGGTGAGGTGGATGTTTGCTGGCAGGGTGTATGCTCACGTATGTGATTATTATTTTGACTGATAGTTTAGCCAGTCTCAAAACGCTTTCGGAGGGTCCTGCTAGGTTTTCACAAGAGAGGGGCAACTATTGCTATGTGACTCCCAAATAAGTAATTTTGTGAATCCTTTTTCAAACGTGGCCTGTGTAGCTAGCACACAATGGCCTATATTTCTTCTATTGATGTCATGGGAGTGTTAACGTCTAATGTGAAGCATACGGTGCATTCTATGTGGTAAGTAGCAGTGTGAACCAGGGTAGCCTGGTAATTTTTGAACCGTGAACCTTTTGCAGCAAGCTACAGACGTGACCACTGGGCCCTGGAATCTCCCAAATGTCGTAGTATGTCATCTGGTTGTGGGTGAGGCGCTGTGTTTGGGTCTTTGGTCATGTTTCTATCAATCGGATGTCTTACCTTGGCTCAGGTATTTAGATGTTGCTCAGTTGTTAACTGGCTCACTGTCTGGGTGTCGATTTTCTGGCCATAAAACCTGCATAAAAAAAAATGAATAACCAAAAATCTCAGAATTAGACAATTTGACATGAATTAGACAATTTCACTCGGCGTTCTGCCATAGACAGACAACGCCGTGCAAACATAATTGTGGGTCATGCTTTTTGCCCATTTAGTTTTCTGTATGTATGTTGAACTTCTTTTGCACCGTACGTAGCCAACCGTGCTAATCGGAGGTGCGAATATTTTCTTGTTGAAAATAGTTGCACCAAAGGGTTTTAAATGCATAGTACTTTATTGTCATTTTAATTCCACTGCAATGTTTGCAAGTTTGTCAAGGATGGGTACACTACAGAGCAATTTAAAAGTGTGATTTTTAGGTAATTTGCACCAAATCACATACTTTTGTGGTTTGATTGTGTATAGTAAAACTTGCAGAATGTTACAGATGAAACTCATCAAGTTAAATTTCTCATCCCCCGTTCCCGCCGCAGGATTGAAAGGCTTCTCAAGCCTCCCGCCACCGCCACTGCCACCGCGGCCGACTACTGGCTACGTGGCCCAAGATGGCAGGGGCATCAGTGAAAGTGGCCGTGCGGGTGCGGCCGTTTAACAACCGGGAGACGAGCCGCGACTCCAAGTGCATCATCCAGATGATTGGAAAAACCACGAGTGAGTCGGTGTGATCGTGCACGCGCGGATCTGCTCCGCCACAGCCCGGGCTCGCGTTTCCAAATCCACACGCGTGGCACGATGCAACTGGCGTCTGGAAGGCCCTGGTGGAATGAGCTCGTGGTGTTAGCTTTCCCCGGCTCGGAGCCTCATTGATGCCCATCGGAGCTTTTGGGAATTTTAAGAATGAATGATAGATTCAGCTCCTAGGTTTTTGATTCATAATTGAGTTTTGGACTAAGGTCAAGTAATGACCTGTCCAAATTTGTGCGAAATAAAACCCTCTACCACCTGACATAGCCAAGCATATTTTATTTTCTAATTGCTGAATTTGCTTGTGAGAATTCAATCAATCAAGACTTGCTCTTCAAATTACCAGTGAGCTTAAAGAATAATAATTTACACATTAATTGCTTGTGCTCGTGACAATTGAAATTTGTTTTGCTGTGTTGGGTGGTGGAAGGACTTGACGACACGCATTTGGCCAGCTCATTACACGGCTTAACCCAAAAATGTACTTTTAGCAAATGAGATGTTTGCTTTTAGCACTTACCGCCTTGTGATGTATTCTATACGCATATGTAACTTGCAAGTCGCGAAAATACTCAACGCAGCAAAACAGTAGTTGGCAACGTTTTCAACATTTTCTGGAGTCGTGGATGTTTTTTTTCAGATGGGGAATTGGTTTTTGGGACGCTGCTGTGTCGAATGTGTGACTTGTATAGCTTGGTGCTAAGCGGCTTGCTTGTTCACTTGCAGCAAGCCAGGGTTGGTATTTCCGGTAAGTGAGAGATATATATGGTGTATGAAAAATCCCATTTCAAAAAGTGCTATTCATCTCCTCTGTGTTCCGCTCACTGTGCAGAAATACTGACACAATAACTGGAAACCATATTCGGGGCCGCTTTTTTCCTTGTGAAAGTTTCCACCATCTCCTGTGTCTCCCTAAATTTTAAATTAAATGTGGTGCTAGCGTACAGTATCTGCCGTAGCAAGCTGTGCCAGCGAATGCGACATTGCCATTGTCGGGATGGCCAAAGGAACGCTGGCACGGGCGTCCATTTTGTGCAATCTTGTAGAGTGCTGGGCCGGCAGTCTCGCGGCAGCTGATTGATCAGTGGGGCTTGGCAGCACTGACTTGCACGGCCTCTGCTAATTTAATTTGGCGTGGCTGTTTTTGGTGGGGTGGGCTTGGCCAGGGTGGGGGGAGACTGCAATGGAGTGGGGAAATGGAAGGATGGTGGTTGGGATGTGATTGGGATGATGCAGCACGAGTCTTTGTGGCGTTTCCCTCCACGTCACTGCAGTGTTTTAGAACACGTTTGTGGCAGCATGCTAATGGAGCAGCCGTTAGATTCCAGACTCTCCGCAACTGTGAACCTGAAACCCCTTCGCGCTGGCTCTCGCTTATCTGTAGCATGTAATCAGCATCTGGGCTAGAGGTGCTGTGCCACAGAAAGGGTACAAGTTCAAATCCAAGTCAAGGAATGTGAATATATTGGTCCCTTCCATAGGAACATGCAATTTTCATACAGCTAACCTAGGAATGGCAAAGGAGTGGACTGGCCAAATGCTCTTTTGTGCATGGGGATGCTTTCACATATGATATTCAGTTTTTGCATCTGATTGTGTTGGTGGTTAAATCTAATATAGCAGCCTTTGCCGTTTTGCCTCTCTCCAGTCTCATCAGCAGAGTGTGGCTTGTTTATCAAATTTTGCTGGCTTTCCTGGTGTATATGCAAGAGTATTCCTGTATCATGTCAAGTGCTCTGCATTGTATGTTCATTCCATTGCAGCATAAGCTTCGTTGCCTTTCATGGCCGCGTCCTGCTGCCCCGTTCCCAGCTTCGATCCCATTATAAACACCGTTGACACGGCTTCTTTAACGCAGCAATACGCGCTCTGGTAACGACACCGGTGTTGGCCACCCTACCGGGCGCCACACGAAGGGGTTAACGGTACCTTGTGTGCCGTGCAAGTAGGCCACCGCTCACAAATGGCTGCTCGGGCAATGAGCCAGCAAAATTGGGCACTCCAGTGAGAAAAATAAATTATATCGTTGCAAGCGTAGTGGAGGAGCTGAACCCGAACTTGACAAATTTAGAAAGGGAAAATGTTTAAATTGTTGACAGGTTGCGATGACCCACCTGGGTTGTCCTAATTTGCTGTAATTACCAATTGGCTCGGCTTGGAATTATCTGTCGTCTGGTCGTATCTGTCGGGCCTTGTAATTTACCGTCATACAATTAGTGACGATGTATGCTATTTCACATTTTTAAAATGAATGTTTACTTTGCGATCATTTATCAAACACCTGCACACTTGTTACTAGGAAACCAATGCTCACCATTTCCATTTGATTTTGCCACGTTTCATCCACCTTGCGCTGGCATCAGGAATATTTACTTCCCTCCATCTTAGTTACTAAGCACACAGCACAAGAGCCACGCAAAGAGGAGGCAGCAGTGAATTAGAATCTCGGCGGTGTTTGTGAAAGGTGAGAAGCAGCCAATGTTAACCGTGCTCGGGAAGAGAAACAGCCACAGGGAACCCATTTGGTTTTCAACTCTTCACAACCACGCAGTCCCATGGTTGTGAGGTGGACCGTTACAATGTCGCAGGCTCAACATTTTTTAACGTGTTTACTTGCACTTTTATGAGCTCTCAGTCAGAATATTGCGAGTTCAACTCTCATTCGTGGATCAACTTGGCATTTCGTTTTTTTGATATCCATCAAATGAGCAACAGTTTGTGGTCATTCAATAGTGAATAGCCTCTGCCATGGGAGTATGTAATTTCCACCACTGGCTCAGGGCTGCTGATGGAGACGAGTGCTGCCCCATTGCAGGCGAAACCGACTAATGCTGAATCTGTTTTCATTTCCTGGGTGTACTGTAGTAAATTGGCGTGAGGAGTTGACCCTCTAGCGATTGAATGAGTTGTCATGACTCCGGGCCATGATTCAGTTTCAGACTTAATTATTTAATTTCACACTGATTTATTTGTATCACATATTGTTGTTTCTGTCTCATTTGTACAGTTTGGGTCATAGTATAACATTATCCGACACTGTACATAAATCATAAATATACATTTCTCACATGCACAGTTTGATGCAGGTATCACAAGCATATGCATGGAGCTGGCCAAACATCTCTATAGGAACACAGAGCTTGGGTAATTATTGGTGCTGGTTCTGGCTGCCTTCCCACTTCTTGGCTTCCTGCGCCTCTGCGGAAACTGCGGACGTTACAAGTTCTACAGCATTCTTAGATGCAACTTGCGTGGATGCCGCTGCACAGAAATCATTGTATTATGAAAATACATTTTTATTCCTACTCGTGAACGCTGTAAACACCCATGTATACATAGATATAGTTATTTATTTAAAACCCGTTGCTGAGCACAGGACCAAACACCCAAAATGCCAACTGTCCAGCAACAAACAGCACTCATCAAAATTGTACTGGATAACAGTTTAACACGTTACTTGAGTTGAGCAAGGTTATCATTATCATACGTGCTTGGAAAAAGAGAAGGTGGGAGGGAATTCTAAAGTTGAGCAGCGTGAAGGAAGACACAGGATGAGAAGTGTTGTTGTGATCTGCAGTGTGGTGGTAGTTGGAATGCTGTACGTGTTCCGCTCCAACAACTACAGTACAGGTACTAATACTCCAGAGTGATGCAGGAGGAGGTGGTACCGCTGCACACTCGGCCTCTGCCCGGCCTTCTGTCAGTGGCTCAGGCCCGCTCCCTGGCAGCACGGCAGCTGTGCGGTGGGAGCTGCTAGCATGGCCTTGCGCGGTGAGTGACGGACCCAGTGGGAGAAGAGTTAACTTTAGCCTCTGGAACAACCCCACTCTCAGTCCTAATCCTCTTGCCAAAATGTCGTTGCGTGTCCTAGGCAGAGGGAAAGTAGATGTGGTGGGGTGTGGCGGCTTGTCTCCTGCTGGCGCTCGTGCCCGCTGTGCCACCCGGGCCCACTCGCAAGCGCCTGCGTGGACTGCACACCCGGCCAGTTGCTTGAACCTGCTGCTGTGTTTTTAACGGTGTTTTTCAGCCCATAACATTGCAGTGGTTTTCTACCTTTGTGAAATATTAGTTGTACTTAAATAAAAAACATAGTGTTTATTTGGTGTACGCTTATACTGTATCATTCATGAAGGTTCGATGCAAACTGACTTTTAGGTAGACAGATGCATATGAAACATCACTCTTCCGTCATTTTTGCGGGCATATTATTCATAAAACTGCTTAAATATCACCTGACGTTATTCACAACAGGCCATTGGGTGCTGGCGTCATGATCAAAACTCGTCAAAATTCTAAAATGTTACCTTGTGCCGCACAGGAACAGCTGCTGCTGGGGGTGCCTTTAGAATTTTTAAATGAGATGTGTTGTAAGGCGCTATTTTGCTCAGGAATATAAGCAATACCATATAAGTGAAGTTGATTCTTATTAATGTAGCAATGAATGGAGTCTCTGGTAGCAGTAAAGACCAGGCCTTAATCTCTCCACCTCTCTCCATCGCAGATCATCTTCGCATAACTCTATTTGCAAAGCTGTTTGGATTTGCTGTAATTCTGTGGACGTATTGTCTTAGTTTGCATTAGGCATACAGTTTCAGTGTGCAATTTGAGACCTATCATGTTACTTTGTGATAACAACGACGATTTTCTGCATGCCACAATAATATGTTGCCAGCAGATGAATATCTGTTTGAAAATTACAGTATTCATTCAGAAGCTTCATCACGATTTCAATGGCCTATACCTTGTGGCTTGGTACTAAGCCATTTATGTTGAACTAGGACCCATATCTAAGAGAGGGTCTTTGCTTACAAATGTCTGGCAGTTCACAAGCATTTGTCCAAGCAAGCCTGACTGCTGATGAGACACTGAATGTTTAAACCTGTCCAGAGTTTGCTTGATTGAAAGCCAATGCTTGCTCAGAGTATGCACTCCCAGAAGGCCATGCGGCCATTGGATGTCAGTAGAAG